ACAGTATATCTACATGTGGTTAAGGAGTTTGGTGAACTACACTTCTTGTAGCCAGATAAGATTATGTTAGTACATAGACAATGAAAACTCATTTTAAGAAAATGTTATATGCTTCTTGTGTTGTTCTCTCATAATTTTTATATGGCGTAATGTACCATGTATGATTCTTTAAAACGTATTTTTCTTATATGCTCACTTTTGTTAACATTTTCTAAATTTAATTCTATTTCATTAATCTTTTAGAAAGTAATTATTTACTCTTCATCTTTATCATTTTAGATTTAGATTTTTTTATTCAGGTAAAGGTACATACATTGAAGATGAGTTACAAACATAATGTTGGAATTTAAAGATAAGAGCTAGTACATACAATACCTAAAGCCACTAGTACGCATAGCGTTTCAGGCAAAAGCTACAATAAATAGGAATGTTTGCTTGATGAAAAATAATTGTTCTACTATAAGTGGGTTTTACCAAATGCTTTTAAATAATAGCTTATCCTATATCATTCATTCACCTCATTAAAATCAGACAAAAGTGCTGCAGCTGCAGAAATTAATAAATTTTGGAATTTATGGTTGATTTTTTATTAAATTTAGTGATCATGATAGTAAAAATTAAAACTTTTTATACATGCAACAAATTCAGTTAATATTCTTTAGGGGTAATGTATGAAAATGGAAGCTTCTTAAAGTTGACTAAGTCTTGAGGAATTACCTTGCATTTAACTGCCAGCCTGTATACTGTACATTAAAGAGAGGTTGTGATCAATAGATATGTATTATATAGTAGTTAGTCGTTTAAACATATATTTATCACTTCAGGAATTTGTATGCTTCACACCATGATAACATATATGTTAACTTGAACTTTTATGGTTTATTGTTTCTACAATACAAATTTCATACCTAACCATAGAATGCTAGCAGGACTATTATGTATTCTTTATGAAAAAGGGTCTTCATAAAAAAAACTAATTTTCCTTATATATATTTTTTATTATTATTGGTGTATTTTTTTTTAATTGTAAATTAAGATAAATATAAAGTATTATATAGCATGTATGTGTGTTTTTATCCCAAGTCTGGTATAAAACTAATGTTAAATGTGGCATTTCTCCCTCATGGACAGTGCGTTGATCTGGCACTGACTTGAATACTCGTGAATCGTTCCATAGAATTACCCAAAGCTACCCAAAGCCTGCTAGTATTATGTAAGTAATGAAGAAATATGGGCAAAAAAACAAGGGCCTTTTTTTTTTTTTTTTTTTTTTTTTTTTTGAGATATATACAAGAGTTGTTACATTCTTGTACAGCCACTAGTACGCGTAGCGTTTCGGGCAGGTCCCTGGAATACGATCCCCGCCGCGAAGAATCGTTTTTTCATCCAAGTACAGTACACATTTTACTGTTGCGTTAAACAGAGGCTACAGTTAAGGAATTGCGCCCAGTAAATCCTCCCCGGCCAGGATACGAACCCATGACATAGCGCTCGCGGAACGCCAGGTGAGTGTCTTACCACTACACCACGGAGACTGTGAATGCCTTGATGAGGGTTCGAATTTACGCACAGGATGTTCCCAGACGCACATTGGTCAGCTGTACCACCACATGGTCAGTAGATTTGTTCATTTGATATATCACGCTATTGTGATTTCTGTAAGAAATATGGTGTATATACTCACTACTGTATAACGTTGGTGCTGAATGCAGAACGTGATAAACCTATTTTTACTCTGAAATAATCTAATTTCTTAATGAAATTAGAAGTAAATATGTGGCAGGTGACACCATAGGAAGTCGAGGGTCCAAGCAACAATGTTGTGGGGCGACTTATCCAAGTATATTGTCGCCTGGAGAGTGTTTGCTAGCATATCAGTCTCCTGTACACAGTGATCCAGTCATCGCACTAATTTGCTTAAATTGTTGCAAATTTAATTGGTGATATTAACAAGTAGACTGCATATTTATATCTTTCATAAATAGCTACAAAACATTTAATATTAAAAAAAAGAGTGTGTGGGAAATAGATACACCCCTGTACTGTAATGAACGAAGTTTTCTATACCATTACTGTATAAAGACAAATATAAGCTGCATGTTAATACTTTGGCATAAATATAACTGAAGTGCAAGTGAAGATATATGCCTTTTTATAGTTACCTGATGGCTAACTCAGGAAGTGTGAAGGCCTGCACACAAGGCATTCAACGGAGTAATTAATTTGTATAATTGTGTAATTAATATGCAAATTAGCCTTAAAGGTCCATATGTCAGAATAAAGACAGATGTAGATGATAATGTGACTACATTTCAAGAAATATATATCTTAAGTGAAAGCCATGATACGGTTAAGTAAATAATACCACACAATTATTATTACTATGAAAACTACCTAAGCAGTCCCTGTGGCATAGTGGTAAGACACTCGCCTGGCGTTCTGTTCACCCCAGCAGTGAATAGGTACGTGGTTGTTAAACAATTTGGTGGGTCGTATTTAAGGGAAAATTAGGATTAAGGACCTGCCCAAAACGCTATGCGTGCTAGTGTCATTACAAGAATGTAAGAACTCTTATATACAGTATATATAAATAAAAAGAAAAAACTATGCATTAGTGTCAATACAGACTGCACAACTGGGAGGCAGTGATGGGGCCAGCACCCAAGTCCTCCTCTCTGGCGGGGGTCTCTGGGAGTGCTCCTTCCCACGTCCATTTTTTTTTTTCTGATATATATACTAGTACACAAGTGTTTCGGGCAGGTCCCTGGAATACTATCCCCGCCGCGAAGAATCGTTGTTACAACCAAGTACACATTTTACTGTTGAGTTAAACAGAGGCTACAGTTAAGGATTTGCGCCCAGTAAATCCTCCCCGGCCAGGATACGAACCCAGCGCTCGCGGAACGCCAGGCGAGTGTCTTACCACTGCACCACGGAGACTGGTGGTCCTTAGACTCGTCACCATTGTCGACCCCTGGACACGGCCATCACTCGTCTCCGGACTGGGCACACCTGCCTGGCTGCACATCTCGCTCCTCTACGGCTGGCAGAGTCCCCATACTGCCAGTGGTGTCTGAACCAGGAGGATACAAGGAAACACCTTCGCCATACCTTCAGCGTCATCTGTCATGTCCGTGGCCTGATGAGTGTAGAGCCTGGCCAGCAGAGACCATAGGCACCCATCCATCTTTGCTATTCCCGGTACCTGGCAGCCCTATGGGCTCACCATAGCCCGTGCTACTTGGAACTTTTTGTTCCAAGTAGTGAATCTTAAACAACCTGGCAGCCGGGGCGCATCCTATCCCTTGATCGTCGTCGTAATTTTACAGCAATAAAAAGACTTTTATCACAGCAATAACGAACAAACCTATATTAAACATTTTCATAACACACTACATATTTATTAGCAGCAGTGCTGTCTCTCATATATAAGGCAAAAAACTTTGCTAATATACCTCATCTCAATACAATTTAAATCTCACTCGCGAAATCTCTTCCTTAATAAATCGACTTCCTACGTCTATATAGTAAGCTTATAACACCTAATCTTCGTTGTAACGTTATTATTGTTGTAACGCATGCCTCGTTGTAACGAGGCAGTGCCCTTTATGTACTTACGAATGAATGTACAGCTCTCCCATAACTCAAATTTGAGCTGAGTGAATTTAATCCTTATAAGCCTTAAACATTGGCTTGTATAATTAAGTGTTAGATGAGTTAGACTATTTTAACTAAGCTATGCAACTACATCTACTGCCAGAAGTGGCACATATCACTTTGAGGAGGGCACCGGATGACTTTTGTGCGTTTCGGCCCGCCTCTCAATTGTCAATCAATCAACTGTTACTATCTACTACTAATTAATTTTTTTTCACCACACACACACACACACACTCAGGAAGCAGCCCGTAGCAGTTGTCCACAGATACGTATTTACTGCTAGGTAAAGGGCATTTGTTTGTTTTCCGTCTAAATTTTGGTTAGAGCGACGGTCTCGCTTCATGCAAGTCGGCGTTCAATCCCCGACCGTCCAAGTGGTAGATTGATGATTGATGAAGATTAAGCCACCCAAAAGGTGGCACGGGCATGAATAGTCCGTAAGTGGTGGTTCTTTTGAGCCATTACCAGTATCAAGAGCTGATACTGGTGATCTGTGGAAGTGCAACTGCACCCTAAGTGACGGGAGATGGTTGGGCACCATTCCTTCCCTCCGTCCCATCCCAAATCCTTATCCTGACCCCTTCCAAGTGCTATATAGTCGTAATGGCTTGGCGCCTTCTCATGGTAGTTGTTTTCCGCCTGTGCCGAGGATCAAACCCCGTCCCTATGTCCACGAGTCTAGAGCGCTGTCCACTCAGCCACCAGCCACCCCTGTGTGGAGCGAGGCTGGTGCTTGTCACGCTGACGGACTCCTGGGGCTTGATTCCCAATCATCTACCTGACTGCGTTTCTTTGACGCGAAGCATCTTATAGTGTCTGGTGATATGCGTTTTCGTGTTGCCATTAGAATTTGCGATTAACCCTATACGGGTACGCCGGGGTACATCCTATCCCACGATTATCGTCGCTTTTAAATAAAAAAACAACAGGATGCATAAGGATGATGGACGTCACTTTGCTATCTTCCCATTTTTGTCGCTCACCTACAGTCTCACCTACAGTACACTCCACAAACTATCATGACCAGCTCCTGCGACTCTGGGAATACCAAAGAGATATTTATTTCTAGTGTTGTGCTCATGTGTTCTATGTACCCTGACCTAAATAAACTAAACTTTAAACTAATTAATAATAATAGTTATTGTTATTATTAAACATTATCATTATTGCAAATAGGCTCTAATTGCCCCTTTCATCCCCTCCCCCCCCCCCATCCTCCCGTGTGGGGGGCAGGCCCCCCCTCATCCAGCAAATTGATTATTATGCACCCCATACCCATCTCGTGGGCGGTGGTGTAAAGGATTACAGAGGCCAAATTGAGGGTCCCAATAGGACTCTCCCTCCCCCCCTCCCCTCGCCCCGGACCCGAGTTAAAGGGTCCATCTCTCGCGCCTCAACAGCTGTATATTTAGTCTGCTCCCAGCTGGCGTCGAGGGAACACGTACTGCGGAGAGGTGGCTGTAGCTGCCTGTGCTTAGTGAAGGTATTTAAATCATTCTTCGTCGGACTTGAAAGCTACCGTGTTGTGTGCCAGTTAATTTACGTTATTGTGAGGGTGTTACGTAATGCATTTGAAAAGTTTATTAATGCAAGAAGGGAGATTTATGTTTGTGTAGAACAAGGTACAAAGGTCAATGACATGACGGCTTGCTCGAGTAGTTACTTTCACCAAGACAAGTATTTGATTCAGCAGCTGATAATGTGTGGCGCAGGAGTATCTGTACGTAAGTGGACAAAACAATAACAACGATTGTATTAATATGATGGGGTAAGTATTATATAATATTCTGCACCTCATACCCATCCTGACGCGAGGTAACGCGGCAAATTACAGCACTGAAGAGCTAGTTACTTTAATATAAGTAAATTTATTCGCAGTGTTAACTATACACTAGTATAGTTATTACAGCTGAAAGGTTAGACACGCATAACGGATTCAGGAACTACAGTTACACCTTTTATTCGGCCATCATGGCCTGTGGCCACACCCATCCTACCGGCGGCCAGGGTGGCCACGTGGACCATCGTCCACAGTATGCAAGCTTAGCATACTTGTATGTGTAGTTTTCATGGCGGTTTAAATTTTGGTAATTTAAACGACTTGGTAGGTAATGGAAATTTCCAATGACAAGCACCAGCTCTGTGAACGATGGTACTTCTCCCACATTGCCTCAAGGGGCGAGTTTATTGGGCAGTTACTTGTCCTGTGAGTGAATATACCACCATAGTGACAGTATTGGGCAGCGTCACTCATCCTGTGTGTGGGCATACCGCCAAAGTAGCGTGTACAACACTCCCCAATAGGTAGAAAACCCGCTGGGTTGTTCATCCTGTCGCTTTTATCCAGACACAACTGGGACTTGCTTAACTTTCTCAAGTGAACTGTCTTAACAAGATTGATATTTTCCAACTGCTAAAATTTGCGTTATCATGCGGGTACAAAATTGGGGATTTTTTTTTAATAGTATCTATATTTGACAGCGTTTTCCTAACTCAATGTACTCGCCTAGTTGCGATTCGGCTCTTTGGTCCCGCCTCTCAATGTGGGGTTTATTATTCTATACAAATTAACATGTTGGTGTTCAACAAAGTAGTATAAACTTAGACACTACTTTTAAATAATCTTGTATATGCCACTCAACACCTGGACCTTCATTTTCTCCAATGCTAATCCACTTATTCTAAACGCCACGGTGCATATTGAACTTAAAAAAAACAAAAAAATATCCATTTGTGGCAGACTATTATAAAATCAACATGTAACTCCTTTAATTTTGAAGACATATATGATAGTATAAATTTGACCGGTGGATTTTTTTCCAAGGACTTAATAATACCCAAATTGAGAACAGAACACAGTAGATAAAAAAAATCATTGATATCTTAGACTATTTTATGATAATTTAAAATTTATACTTTGTTGCCAGTCTGAGAGGCTGCCCCCGGACCAAATCCATTACCACCAGACACCACACACACCCTCAAACCATCTGGATAGTTATATAGTTATTTGTGATGGTTATTACAGCCATTTAGGAAGCGCTTAAGGTCAGGATTGGCATGGCAAATGTTTTTTTTTTATAAGTTTTTGCTTCCTAACAGACTGAGCTTCATGTTTCCAAAATGACAGCATTAATTAACGAATGAATGCTGTCATTCATTCGTCAATGAATGACAGCATTCATTCACTCACTGAGGGAAGGAATGCTATGAAGAGTGAATGTCACTAGGTGCGGGAAGAACATTCACTTTTCCAATAAATCAAGCTTGACGTCAATTAGCCCGATAAGGTGTGCGGTTTACTGAGGGCGGGAGACGCTAGTTAGGTCATCGACCCATATTATAAGCGTTCTCATTTTTATTAACACGCTTAGGAACGCAGTTGGGTGCTGGTAGACTATTTAATGAGGGCTCTGAGTGTGTCAAGAACTGTAGGCTGTGTGTTCATTTAATGCATTTTTTATCAATGTGCTCTTCTCTACGCCAGGGCCAGTCCGCGGCCTCCTTCAGGCCTAGGCGATTTTAGTACTAATTTATATTAGGTAAAACAATCAATCTAATTGGATTTGTATAAGTTCGATTGTATAAATTTTTAATTTGTAAATTAACTAGAAAATTGTACTTAAGGTTTGTCGGGGATATGGAATTGAAGAAAACTTTTTTTCTTATCAATGCTGATTTGCCTGTATATGTATGGTAATGAAAAAAATGGGTGGTATGAGTATGTGATTTGTTCATGGGGTCGACGAGGGGCATGACGCAGACTAGAGTGGCAGAGGTGCAGAGTTAAAGGGGATGGATCCTTGCCGCCCTGCTGGCTCCTCTCTCCTCGTGACCATCATGTATCTCCAGTCCCCACATGTGCTGGATTACCTGATGCCTGTCAAGTTACCTCTCTTGTTCTATGCTGTCTCCCCCCCCCCCCCCCCCCTCCCAGCACCTTTTTCTTTTTTTTCTTTCTCACTGTTCCTCCCTCCCTCCCCACCCCACCCCCCACCCCCCCAGCCACAGAACACACCGCCCTAGTCATGAAGGCCGCACGAACCCTGAGTGATGGAAATTTCCAGGTTAAAATTTATCGCTATTCTCCGCAGTTAGTTTATTTTTTTTTATTATGCCCCCCATACCCATCCTGTGGGTGGCAGTGGGAAGAGCTAGAGGCACATAATGAGCTCGGGGACTGAGCCCTACAACTCATTTAGCTACTAAGCAAGTTGCCATTTTGATGCAGTTACAAAAATGTGTGTGTGTACTCACCTATTTGTGTTTGCGGGGGTTGAGCTCTGGCTCTTTGGTCCTGCCTCTCAACTGTCAGTCTACTGATGTTCAGATTCCTGAGCCTACTGCATGGGCTCTATCGTATCTACATTTCAAACTGTGTATGGAGTCTGCCTCCACCACATCACTGCCTAATGCATTCAATCTGTTAACTATTGACACTGAAAGTTCTTTCTAACATACCTGTGGCTCATTCGGGTACTCAGTTTCCACCTGTGTCCCCTTGTTCGCGTACCACCCGCGTTAAACAATTTCTCTTTATCTACCCTGTCAATTCCTTTGAGAATTTTGTAGGTAGTGATCATGTCTCCCCTTACTCTTCTGTCTTCTAGTGTCGTGAGGTGCATTTCTCGCACCCTTTCTTCGTAACTCATGCCTCTTAGTTCTGGGACTTGCCTACTGGCATATCTCTGAACTTTTTCAAGCCTCACCTTGTGCTTGACAAGGTATGGGCTCCATGCTGGGGCCGCATGGGGTGTGTGTGTGTGTTATAATATATATATATTATGGGTTTATATTGGTGTATACTGGCAGCAGGTTTTCTTTTAAACATGTCTCATTGAATATGACCGCATATTCAGTATTTACTATCTTCTGATTTAGGGCTTCTATCCCTCTATTTTCCTAGCATCAGGGCTTAACTGAAAGAGGAGTTCCCCAAAACTCATTTTCGTTATTTCAAGGTGAAGAAAAAAATGAATTACTATAGAATGTATTACTTATTTATACAATTTGCACAACGTTTCGAACCTCCATGGTTCATTCTCAAGTGAAAAGAAATTACAAAACTCGTTGATTTATACCCGCACGGGGTCAGGTGATAAGACAAGTACAATAAAAGTAAAAACAAGGGGGATACATAGGGGATAAATGGGGGACGAAGAACATAAGAATAAAGGTAACTGCAGAAGGCCCATTGGCCCATACGAGACAGCTCCTAAAGATTAATCAGGTGTAATTGGCCTGTTATGTTGAACAGTGTCTTCTGTGTTGGCATCGTTATGTTCTGGTCTTGTCCTTACTCTCATGGTGGGTAGAGTAAATAGTTCCGTGATTTGGGTGTTCATGGTATGTTGTTCTATTCTTATGTGAATAAGATTCACATAAGATAAGAACTTTCTTATGTGAACAAGATTCACATAAGATAAGTTTGATTCACGTAAGTTTGATAAGCTGGTAATAGTTGGTTAACGCAACTGTTAGCTACTATCAATTAGTAGCTCGGACAATGATACAACCTGTTCAATTAAACGAATTTTGAGGTTCATTTCCAGAGTCCATTATATGTGCAAGTAATCTTTTCATACTACCGGTCACAGAATGGGTATGGTGGGGTCAAGTTCAAGTATGTTTATTGAGACAAGAAAGAAATACATCTCAAAGGGATAGAGTAGCTTAGGCTATTTCTACTCCCTCTACTTAGTCCCTCAAGGGGCCCACAAATTATGGTGGGGTCGACTACAGCTTGCAGGGCTGGTGGGAGGAGGGGGGTCGAGCCAGTGGGGCCCACTAGCGCTCTCCGACCCTCATATTGATCCCTTGATTATATCGTTGCATGCCCTCGACCTTCCTCGTTCCTGGCCTTTCATTAATATAAACTTAACATTTTGCATATTGTATTATATTGCATACTGTATAATTATATTGCATATAGTTTCGCTCACCCGAAACATTCAGGTGGGCGTTTTATTTTATTTTTATAAAATGACGCAGGGTACCCGGCGTTGCTCGGGTGACGGTCTAAGAAAAAGATGGTAGTTATATTTCTACCGTGACAAAGCGGATCTCATTGAATCTCTTTTTCTCAATGCTGAACAATTTGGAGGATGTTGGTTCTGACAATTTCTTCTGAAGGTCAGATGTAACACAAACAAGGAGCAACGGTTGCAAGCTCAACAAGCCACAATTAATGTAGGACTGAGAACAAGAGATGCTTTTTTCATCCACAGGGTTATAAACCCCTGGAACCGCCTACCCGCCGAAGCGGTAAATGCCAAAACTTGGTTAACATTTAAAGTACAACTGGAATAGATAGATCATAAAGGAAGCTGCGACAAGTCGCCGACTTCCTGTCCTCATCGAGGCCACTAGTGTTAGTGGCTCTCGGGTAAACTGCATAAATCTCTGATGCGCCCTCACTTGGCTTATTGTGTCCAAGCATGGGGACCCCATCTTTAGAACTTCGGAGAAAATTCAACATCGGGCGACCAAAATCATTCCTGGACCAAGTCTTCTCTCACACCAGTAGGGCTGGATAAATAAATTTAGAGGCCCTAAGCACTTAAAAGTTTTTGTGCCCCATATACATCTAATTCAAAATATAAACAATAGTAAACTGTAAATAACATTTTATTTTTCGAAATGAAACAACTTGGATGGAAAAATTATTATATTTGTATACTTCCACTTTATTTAGTTTTCTTTTTCTAATACCAAAGTCTTTGAGATCCTCAAAACTAATTTTACGTAACACATCTGCTTCTGTACGTAGTAGAGATAAGGCATCCTGTGAATGCTAGACAGGATGCTTTATCATGTCCTACGCTAATATTCTATGCTAGTAGGTTATCTTGATGATTTCGGGGCTTTTTTTTTAGTGTCCCCGCGGCCCAGTAATTGACACCCGTGCTTCCACTGCCCCGAGTGTCTTTGTTGTATGCAACAAGCGAGAGACTACACTGAACTATTCTCTTGTGCCCTCATTCCTCCCTCTGTCCTGGACGGAGACTTTCTCACCCGCCATGATGGCCGGTGTGGCATTTTCCCCCTTCAATCTGGTTTGGTCTTGGTGAGCTCCACGCTCTTTTGTGGACAGGGGAGTTCGTATATACTGTATATGTGGGTTGATAATTCTCCTTTGCTGCTGTGGACATGTGAATATTCTTTTGGATCGTTTTAATCCTTTCGGGGCATCCCAGGCAGGCGTGGTGTGCCTTACGACAGTTTGGGCACTTGGCTTGCATGATCTGGTTGGCCTTGTTTGTCAAGGTATATTTTAAGTGTGAATGGAGCTGACTACAGATCCCACACTTCATTGGACCTTGGCAGCCTTCTTTGATGCCCAAATCTAACATCTGAAGCATCTTAAGGGCTCTGGTGTGTAAGGCCTTTGTTGGAACACGCCTCAAATGCAGAGATAAAGTTTCTCATGAATTGGTTCTTTGACAGTGACTAGAACTTATTGGGTTTTCTCCTTAGATTTTATGTAGCGTCTTTCAGCTGGCACCACATAATTCAACTATTCTAAATGAGACTGGGCACACGTGGAGGGAATAGTAGAGGACAATGATTTTCCTTATTGTGTCCTTTGGCTAGAGTTCATCGCATTCTCCAATTCATGAGAATATTCACAGCTGCTTCATCTTTGAGCCTCGGGATATATTCACCTCTGAGATTCGGCTTTGCTATGATATTACACTGAGGATACTTTTTCTCAAGGTCTAGTACTGTAGCATACGAGGCACTCTGACATAGCAGTCTTCAGCAGGCAATGACTCGGTCAACACACATCTTCACCAAACACCAGTGTACAGTGTAATCACCTGTCAATTTATATTGTAGTTATATGTTATAAAATTTTGCTACAACGTACCTTTTCATCTTACCTGATATGTTAGATTAAGGACCCACCTGAAACGCTAAGCGTGTTAGTGGCTTTGAAAGAATGTAAAAATACCACTCTTATGTAATCTCTCAAACCCATTGTACCTTCTTGTAAATTCAAATTATTATTATTAAAGCTCTCCACCATTCCTCAGGATCAGTATGCCAGGAGAGAGTGAGGGAGAAACCTCCAGCAAAATGGAGGCGTTGTCCACCACCTGCTTGGTGTCCCTGGCCACCGAGGCCTTCCTGCAGGTGCGGGCACCCTCCTTCATCCACGTCAACCTCGACGCCGTCGTCCACAACGTCAGCGTGCTCAGGTCCCTCTGTGGACCCAGCACGAGTGAGTGTCCTGCAGGTCTCATGAAGAAAGCGAGATAGCTGACATAAATAATAAGACTAATATCAAATCTACTTACACTTTCAAAAATATTTGAACAGTTTACTTACAAACAGTTCTACTTTTACCTCGTAAAATTCAACATATTAATTAAGCCCCTGCGAGTTTGGCTTCCGCTCCCAAAAGAGTACAAACGATGCAATTATTATTCAGCTTTATATAATCTACACAGCCCTTAACAGAAATGAGTTTACAATTGGCCTCTTCATTGTTAGTTAATTTAGTTCATTTATTATGCACCCCATACCCATCTTCTGGGCGGTCATTGACCTGTGAAATGTTTGATACTGTAAACCATGTAGTATTGTTGAGAGGTCAGTGTTGAAGTCACCTCCTTTGATAGAATTTTTTGAGTTTCTTGTTTATGATAAGGTTCCTTATATTATATGAGAATGCAGCTGTATTAGCATTGGTAAATCTATAAATAGCTCCAATAGCTCTTGACTATTTAAAGGATTTTGCAGAGAATTAAGCAAAGGTATATTCACGTTAGTTGTCTCTATTGCTAATAGCACTTGTGCAATTGAAGGTACTGTATCTTGATAACAGATAATAATCTTGTTGTATAGTTGGGTATGGTCTATACTTAGCCAGGTTTCTGTTAAAATAATGAAAGATAGTTTAGTGCCTAGTGCTTCAAGTAGTGCATTGATGCCATCAAAATGTTTACCAAGTGATCTGACATTTTAGTTGAATACTAATAGGCTAGTGTTATTTTGGAGTTTTTTGCAATACCTACATGAACTCCACAAATGGTCAGAGGACTGGCAAATGCCTTTTAATATCAACAAATGCAAGACCCTGCATGTGGGGCATAACAACCCATGCCACGACTACCAAATTAATAGCATTGCATTGCAACAGATGATGAAGAAAAGTATCTTGGAGTCAAAATCCACCACTCATTAAAAGTTGTATAACAGGTGGGGGCAGCAGTCAGAAAAGCTAACCAAACTCTTGGGATAATAAAGTGTACTTTTGACTATAAGGAAAAGAAGCTAATGGTTCAACTGCATAAATCTCTGGTGCACCCCATTTGGATTACTGTTTAGCTATAGCAGAGCAGCTATACCCAGGCGCAGGTGCTTGAGAAGGTGCAGCACTGGGCAACAAAAGTCATTCCAGTGCTAAGTCATCTCTCGTATTGGGAACAGTTGCAGGCCACAGGGCTAACACTACAGTCCAGGCATGGCAGGGCAGATCTCATTGACACTTAAAATACTGAACAAGTTAGAGGATGTTGATCCGGATATTTTCTGGTAATTTATATTAGTGAATATATATATCCTGGGTTTATTAATTGTATAAATAAAAATAGTTAACTATAAGTAAACAAGGATCTGAGTAAAGTGAGTTTGTTTGATGATATAACTAATTTAAAGAGTAGAAGAGATTTACATTGGTAAGTTACTTGGATTCAGGCATTAGATACAATACAATGAAAATAATTGCAATAAAATTTTAAATCTAGGAGCAAATACAGCACACATTAAAATGATAAAATAATGTAATAATAAAAATGAAATTAAAACTAATATTTAATATTATTGAGCAAATATAAATCTCCTGAGCTTCTATATTCTAATGACACCTATATAAGTGAAAATAGTTAACTGTAAGTACAAAATATAGTTCTGACCACAGATGATAATGCAGTTGGATTATGATATACAGTATAAACTGACAGAATGAAAATGTAGTAGTCAAAATGAAAATTGTGTAATATTTAAGTGGCACATTCCTGTAATGTGAATTTCATTTCTGGCAGGGATGATGGGTGTGGTGAAGGGAGGGGCATATGGGTCTGGGATGATGAAGGTGGTGGAGACACTGCTGAAGGAAGGTGTCCAGGAGCTGGCAGTGGCCACGGTGGCCGAGGGCATTTACCTGAGGAAGCATGGCATTACCATCCCTATCACCATCTTGGGTAAGTGCTGTATGATTCTGTAAATTAATTACTCGACTGTAGTTACTGAATAAGAGCTTATGGTGTCCCATCTTCCCAGTGCTGTCATGACACTTCAGCTTGTCCTCACAGCAAATACCAGGACAAACTACACCCCTCCTTTTCAAACCACCTGGATAGTTATCTAGATATTTGTTGTCTGATAAGCATATTTTTTTCAGATTTGAATATGCTTTTTCATTGATGTAAATGAGAAATAAATGGGCCAAGTACACTACCCTGTGGAATGCCAATGCTAATTGGTAGAGTGGTAGAAGTAGCATCATTCACAGAAACATATTTAACACCTCTAGCCTCTCCTCTTGGCAGTTCTTTTTCAGTTCTGAAAGTCATTTGGTAGTGTATCTTTACACCTCCAGGTTATTGATGTGCTTCTTGAGATATGGATCATATGGACACTATACAACTGCTGCATATTCCACTTTTGATCTCGGGAAAAGTAATGTACAGTTTTTATCTGATGAAACCCCTAAATGGGACTCTCTGAAGCCATCTTCCTGAGATGGTTCCCAACAACAGTACTAGGTCAGATCAGCCATGGAGTTCTTAGGCCTACCAGGGACCAAAATCAGAACCTGACCCCCCCACCCCCCTCAAAGAGATGCTGGGAGATGATGAATCATCATCTCGCTGGAAAAGGCGTCCAGAAAAGTCAACGAGCCAAAATGGACAACTGCTGGATTCAAGGGAGACCAAAGCCTCACAACCCTCCTAATAAATCCCCTTAATTATCTATAGAAACTATTGAATTTCTGGAAACTAGTCTGTGCTCATTTCCCCACATCTTTCTAACTCATTTGGAGGGGGGCAAGGGGGGTGGTAATTGGATTGATGATCTTTCAGGGCTTGAGCCCTCGGTTCTTATGCTGATGCAGTTACAACCATTTGACTGTAACCAGGTCAGGTTACCTCTTTGCTGTGCAAGCTCCACTGTTTTACTGTTTTTCAGCCAAGTGATATTTGGATTTTGCCTTTAATGCATTTCTGTGTACATTGTTACATTGTGTAAGCCTAGCTTTTCTGTGCCTGGAGCTGCATCTGCTCAGGGCTTCCTTTCCTGGGTGACCCCCCCCCCCCAGCACTGCCCTTGCACTGGCAGTTCGCTGGTGTTTTGGATCACTCCCTTAGTTCTTTGCACACAGTCTTTTGAATAAAACTTTGAATTTAAAACCACTTCTAGATCTTTCTTTGTCAGACTTTTTTAAAGCTTTTTCACATAATAAGCAGGTTTTGTGTGGTCAATTTTCTTCACATTCTATAACATAGCATTTATTCACATTAAATTCCATGAACATTAAGTGAGCATAAGTTAAATAAATTCCATAAGTGAACTTGGGCAATAATGTAGAAGCTCACTTATCTGGCCTATATGGGAAGGACCTCTCGCTGGATTAGCCAGACATCCAGATAAGCAGAATTCTTAACGGGAACATCCAAAAATTTTGTACCACAACCAAATTTCCACACATACGGTACTATAAATCAAAATTGCAATTTAAAACAAACTTAAGCTTACCTTGTTGTAATTCAGTCTTATTTGATACAGTAGATTGTGATGTGTAGATCTTGAAAACGTAATCTCTGGTTATCTGGACTTCTGTCTATACATGGCAAAGTGTAGTCAGGAAGTTATCCATACATGATTTTAGCCAGATAACCCAAATATTTAGTTCAGCTGGCTTGGGATAAGAGCTCATATAGTATTGTTATACTGTAGCAAAGAAGTTATATCTATCGTAATTTTTTCAAACGAGAAAAATGTGGAGCAAGTATATTATTACAGGTAACATAATACACTCGCTACATAATTATTAACATAATACATTCACTACAAATGCATGCGTTATAATCATGAGCCTCCAAAATTAAATGTTTAAATGTTTTCTTGCAGGTAACTTACTGGCATGTGAGGTTCTGGAAGTAACGACACACTCCCTCATCCCCTCCATCAGTTGGGTGACGGCTCTCGCCTCTGTCTCCAAGGACACGCTCGTCTATCCAGTCAGTCATAGCATTACAGCCACATTTTACATGTACTGTACTGTAGTTTCATCATTTTGTAAATCTAATTTGTTAAAACTACAAAAAATGCCTGATACAGTGTAATGAAATTGCATAACTTTCCTCACTTTTTTCTATTGGAAAAGGGGGTGAAGAATGCTCCCCTCACCATCCCTGGCTTCTATAAAGCTTTGCATTTTACTTCTTTCAATTGCAATTAGCAATTGTTGACTTTCCCAGCCACAGTGTATAAAAAAATTAAGTAAAATGCATGGCTGCGTGATGTCACGTGCAGGGGCTGAGTTAAGCCCTACTACCACTGGCGTTTCAGTAAAAGAATTTGTGAACTAGCATTACTGTGTTGGCATTCCCCAGGATGGGTCTCGGCTGAGTGTGGCCATCAACATAGACACAGGCATGTCCCGCTATGGTGTCCAGCCAGCACACCTCCCTGACCTGGTCCAGGCCCTGGATGACCTGGAGGTTCCCATCAGCTCCATGTACACACATTTCCAAGCCTCCATCACAGAGAAGGAGAAGAACCAAAAGCAACTAGAGATATTTCTTCAAGCTACAGAGCCCTTTAAGTAAGTTTATGGTTTGCATTAGTTCCTTTAATTTTTAAATAATGTTATGAATTTTCATGCTCAAGTGATACGATAAGTGTTAAAAGATCTACAGAAGCAATGCAGGTATTAATTTTTTGGAGGGCTCAAAGGTGACTCACTGTTGCTAGAAGCTCTGGTTAGCTCCTCAACTGTCGAGTCGCACCAGGCCCTTGTGACTCTCTATAGAGTCTTCCAGGGACCAGAGGCCAAAACCTGGCTCTACAGAGAGCAGGAAAAATGTGATCACCCTCACCATGATAGCAGCCACCAGAAGGGTAGGGCAAAACAGAATGGATAACAGCAAGGTAATGCAACAATTCTGCAATTTATTTGCATAGTAGTTAGGTAGTTCACCCTCTAGTTCCAATGTTCCAATTATTCACCATCAGTTGGCAGCACAGAGAGTTCAAGGATCACTCAGTGAGTCACCCAAGTCATTCACCTTGTGTGACCACACAGTGGTGCACATTGGTGCTGTTAGATCATGCTGCATGCATTACCCTTCAATGCTTACTGAACATTGAGACATCACCCAGGAATGGTGTCCATGAATATTTTTCAAAATGGTCTCTGTTTACTGGAGGCATGAGAAAGCCCAGTGTACCTGTGGGAGTTTTAAATCTTACATGGTATGTTAAATTATTCCTAGATGACTGGTGTAGGTTGGTCAGATATGCTGCCAGACATCCCTGTACGACTCGAGTAGAAGTAATACTGTACACGGTTTGTAAGTGATAATTTATGAAAATGGCATAGACTACTTTATTATATAATCTATTTGGCAACAGAACAGATATACTGTAATACATTGAAAAATTACAATAACATCAAAATACAAAATTAACTTACTGCAGTTTGGATGAGGCAATGTGAGTGAAATTTTTACATGTTAAATAGATATGTAATATGCTTTTTGAATGCTTACAGACTGCTGTATAATTTGGCTTCAGAATAGTGTAACAATTTCATGATGTACTGTACATTCAACCAGAACATGGTAGATATATATTAGAACCATTATGTATAGTGTGATATGTTGCATGCAGCCCTGCCAGTTACCAGGCTTGCTAAGCTACTAAAAAAAAAATACCTGTACAACCTTACCAAAGTAATCTAACATAAATTAATACATACTATTACTTTGCTCCACAAAATGTAATAATGTACTGTTCTCAGATGTTATGTAATTGGTGAACCTAATGTTTGGCACTGTGATCACCTATTGGTCAATGCTTGATGGCAAATTCTAACTGCCAGTATTTTGTGTGGCATACATGCTGTAATGTGGTGTGTTGGTGGCAGAACTCGACCTCTCACCCGGCACGTGGCAGCCACCACTGGCTGTGTCCAGGACTTGGGTACTCACCTTGACCTCATACGTCCTGGGGGTTCCATCACCGGCCTCAGCTCAGGTTAGCTCAAGGTCATCTGTCATCTCCAGTCAATAACAGGTCAGCTGTTACTACTACCAGCTCAGGTCAGTAGGTCACCTGTCACTACTCCCAGCTTGAGTCGGCAACAGGGACTACTTCTACTGGCCTCGGAACAAAGTTGATGGCAGAACCACTGTCTACTGGCCTCCTCACACCATGGGACTGGCAGCAGGGCTATCCTCCAGTGCCCTCCATCCCCAATTGTGGTTGACAGCAGGACCACCCTCCACTGGACCCATCCACCCTGAGCTCAGGGTTGGTAGCAGGGCTACCCTCCACTAGCCCTGAGCTCAGGCTTGGTAGCAGGGCTGTCAGCTGGCCCCCGGCTCAGGCCAGTAGCAAGCAAGCCCTTCCTCAGCGAGTCTCAAGTTGGGGTAGATTCTCACCTGTTGATACCTAACATATTCATGTTTAATGTTAAAGCCATGTTGGTTTAGGTCATTCTCTTGATTTGCCATAATATACAAAATTCAATGTCCTAACCAAATGCATGAACCCAAGTAACCCACCTAAACAACTTGTGCATAGAAAATGTCTATTTTTGTCAGCCGCTACTTTTCATAGTATGAACATTATGGTAACCAATGTACTGCATGTAATGTGCCGTAAGGACATATAAGTAGAGAGGATGGGTTGGCTGTTGCTACTGGCCTTTCTGGATTCCTCATTGTAACTAAATATTGCTGCTACATAATTGGTGTTCCCACAGATTTCCACTAGGATGAAGAAATGCACAATTGCAGCGCACAAATCCAAAAAAAAACAAAAAGTACTTGAGCTTTAAAGTTATAAGTGTAAACTCATGTGTGAAAATTTATACATCTTTGGTCTTGTGCAGTACTTTTTCATTTTATTTTTCCTCTTAGTTTATCCATAACTTTAAACTTGCTTTAATTGAAAAATATGTATACATTATTGCAGTTGCTGCCTGATTGATGAAGTACTGTATTGTCTACACATGGTAATCTGATTCATATGGGGTCCACCCCTTTGTTTTATGCAAGCTGAACACTTGATTCGGCCAAATTTCTTGCTAAGAATGTCCAAAATTGTCCAGGCTGTCAAACCCTGATTGACCTCCAAAATCCTTGCCTCCAAATATCAGTCCAGGACATAAGGTATTTGCAAAAAAAAAAAAAAAGTCGAGTGGCATACTTTTGAACATCATAGGCACGAGGGCAGACCACAAACTGACTAGACTATAGTACTGTACTTGCAGTGGGTATACTCTTAGTATACATTTCTTAGTATAGTGCTTTGTAAAGTTATCATCTGTAACATGTATTTTACAGTATTATTTACCAGTTTGTATGGGAAAGACTTGAATAACTGGGGCATTACTTCATGCAGGTGCAGACCGTGAGAGTGTCGAACAGTTCGCCAAGTGTGGGTTCCGACCAGCTTTCTCAGTTGTGGCCCAGCCCTCCTTCTTCAAGCTGCTGCCAGCAGGTCGCTTCATTGGTTACGACGCTACCTATGAGACGCAGGGAGAAGAGTGGATAGCAAATTTTACCACAGGTTGGTCTGATGGGCTCAGTCGACGGCTCAGCAATGGTGACGGAGCAGTGAAGAGAGTCAAGACAGGTTAGTTTAATGGCTTGTGGTTACTAGTATATTATTGTTATGGGGGTATAAGAAACATTATAAGCCTATAAAGTTCCACCAATCTAAAGTAAGGCTGTCTGTATGATCACCCATCCAGTTTCTGTTCAACCAAGTTATTACCCTATTTGAAAGTGTGTTCAGTATCATAAGACCATGCTGAGAAGATACTGAAACTCATGGTGAACTGTTTCAATATTTATACAGTGGCAAACAACTTAGAAAATGAAGATGTGGTCAGGTAGCATGCACATGGTTCTTAAGTCTCCTTAATGGCATTGATGGATGTCGTATATGAGGTAACAGGTCCAAAGCTGTGGAAGTTGAAGCCAAAGCCCTGACAGAGAGGACATGGTATAGAGGGGTTGGAAGAGCAGAATTCCATAAAAAAAAAGGGGGGGTTGGGGTTTAATCTCAAGAGTGGTTCATAAAGTGGCAAGATCATGTATGTTTGTGTTGGCATGGAATCTGTGCTTTCCCTTGTATACAGCTCAAGGCCCTTGTAGTGGATGTCTTTCTGCTGGAATGGTCGAGGTGGGGGATTCTGAACTTTTTTCCATGGTTTGGCTTTTGCTACAGGTCCTGGCGAGGTTGGTCCTACCAGAGAAGTGTGATCCTTCCAACTCCCTGTGACTAGGAGTCAATCATGATTTTGGGCACTGCTTGCTTGGTGTCCAAACCCAGGCATTTTTCTGCAGCTTTGTCAGTATCAGTAGGTCGGCTCAGTGACATACTTCACTGGTTCAACCTTCTCCTTCACATCTCTTTGCATTTGCATAATTTTGTAAATATTTTTATTGCCATCTTGACGGCATGCGGGTGGCTTCTTTAATGGTGTCCTACCTGTGTTCTTTTTCTCGGCAGAAGTATAAGGCTTTGTGGTGCTCCTTTCACCAACTCATTTCCATTTGCAATTGCTCTTCAGTTTCTGAAAGTATGATGCACTCCTCTTTTAATTTTCTTGATCAGCATCTTGTGCCAAATACTGTTTCATATCATGCAGTGCTGGCAGGGCTGCTGCAGCTTGCATTTATATAGATACCACCTTTGCACTCTTTCACAGGCTGTTTCGTACCTTGTTTCATCTCCTACCTGCTCTTGCAGCACCTGAGACAACCTGGTCCTTGGACAAAGTTCGAGAGTCTTTTCTTACGGCTTTGTTTATAATTTCTCTTGCCTCTGGGTGTTGAGTCAAAGAGCTTCATGCTCTTGTCTAGAGGTGGTGGTTTTCTTCCTTTGGCTCGTGGGCGTTAGGTTCGCTTGGAGCTGGCTCTTTTTTTTCTTTTTCTTTCTGGTGAAGAAAGTCAGTTGACGTTCGAAGGAGTCCTTTGGTTATTCATGGTTTGTTCAGCCAGGGGTACATCGTGTTGTCCGGTGGCGGGGCTCTGCTATTACCTTTAAGCCACCCATTCTGCTTTGGTGGATGCTTTGTGGGTTGATACTTTTTCACTGGTTCCCTGTTCCAAGGCTCATATTTCCCAGGTCGTGGCTGCATACTCCAGGATTGGCCTTACATACATGGTATACAAGGTTCTGAAGGATTGTGTGTGTTAGGCACAGGTCTCTGAAGGCAGTTCTGATGTTAGCCAGCCTCATGATCATGGTGTGAATGATGTCATGCTAGTTCAGAGAAAATTTGATAGTTTGTTTACATAGGAGATAGTTTCTTCTTTCGGTGAGTGTTGAGGCTTCGGTCTATCTTAAATCCAGCAGTATTTTTTTTTTTTTTTTTAATACACATTTTGGTTGCTTCCATCATAATCAATGACAATCAATGTCACCACTACCTGCGCCTGTGTGAGGGGTAACCATCTCAGCCTATAGCTTCAGGGAGTCACTGGGGCTCGCCCAGAAATTGCCATTTTATTTCATTTAGTGCTGGTATTTTCATTATAGTTGAAGTATTCCTCTTTGTTGTGAGCCTCGGGCAGGTATTTCATCAAAACCTGTGTACTTAATGCACATCTGTATGGCTGACGGATAAAACCTGATCTTTTATATTACAGGAGAGTTGTGCCCAATAGTAGGCCGTGTGTCAATGGACTCCATCACGGTTCGTCTTCCTGAAGCTCCGGAGGAAGGTGAAGTGTTTCAAGTCATCACTGACGATTTTGATGATGTGACATCTGCAGTAGGAATGGCTAGGAACTTGGGGGCGGCTGTGTATGAGATGCCTGGGAATTGGTCAACACGTCTTCCAAGAGTGTTTTCTAAGAATGGAAAAATTGTTTATATATGTCATTCACTTTGCTATGAATGTTGAAAAAATCAAACTGAATATATACTATGCAGAATATTTAAGGCAATTGTTAATTATAAATGTAGAACACTTTTCCATGCTCATTTTTCTTTTAAAACGAAAGTTTTTGTGCTTCCTCGGTATTACCTGGGAATTGGCTGGAAAGACCAGTAGAGCAGTTGAACCTTCTCCAGCTAAGGTTTTATCAACCTATCTTTGTAACTTGTCATAGTTTTAATGTGAAAAGGAATCTTAATCTGTGCCTTAATCGACTGAGTTACAACCATGTTATAGCTCAGTCGATTAAGGCAGTGTCTGGGATCCTCTCGGACGTAGGTTCGAACCCTTGTCACGGCCCTTGTGGATTTGTTCAGCGCTAACTATATTTTAAAAAGTACAGTATTAAGAAATGACCCCAAAAATGTGTTGAATTGATATACGTATATACAGTATATACATATATATATTTTAAAAATTATTTAAAAAGTATTTTGTTTAATAACCTCATACATAATATAGGAACAAATGAGACCTGCACAACATTTCAGCATTATCTGAAAAGCAATCCACAGCCAAGTGTTCAGAGTTTCTCATGAATTGTTATATACCGTACAAATACATTCACCCCCAATTACCTTTGTCCTTGCTTTAGCTTGTGGGACCTACCTACCAACACCCACAGTGGGTTTAAGATCCATGGCTGTTCAGCATACTCGCAATGAGCATAAGATATTGCCAAAACAAACGTGGACATCAAGAGAAAACTAAATAGTTTTCTCAAAGTGCCGGCCCAACCGGGGTGTGGTGGATATGTGGACCTGCGGGCCTCTCCAAGCAACAGCCTGTTGGACCAAGCTCTCAAAAGTCTAGCCTGACCCCAGGACAGGCTTGGAGAGTAGCACTCCTAAAACCCCATCCAGGTACAAACCTTTCTAAACACGCACACACAATGGTTCTGGGGTAGTTCTGGATAAAAAAAATTGTCAGCTGAGGATCGCATAAAGAACACTAAGGCGCATATGCTGTGTAGGATGACCTCGCCTCTGGGTAAGTTGACACTTCTGTAGGATAACCCAACCTCTAACCAAGTTGACACATCTATAGAATGATGTGACCTCCGCCGAAGTTCACACCTGTGTAGAATGATCCGATTCTTATTACACGTTTGAGTAATTTTACACCTCTGTAGGATAGCCTGACATCTGACACCTCTGTAGTAAGGTATCAATTCACAGCTACCCCCACCTGACCTCTGGGTAAGTTAACATCTATGAAGGATGATCTGACCTCTGACCAAGTTGACATTTCCATATGATAACCTGATCTCTAAGTTGACATGTCTGTAGAATGACCTGACCTTTGGGCAAGTTGACCTCTGTAGGGGGATCCAACCTCTAACCAAGTTGCAGACGATCTGTATTAACGTGGGTGAAGATATATCTAAACACACACACAAATTAAGAAACAACAACATTATTGTCTGTTCTGGTGTAACAGTTGTGAATGTGGCCCGAGTTGATCCCTTTGCAGATGAAAAGACAATAACGTGGCTGAAATATGTTAACCAATCCTCACATTAGAAATTGGACTTACTCCTACTATAATGAGTAAGAATGGGAACATAAGAGAAACCGTTTCTCTTGCGTTCCTATTATTACAGCCTATATTACACCTTGCCTTCTGTACCTTTTGCCTTGCTCTAGTCTTCCTCTAAGATTTCAGTCTCCTCACCTCTCTTGCCTTACTTAATGCCCTTGCTTCACTCATCTCATCACAATCGACTTGATAATGGTCCAGGACAAACCGAAACGTCATCGTTTCTTCAATTTCTAGTGTGTGGCCTGGTCAACATTGATCCCTTTGAGAAGTTACCAGCTTCGTCTGATAACCCAACGATAATAGGGGGATCCAGGGGTATAAAAGACGGGAACAAGTTGAGAAAGAGATCAGAAAATGGAGCAAGGAGACAGAGTAAGGAGGTATGACAGTGCGAGTCCTCAGACCAGAGAGAAGATTGTGTAGACACGAGTGAGCCAAGTCTCCAGGCAAGAGTGTCAGCCGAGTCTTCAAACCATAAGAGTTGTGGTGCCCACGAAGTTCATCCGATCGGGATATTGAACCAGGTGAGTGTCCGAGAGGTGATGTACTTGTGTTCCATGATTGTGTGTGGTGAAACTCCAGGGGCAGTTAGCTGTATTGGGTTCTCAGTTTCTGGTACAGTGACTCTACTCCTTTGTAGAATATAATCAATGCTAAGTGGGCATGTAAAGTAGTACAGGTATTCAAAATTATAATGCAAAAATATATTTTAAATTTCCAAGTTTTAAATGTCTGTTAATATTATCCTAAGATAACAACCCATCCTCCTGTTTGGTATTACTTATAGTAACGATGAGAACTATAGTACTGTACTGTGTATATACCAACGCATAACAAAATTAGAACGTAGACATCTGAACTATCGAGTTGGATAAACCCAAAAAATTTTTTTTACCTGTGTTGCTTTGACAAACTAAACTAACCTATCCTAACCTCCCTAGGCCTAATACACAATATCCAAAGCCTAATATAGATTTAAATTTGTTTTAGCTTCATTTATTTTACTACTTTACGCAATAGGTACCATCTAAACAAAGAGGATGGGTTGTAAGATAAGGTATTATTTTTCTATTTATGTTTGAATGTTATTGGAAGTTATCCTCAATGTGATAACTGTGGTTTAAGAGGAGTTCCAATTCTCATCTAAAAATATATTTTAAATAGATGGTGGCAGCTCTACCTTCTTTCTATCCTACTAATCCTTTCATTTTATCCCCAATATTATCTTACAATCCATTCTTTTCATTCCTAATTCTTAACCAACCTAACCTTTCCACTAAATATCTTTCCTCCCTCCTTCCTCTTACCTCCTCTCTTCCTCTGTTCTATTTACACTTCTTATCTACTCCTCCTCCCATCCAGTTAATTCAATTTGTTATATTTATTCCTATCCACCCCCTCCCCCTTCCGTTACAATGGTTCCTCCCTCTTTCCTCTGTCCTTCTCTACCCTAATTGCTCCCCTACTCCTCCTTCCATCCTTTAATTACATTTTTTCTATTTATTCCAATTTCCTTTTACCCTTTCCATTACACTGGACCATTATGAAGTCCTAGAGTTACACTACTCGATAATGATCCAGAACGGACCAAAGCATTTTTTTGTCTTGCGGTTTGAACGTCATATTTTAGCAAAGTTGACAACTCTTTAGGATGACCTGACCTCTGACCCCCCAAATTGACACCTGTAGGTTGACTTGACTTTGGACCAAGTTGACAGGTCCCAAGTTGATCTATGTAGAATGATCTGACCTCTGGGGTAAGTTGACACTTGCCCCAGAAGTCATCCCGAGTTCTTTGATCCCAATGATTAGCTACAATCATGTGGACTCGCATATTTTGGAGATGCGCCATAAAATCCTAATGGATTTGATGCAGTTGCTGTCTTAGATGCTACTTTGATGTCTTATTTTGAATGATTTCTTTGAACAATTATTTTCAGATAACTTTAATAGTATTTATAAATACCTTACTGAGTCTATGTATACCAAACCTTATAACCAAAAAATAATGTATCTGATCATTTTGAGCCTTCCTTCCTGACCTGGCAACTTTGTGGGTATTAATTATACTTACCAGTTAACTATAGATCTGACACAGCTCTTCACCATCTCCTGAATCTGTTTAAATGTGCATGCTTGCTGCATGAGGGTTAATACCACAGTTTAAATTTTAAAAGGTTAGCAGTATTCCTGGGTTTATACACTTCATTACAATTTCTAAATATAATTACTAATTATATTACTGTATTTACAAGAAGTGAGAAAAGTAGCAGTGTACTAAGCTAGAGAGAAAAAAAAGGTATTTCATGCCCAAATACACATTAAATATTGTATTGATATTCCATTTACCTGGACTGTACGGGTCTGTAATTGGTATAAATAAATATATTTATGCAAATCTTTTGTTTATTCATAGGAAACAAATTAAACAGGTTACGGACAAAAATGTTGGGCTATGCAGCATAAAATATATTTAAGCTCAACCTAGTGTTTTCACCTCACATGTAGTGTTGCCCAAACCCACTGGGTTCATTTGCTATTTTTCCCAGTCTTAAGAAAAACTAGTCAGTGTGTGTGTGTGTGTGTGTAAATGCATAGAATGTGAAAAAGTACCTTCATGACTGTTAACGCCACAAATCAAACTGCATGAAAGTCGTCTCACTCAAATGCACAATGTTTGCTCAGAGTTGTTTTGGTGTTCAAAATTTAAATGCTGCACAGTGCTCTGGCCTCGTAACTCCTCGGTTATTTGTTTTTCCATTTTTTTTTTTTTTTTTTTTAATCTGTTGTGGCTAGAAAATGGCAGTGATTTAGCAATGTTGTTCATATTGGTATTTTATTGAGAAGCGTGGAAAAAGTTAACATTTGGAGGTCTTTTTGAAAGCATTTCATAATTTCCCAAAATAAAGGTAACTTTACTTTGCATAAATTTGCTCTATAAAAGGTTTAACCAAGAATGCATCTCGGGTTCAAATTTTGCCTCTAATATAAAGCTTCTCACAGAAGAAGAAAAATAAGGTTTAAATTAACAGTTCAGTTTAAAAACTCATGAGTATTTATATTTTTGTGCTCCTACTCACTAACCCCTTGAAATGTTCATACAATCCCAAGATATTTGACCCATGGTGGTCACATCCAAAACTGCTTTAGGTACTTTGCAACATTTGAAACTCTCACTGGTACATTTAAGTGACTTTAAATTTCTGTGACAATTTACCTATGCTTAGGGAATAGTTTTTAACATTAAGAGGAAGACAAAAACCTTGTTTTGAATATTATTTTACTGTACGCATACAGATAATGCCTGATGTAACCTGTGCGCAATCAAAGTAAATACTGAGTTAAGCAATAAAATGTAACCAATATACAACTTTCCATTGGTCTGTAGCTGGTAATAAAAGATTTGACACTTAATTTTTAAATTTGTTAGTGATACTGAAGCCATTGATTGGGATTGCATTCATACCTGCACCCATTAGTCTCCCCACCAATGACCACGTTTAAAAATATTTTGATACCTGTACGCAAGTATTGTACAGTTTAAAGGATGTATGTCAGCCTATTGAGTCCTTATTTTTTTTCACTTTTGTTTTGGTATATGAAGCATTTCACTAATACGGCCATAGTTCGCCACACTAATCAAATGACATTATTTCCCAAGGTTGCACCCCCATTAAAATGTATACTGACTGATATGCTATCATGTTTGAATAAGAATGTACCAATCACCAAAACCTATAATAACAACCTATCGTACCATCTTCTATATAAAAAATGTAAAATATTGGCGTGTATTGTAAAACAACAAAACTGGCTTTGAATGTGAATAATGCAGTTCTGGCCCAACAAGAAATGATGGCAAAATAAGCAATTCAACTTCCACTCCAGTTCTCTTCCGTACAATATTTCTAAAAGACCTCACACGCCAGCTTAACATTTTATACACCAATTAACATTCCATGTACAATAGATGATAATGCCATTTTAAATCTAAAATGATATGAGTATGAAGTTTGTGGATAAAGCCATGACTTGACCATTAAAATATTCATGAACCAATTCAAGATGATTTTAATAAATAAAACACAAACCCCCTTGCTTATTTACACAATGCAATGGATTGGCAAAACACAATTTATATTTTAAATAAACTTCAAATGGACACGTACAAAATAAATATGAAGGTAACGCCCCACAATGCCCATTGATGAAATGAGATGAGATTTTTTACTAATATAAATTATTAGAAATTGAGTGATCATAAATTGATATAAGATTCTAAGAAATACAAATTTATTTCCATTTTAAGTTTACAAATGCCACAACACTAGGTCCTCATTTCAAAAAATTATATATATACATATGAATGAAATTTAAACCCCAGTGAGCTAGTTTTGAAATATACAATATTCTTTTTCTTTCATGAAACTAAAACTGCTTACTTGACAATTACAGTACATTAAATCGATAAAAATGTGTCAATAAACTTTTGCAAATGGTAATTTTACAATTCTTTCCGATCTTCACAACTGTGATGCTTTATATATATATATATATATATATATATAATAACTACTATAAAAATTGCATTTTTGAACCACATGCACAGTCCACCAATAATAGGAGCACCCCCCCGAATTTGTTTAAGCAATTCTTAGGTTGAAACATTTTTAGCACTTCAAGTAAATGTTACAAGGGTGAATTGAAGTCAACCTATTTTCTCCGGGAGTTTATCATTCATTAATTCATTACGATAATCATTATTTTCCTATGAAACAAATCCTTCATATTAGACCTTTTTTCTTTTTGTATTCTTCAAGGTTTAATGACCTCTTAGGAGCTGTTCCAAGGGAACTGCCATTTGTTGCATTTCCCAGTGTTTGTCTTGGACCAAGAGGAGCAGAAGCTGTAAAAGGCCAGAAAATTAAATTAGTATCCTGAGATTTTAAAGTCGATACACTTGAGGTAAAATACAACTTAAAATTTGTGTGGAAATAATATAGTACAGTATATAAATATACAGTCGTGTCTTTGACATTAGACTATGGGACCAGATCTAATTAAAAGTTTGTCGAATTGAGGATTTCGGAGATTTTCAATCGTTACTACAAATTAATTTGCTCAGTTTAAATACATTACACTTGTACTGTAATGTAATTTGTCACTTCTTTTTCCAATTTTATTACAGAAAAAAAGTAACTGCACTTGCTGTAGAAGTAAAACTCACTCAAACCTGCCTGTCTGTATTTTAGCACATGGCTTGTCTACTTGCAATTTTCTTCCTGAAAGAGTCTGGATGCTTTACTTTGATGTGTGCTTATAAGTTGTACTTGTGTTTGATGGTCATGCTGCAGACATGACATGGCAGTTGCAAATTGCCACTACTGGCAATCTTATTTTCTGTTTTGTTTACTGTTGCCTTGCTGTTGTGTCCTTTGTTTTGCTCACCTTTCCAGGGGCTATTTTCTCAGATTGATCTAGTACCATCGGCTCTGTGAAGGGACCACGTTTAGCCCTCTGGTCTCCAATAGGCTATTAATGACTTGCGAGGACTTCATACAAAACAGGAGTTTCGTTAAATTCAACACTGGGTTGTTGCCAACATTTCTAAGGATTAACCTAATTCTTGTAACATTACCCAAGCAAAATGAATTGCCATAACTCAGAAATAAAAAACTATATGAGTGTTATTTATCAGAAATAAAATACCCAGTGAATGGCACAACCACCTATTGTTTACTTTTGACAGCGTGTTCCCTTTCTTGAAAGGGTAACTCCATATAAAATCTAATCTGCTTTTGAGATTTTAAATTCCATCACGTTTGTGCTTGATTAACCACCGTGCTGCACGGCCTTAAAATATGACATTCCCGTGGTGCGTCGAAAATAAATTATTTCCAAAAAATTACTTTTTCTTCTTGTATTATTAAAATGCAGTCTCTGATCACGGGAAACCCCCGAAAAAAATTGTATGTGGCATACTTTAGCCATGATGAGGTGAGAAGTTGAGCAAATTATGGGCGCTAAGCAATGGAGTGCTCAGGGCCACTCAACTCTGCCACCCCATGAGCCGGCAGTTGTTGTGAATATAAATTGTCAAGTATTTTGATTATTTTTGTTTCTCATTCATTTCTTCTGTTTTTTTGCTGCTGTGATATTATTCAAGTGGAATTTGTAGAATTTATATACCCAGTAGTTGTGGAACATCGCTATACTCAAAATTATGGGGCTCTCATATGTTCCATGTATATTATATTCTATGGTCAGTGTTTTTCCTGTCATTACATTATATACACACACATATATACATCTATCTACGTGTTTTGTTCACCATAACTGTACAACTAAGTTAGTATGATGTCCAAACAACACAGTGGCCACAAAAAATGCATGACAAGTGACATAGCAGTTAGCAGACCACTCACTCCCCTCACCAAAATGGCTCCTCCCAGCACTGTTCATTCTGTTATTACACTATATACACACACATTATATACAAGTATCTAAATTTGCATTCACCATAGCAAACCACTAAGCTGATATGGTGTGTTCAGACAATAACAGAGGTAGCCACACAGTCAGCTGATCCTCCCACAATAGTGTTACTGCACTATATATACATATATAGATATCTATATGTTTTGTTCACTATAACTGTACAACTAAGCTGGTATGGTGTCCAAACAGCATAGTAGCCACCATACACAGCATGACAAGTCACATCAGCCAGCAGACGCCACCTTACACTATATACACACGTTATATATACATATCTATATTTATGTTCACCATAGCGAACCACTAAGCAGTTACGGTGAGTCCAGACAATAACAGGTTGCCACAGTCTCTCTCTGTGGCAACTGTTCTGTTCGGAGACTGTTCACAGTCTCCGTGGTGTAGTGGTAAGACACTCGCCTGGCGTTCCGCGAGCGCTATGTCATGGGTTCGTATCCTGGCCGGGGAGGATTTACTGGGCGCAATTCCTTAACTGTAGCCTCTGTTTAACGCAACAGTAAAATGTGTACTTGGATGAAGAAACGATTCTTCGCGGCAGGGGATCGTATTCCAGGGACCATAGGATTAAGGACTTGCCCGAAACGCTACGCGTACTAGTGGATGTACAAGAATGTAACAACTCTTGTATATATCTCAAAAAAAAAAAAAAAAAAAAAAAAAAGAGCTGACGACGCTACCTACCTTCCTCCCTCCCTCACCAAGACTACTACTCCCACCATACAATGCACAGCGCTAATTATCACCACAATCCTGCTATTATCAGAATCCTGGTCATTTTATCAATCAGGGGTCTTCTGTAATACTATCATTGCTAAATAAGAGCAGTTACATATATATTTTGACATTTTTAGGAGATTCTGTGGTCACAAGCTGAACAGCAGTACTGTCAGCTAATGCTACGTGCACCAGCCTTTGTTACTCGCTTATTACCTGTACTGATGCTCTTACACCCAAGAATGCTACCATTGATTTTATTTTTTAAATGGCATATGTTTAAAGGAGTCCTGAAACGCAGGATGTGAGCCCTGTATACCTGCGGGAGTTTTGAATCGCTCCCTATACCTAAAAACGCCGCATGGCACACTCTGCACCCTTAATCTAGTGCCACAAGGCACTCTGCGCAGTGCAGTGGTTAAAGTGCAAAACCAAAAATGCACTGACAAAACAATGACAACCATTATAAGCATATGCAAGTAAGAATTTGAAAATGAGGAACAAATACTACATCATAAGATATGGAACAAGTCATAAGATATGTACTGTACCAGTAACCAAGCAGTGATGTGTGAATATAGCTAAGACAATTGCCTCGGGCTATCTGCTGCAAACTGTAAATATTGTTTTTTCCCTTTTTTTTGTATGGTCAACAATGCAAGATTTTGTATAGTCTGAAACTTTTATGTTAACTTGAACCAGACTTTGACATGACCTGTCTTTGATCTGAGAAACTTGTATTATGTAAAACTTGTATTTGTCCATTTATATCATAGGGGAGCCGGTCGGCCAAGCGGACAGCACACTGGACTTGTAATCCTGTGGTCCCGGGTTCGATCCCGGGCACCGGCGAGAAACAATGGGTAGAGTTTCTTTCACCCTATGCCCCTGTTACCCAGCAGTAAAATAGGTACCTGGGTGTTAGTCAGCTGTCACAGGCTGCTTCCTGGGGGAAGGAAGCCTGGTCGAGGACCGGGCCGCGGGGACACTAAAGCCCCGAAATCATCTCAAGATGACCTCAAGATATATCACAAAAGTGCAACACAAAATAATGCATTCAGCAAATCTTAAAAACCAATCCCAATAATACATAGAAATAATTTCTTATATTCATAAATGCAATTGCTCACCAGGCATTGTGACATCCAGGTCAATCTTGACATCAAAATCATGAGCTGCAAATAAATCTTCAGCTTGTACTCTTTTTCGTTCTTCATCTTTCTTCTTCTCTTCATCCTGCTTCTTTTTGTTTTGCTCCTCGTCCTTTGACATAAAAAAAAATATTAAACTGGATGTGTTTTTGGTTTTGCTGATCAAAATTCAGGTCTTCATATCATGATACAAAAAAAATAGTGTAACAAGTACAGAATGTGCAATGCTTACAGGAACGAGGTGGTAGTGGCGGCATCGTGGTGTTTACATATCAATAACTACTAGGGAATGAAGTTTAGCTTTTTATGCTCCACTTCCTAGCCTTTTTTACCTGAAAGGCTAGGTAAAGAAAGGCTAAATGCTCTTCTTCTTCTCCAAAATTTTTATTCTTTTTAGTTTTATAGTGTTTTATTGAAAATCCAAGTTAATGGAAAACAAAGTCCCCATTCAGCCTATGCTAACAGCCCTGGTGCTACCTGGTTTAACCCTCCTGCTTTTGTTACTTCAAATTCCTCCAGGTATCTTACTTTCAATTATACTGCTTAATGTTACTTTGTTAGATAACCTTAATGTAGTTATGTAACCTAACTAGACTTCATTCTATTTAGCATTTTAATGATTAAAATTTGTTTCTGTCTTGACAGCATTACTGGAGTCATAAAATTTACACGAATGATAATTACCTTTTTCTTTTTCTCTTCATCCATCTTCTTTCTTCTTTCCATCTCCACTCTTAACAGCATTTCCGATGACTGAATTTCTGGTTCTCTGGTTTTTGTCACCATTGTCGGTCGAGTAGAACGTCTTGTGAAGGGATCCTCAACCTTTAGACCCTTCTTAGCTTCAATTTCTGCCTGGAAAATTTTTAAATTAAATTAAATTCAATTCTCAACAAATTTAATAAAAATTAATCTTACATGGTGAACCAGGCAGGAGGCCTGGTCAGAGACTGGGCCATTGGGGCGGTGATCCCCAGAAGCTACACATTGTAGGTACATACATATATTGGGTGAGGATAACTATAGATTGATCAATATCTGATGAAAATGTATTATTTGGGACAATTATCTATATGATTAAGAGTGATGAAATCCTTATGAATACATTTATTGTATTACTGTACTTGAAATCATATGACAAAGAAAAATAGAAGCATCCCCTGAAATTTGCAGTTTTTCTGCAAGCAGCAACTCTTAGAGAATTAAAATGGGCACAAAAGTTCTTAACCAGATCCCACAGGAGAGTGACATTAATTTACATTAAAATAATATGTACATCACATATTTATTATGATTCTTGGTATCAGAACAGTGATGGTATTGTAACGGCTCTGTAGGATAATATGATATCACACGTAGTAGTCAAGTCCTTTAGATAATACTCAATATTTATCATAACTGGATGTTGCAGAGTAATAAAAGTGCTGTTGTTTATGATTTTAGATTACATAGCTTATATTTTCACCACATATATTTTCCTTGGTTATAATTAACATTGGCTGACAAGCTGCCAACTCTGACCTGTGATTAGCAAGAGTTCTGACTTGACCTGTGGGAACACCAGCTGGTGTAACTGTAAAAGTAATTGTGAATAAACATATAAAACAAATGAGCTTTACTTACCATAATGGCCTTTTCTGCTTTTTCGACATTATTTTTTCGGTTTCGTTCATTGATATATGAAATGGCCGAAATGGTTTGAGTTCTTCGTTTATCAAGGCTATTGGCTTTTTCATCAAGCTCTGCAATTTGTTCATTAAGCTTTTCCACTGTCTGTAAATACAGAATAATAAAATAGTTTGTTATTCAAAAAAAGATATCCTACCAATTTGCTATACTTTTCACACTACATATTAAAGCATCACATACAAATAATGTGGTCACACTACATACTACAACAGGGCTTTTCAATGTATGGGTCGTGACCCACTGCTGAGCTTTGAAATACTTATCATCGAGTTGCAAGGTCAGCTAAGCCAAGAGGATCAAAATGGTTGTCAAGCAAGCATGGATCCCAGGAACCTCTGCACCTTAGTATTGGCTACATAAAGCCAAAGCTGTGAGAAGAGTGGTCCCTAGAGAAAGCCCAGGTACACCCACAGCAAAATGCAGCTTGGACTCCAAACCCCTCTAACATCCCAGAGCAAGGGGGTAAGGTCTACACCCTACCCCCTTACTCTGTAAAAGGAGGGCTGCATAACTATGCCAGATGGACAGTGGAGACGGACCAGCAAACATAGCACCGGTAGAAACATCAGCTCCTTCAAATCCAAACCCTCAGAACAAGGTAGGCTGACTCCAGGGTAACCACTAGACCACCAAGCTGCAAAAACAAAACGGGGCAAACTAACCCAAAGTGGTCTGTGGAGACTCATCACTACAAATAATATAAACCAAAACCAAAAGATGAAGGCTTGACTAAAATAAGAGGGACCAGTGAACTCGAGCATTTTGAGCATTGCAAGCCTTGCAGTGTTAATGTAATGAAATGAGTCTTTATGATAGTGCTCCTGTAGCTTCTTGCAGCGACCACACTGAAATTGCTCATATCAGTTGCTTGGCCTACCGGAGACCAGAGCCAGAACCTGGCCGCCTCTCACAGAGGTGCAAAGCAAATTATAATCCTCCAATTCTCCAATAAGGCATCCAGAAAGTCAGCAAAACTGGGGGTTACAAGAACCGAACCTCAAAACTGCCAAACAACTACCCAAATGATTCAAATGAAACAATGTAATTCACTCGAAACTAGTTTGAATCCATTAACACCGATTACCACCACCAGGTGGCCCAGAGCATTCCAGAACTCACCATTCAGTTCTGGAGTATATAAAAACCACCCCTATGAACCTCAAAGAGAGACAGGAAGTCACTACCAGAAAGTGGCAGTTTCATTACATTCAATGCTCGATTTCTTGGGGAGCCCCTTGATGAGTCCCTATTGCTAAATAACTACAAAGAAAGATGAGGGATTTACCAGGAAAGAGAAGTGGCAGGCACTAATTCAAAGGAGAAACCAATGGCCAGAAAACACGGCAACACAAGCCTGATGAGGACCAACGACATTTACAAATTCCTGGCAGCCACAACCCTGTTTGACCACCAAAAAATCCCCCTCAAGCTCAAATATTCCTCCAAGACATATTAGAAAAGACGGCCCTTGAGAGTAGTACTGTATACTATTTTTGCAAACATCATGGGCTTGGAGTAGACTGCAGGCTGGCTCGACTTGATAACACTGCAGCTATACAAGCCTTGGACCAGAGTACCAAGGAGACAGAATCAACTCGAATTGCTGCCACCAAATTATGCATCGGACAAACAAATGATGCACCTCCCCCCCCCCCTGCTAAATCAACCAAGAATCAATTACCAATGGGCCCTTCCAGAAGCCTGCCAACTCATTCTTCACCAGATGAGAAGACAGCTGCAAATGAAGAAAATGCTAACAAGGAACAAAGGAACAGAAATCCCGCATTCAGAGAAGAGCATGAACCTCCCCAACCCGACAAAGAGAGGCAAGAACTAACAGCAAAACTGCATTAAAAAAGGTATCACGGTACCTAGGGGAGTAGAGAAAATCGAGGACTCTAGAGAAACCAAGAGGGTTCTGGAGGAGCACAAGCAGGCCAAAGGTTGACAAAATGCCCATGACAACTAGCAAAATAGAGCCACAATAGTATTATCATCAAATAGAAGCAACAGCAGCTCTGCCAATGCTGAACATTAAGAGGAAACAATATCAGGCATGAGATGCTGATCAAGAAATCATCATGAAATAAAAGAAATCACTACATGAACCAAAACAAAAGAAAGACAGTGAATTGAGTGCACAGCCTTCTCTTACTGCCACCCTGAAAAAAATTGCAAGTGGGATACTAATAACCCAGCCACCTGCACGAGTTATATAGGGTAGGGATAGACCTGCATCAGAAAATGCAAACCTTAAATGATATAGCCAAGCCGCAACAGACCTGGTGAAAATACTGAAAGCCAGATTTGAGCTAAAGGACAGAACCTGGAAGCTCAACGTCCCACCACAACCTAACCCTGAATGTAGGGGATATGCCAGTATGTGACCACGAGGTCCAGGGACACTATCCAAGCCCGACTTGAAAACCAAGCAAACTCGGGTGGTCATGCAGAAGGTTGGACAGCTAATGAAGCTCTTCCAAACCCGAAAGATCAAGGATTAACTGTAGGTCCATTGAGCCCCCTTCAAACAATCTGGACACCCAGCAAAGGTTTAAGATCAGTTCATCTATGCCCAAGCTAACCACATTGCAATTACCTGATGCAGCAGTGAGAACAAAAAACAACCCACCAGCCCCGACCACAAAAAAAGAGGGATCGGAACCAACTCTACCGCAGGTCAAAGAAAATAACCCAAAAAACCCACTTACAGTTTCTGGAAACCATGTGCAAAATAATGACTTAAGTTTTCATTTTGTGTTATGGCTAACAATTGTGTGTGGATACAACGCTCTATCACATTAAGGAAGACTTTACAAAGTTACTGACTTACCTCATCATCACCTTTCTGTGCAGCCATATCCTTCTCCTTCATCAGCAGCGTTTTGGCTACAGCAAAGTTAGTGGGATTGTTCTTAAATCGAGCCTTCTCTTCCACTATCTGGCAATGAGACATTAAATTAAGCAGACTCAATCACAAGTTTACAGTACTGAATCAAAAGTAAGAGGTGCTAGTTAACATGAACATATTACATTAATTTTATGCATCTTTAAATATTCATTCACAATACAACTTTTATTTTTTTATTAAACCATTTCTTGGGGTCAGTACTGTACTAGAGCAAGGGAGGGCAGTACCTGTGTGCAGCAGGTGTAAAGCGTGCCTACAACTGCCCTTTTAAGGTTTTCCCAACAAGCTAATTGCAGATTCACCTTTTTCCCATCTCTATTCTCCTTTATACAAAATCAGACATAATTACATTCAAAAAGATAAAAACAAATTGAAGACGACATAATTACTTTGTCAATGTCCTCACTGCTAAACTGGTAATATAATAGATCTTGGATATCTTTCTGCTTCTGTTCAATATGCTCCATACTTGGAAGTTCTGCTCCATGTGCTGCACAGTCCTCTACCCATTTATTGTACTCGGAATCTGAGAAGACGTTGTTACTAACAAACTCTAGACGGAAGACGCGTTCCTGATTTCCATGTCTGTGGAAAGAAGCCGTTTCTTTTAATACTAAATAAATTATAAAATCACAAAAATATGTTTTCTTTCAATCAGGAGGAAATGTTTTATAATTATTATATTATATTATATTATTTTATTTATACTATAGGTAATAAAGGTAATAAAAGGTAATATCATCTTTGTGGCAACTCCCGCCTGACAGAACAGGTGGAGGAGACCAGCGAGGGACACTTACTCTGTCAACGCCTCAATTTTGCCAGACTTCCTCGACCTATTGTGACAAAAATATGTCACCTACGATGTTTTTATTATTTTCCCCGTTATCAGGAAACACATTTTAACAATCTTAGAAAAAAAAAAAAAAAAATTGAATTTTTTTTTTCTTACGCCTGGTGGTGTTGCAGGCATTGTAATTGTGGATGCAGTAATCACAAGCGCTGCCCAGGGGTCAAGACAATTATGAAATAGGCCAGTTACAGGCCTTTCATGTTATCCTCCAGAGATAGTAAACCATCACAGGACCACTTCAGTAAATATTTTCTAAATCTTCTAGGTTTTAAACAATTTGAAAGCTGAATATGGCCTTGTTTCACATATTCTACAATCCATTTGTTTACATTGCATGCCACAATCTACCATAAATGATCAGGTGATCAAATTCCTCTATAATTATACAAGACCTACACAAAAGTTTATAATTAGAGTATATTGAGAAACTGAGAAACTTTGTAATTGAGAATTTGTCAGAGATGGCATGGTACAAGTGCCTTTTCATAGACAGTCCTTCACTGGTAAGCAGTCTGTCTAGAAATTAAATTTCACATTGTTTTAAATTTCAAAAATACACTTGTTGCAGATATAAAAATAAAACTTACTTAAGCCGCAGTCCTTTGTTGGTTCTAGTATTACCTAATTGATAGATTTTTGCAGTTTCACATACACCTGTAATTTCTGCAACCTGAAAGGATAAAAAAAAAATGTTAGCTTTGAAACGAGGCAAATCCTTAAAGGACATCTTGGTAAAAGCAAAATTTCCCTAGCAAACTCACACACTGTAGGGTCAAGGAGGCCCTCCAATATAAATGCAACAAAAATACATTGTAAACAAATCCTTGTTCAAATACTGTACAACTATACAAATACAGAACAAATCCACAAGGGCCGTGACGAGGATTCGAACCTACATCCGAGTGTATACAAATACAGAATCAGTGCTTAAGGAGTAATAAATATCAACAACAAAAATATTTATCATGGTATACAAAAATAATACAATTCATGAGAAATGCAACATTTAAAAAGCAATGACTTACCCTATAAACAGGAAGTCCTTGATTATTGCCAATACCTATTCTGACAAAGCAACCAGTAATTGCCTTTGAGAAAATTGGCATATGGACAAAACGTTCCATTTTGTGACGAGATAGACGTACTTTTTCAAGATCCTCCTTGCAAGTTACATTCTTGGGCTTCTCATCCCTTGAACGATAACTATCTTTTGATCTGCAAATGACCAAAAATATCTATAAGAAAGCAAATCACATTAATTTGATACAAGAAAAAAGCTTACAATTTAGTACGACTTTAGACCATTATATTTAACCATTATCTTGCATGTAACTTACACAATTTTAGTTCAAAGCTGAGGCTAACCTTAGCTAATCTCAAGTGTAAAATACTAGACATGTATTCAAATCACCCTGTACATACTTCTTACAACAAGCAAAAAAACCAAAAAACCACACACATGTACATTCACTCACGCACACACACGTGATCATGAGTGTGTCATGTGCTATTTAATCTGTGCTATTCAATCTGAATCATATGCTATTAAGAGTGATCATGTCCTACTGGACATTAAATATGCTTTGCGATAAAATCTAGTAGAGAATGGGGACATTGAAACAGTTGTTAAACTCGATTTCAAGAGAGGATGTTATGGGGAACTTAAATTTCATGGGTATAATTAGACAGACCTGTTGCTAGGCAAGGAAGTAAATGATCTTATTTACTTCCTTACCTAGCAACAGGTCTGTATGCCAAATTTTGCAAAATATATGATGAAGGCACACAAACATTCATACCAAAACAGATGCAGACCTAGGAAACGGGGTTGGTTCAACAGAAATTGCGAGAGGGCCATAGATCAAAAAGAGACAAGCATGGAATCATTATAGGAAGAGGCCAAACCCCCCAAATATACCAGCGATACAAAGATGCAAGAAACAAATACACCTCAGTAAGGAGAGGCAGAGAAGAACTTTGAGAACAGTATAGCAGACAAATGTAAATCAGATCCAGGCCTTTTCTATAAATTCATCAAAAGCAAGCTGCAGGTAAAGGATAATATTCAAAGGTTGAAAATGGGAGACATACATACAGAAAATTAAAAGGAAATGTGTGAAACATTAAACAAAAAGTTCCAAAGTTTGTTTGTACAAAATGAGATCTTCAGGGAACCTGACACAATAAGAAATCCAGAGAACAACATAGCACATAAAGAGACGAAGTGAAAAAATGCTCTTGGAGCTAAGCAAGAAGAAAGCAGTTGGCCCAGATGGAGTTTCACCATGGGTTCTGAGAGAATGTACACCTGAGCTCAGCATTCCACTTCAACTGATTTTTCAGGCATCCCTGTGTACAGGAGTTGCAGTTGTGTGGAAAAAGGCTAACATAGTTCCAATCTACAAAAGTGGCAGCAGGGAAGACCCCCTCAATTATAGACCTGTATCACTGACAAGTGTAATAGTCAAAATATTGGAAAAAAATAAATTAAAAATTAATGGGTAGAACACCTGGTGAGAAACGATATAATATCAGACAGACAGTATGGTTTTCGATCTGAAAGATCCTGTGTATCAAATTTACCCAGTTTTTATGATCGAGCCACAGAGATTTTACAGGAAAGAGATGGTTGGGTTGACTGCATCTATCTGGACCTAAAAAAAAGGCTTTCGACAGTTCCACATAAGAGGTTGTTCTGGAAACTGGAACATATTGGAGGGGGTGACACACAAGCTTCTAACATGGATGAAAATTTTTCTAACTGATAGAAAAATGAGGGCAGTAATCAGAGGCAATGCATCGGAATGGAGAAATGTCACAAGTGGAGAAGCACAGGGTTCAGTTCTTGCACCAGTGGTGTTCATTATCTACATAAATGATCTGCCAGATGGAATACAGAATTATATGAACATGTTTGCTGATGATGCTAAGATAATAGGAAGGATAAGAAATTTAGATGATTGTAATACCCTTCAAGAAGACCTGGACAAAATAAGTAGAACCACTTGGCAAATAGAGCACCACTTGGCAAATGGAATTTAATGTGCATAAATGCCATATTATGGAATGTGAGATAGAACATAGACCCCACACAACCTATAAATTGTGAATTTTTTTTAAAGACTTTTGATAAAGAAAGAGATCCAAGGGTGGTTCTAGATAGAAAACTGTCACTTGAGGACCACATAAAGAACGATGTGCAAAGAGTCCATGCTACGCTTTCTAACTTCAGAATTGCTTTTAAATACATGGATGGTGAAATAATAAAGAAATTGTTCATGACTTTTGTTTAGCCAAAGCTAGAATATGCAGCGGTTGTATGGTACCCATATCTTAAGCACATCAACAAACTGGAAAAGGTGCAAAGACATGCTACTAAGTGGCTCCCAGAACTGAAGGGCCAGAGCTATGAGGAGAGGTTATCTTGAGGTTATCTCAAGATGATTTCGGGGCTTTAGTGTCCCCGCGGCCCGGTCCTCGACCAGGCCTCCACCCCCAGGAAGCAGCTTGTGACAGCCGACTAACTCCCAGGTACCTATTTACTGCTAGGTAACAGGGGCATCAGGGTGAAAAACTCTGCCCATCGTTTCTAGCTGGCGCCCAGGATCGAACCCGGGACCACGGGATCACGTGTCCAGTGTTCTGTCCGCTCAGCCACCGGCTCCCTTCTCTCAGGTTAGAGGCATTAAATATGCCAAAACTAAAAGATTAAAGAAAAAGAGGCGATATGATCACTATGTACAAGATAACAGGAATTGATAAAATTGATAGGGAAGACTTCCCGAGACCTGGAACTTGGAGAACACGAGGTCATAGCTTTAAACTAACTAAACAAAGCAGCCAAAGAAATATAAGAAAATTCACTTTCGCACAGTGGTACACGGTTGGAACAAGTTAGGTGAGCAGGTGGTAGAAGCCAAAAGGCAAAAGTGGTAGAGACTAGTTTTTACTAAGCTATCTCTGTTGGTTGTTCCCCAAGCTGTATTATAGATTAGTTCCGTGTACAGCCAGGCAGCATGATATTCTTAGTTCTGGTAAACTAAGCAGCAAATTCAATGCACAAAACCTTAGGTTCTTTGAATCCAACAAGAGGCAGCCCCCTATAGTTGCTTCATAATATAAATCAAATGGAATCACAGTACTGCACTCCTTAATATGGTTAAATTTCCTTCTGTAACATCAAGCCTTTTGAGAACAGTTCCAAAACCTTGCTTAATTCTTCTTCTTCAAACTCATGTTAACCTACCATCAGCTATGTAGCAATTTCAGGAGTTTTCACAAAGAGCACCATTAAGCATGGCTTCTCCTTTCCAAGAATGGATATCAAGTGAACTCTCAAGAGCCAATTGGATGTATGGGGGGCTTGCACTATAACACTGAGCTTTTACTGATTGGCTGATATTTCACATTTCATCAATCACAGCACACCATAATGACACTGTTTTCATTGGCTAAGTGATATCACATGATGCAACAAACAGTGAAGTCAGTGTCCACCGAGTTCATCTAGTCTTGCCTTGAAATACAGTGCTCCATAAATTTTTCACACCGTACTGTATATAAAAAATGAATTCTGAACTAATCACATGATAAATTAAATATGCCCTAACAGTTACTTATGAATAAAAAGGCTTCTGTATGAATCAATGGGGTAGAATAATGTCACACGGGCAAATTGCATCACAACACCAAGAAGTCGAGACACACACACAGACTCGGAAAATACGCACATGTGCAGCTTAAATAACAGTAGCATTAGAACTGTTACAAAGGTTAACAACACTTGACGTTGGTTCCCACCTTCTCTATAGACACAGTCAGGGATTTTGTGAAGAGGTCTGTGCTTGGGAATCCTGGGTAGGAATTTTGCCGTTACATTGTGGCCGAGCCTATTCCAACCAGGAAATCTGATAAGAACAGCTGGTCCACATGGACAAGGAAAGATACTGCACACACCATAATACTGGAATAGGATAATGTACAGTCAAGCAGAGGTTGATGAAAACAACAGAAATGCAAGTACAGTACAACCAACATAAAGCCAAATCATCCATCAGCCTCCAGGACAGGATGAAAGAACTTTATCACCACACAGTGGGGCAAAGTATAGAGGCTGCAGGGAAGGCACCAGAAAACAAACCCTTTGGTCACTAAAGGGCACACAGCCACAGCTGCACAATAATCTGAATGTGTGTGCACTACTGTAACAAGAAAAACTACATGCCCCAAGACAGAATAGGCCCGCTGGAAACTGAAGAGCATCAGTCTACTGAATATCCTAGAGGAAGCAGGAACAAACTGGCAGACCTTTGGTCACCTTTGTTACTCTTTGACCTATTCAGGCCAGAGTAGCAGTAGAGAGAATGATGAGAATTTGTCACCCAACATGACAAAACCTCTAAAGCCCTAAAAGAATCAAGAAATGACATTGACAAACCAAGATTTACCACCCAGAAAACCAGGTGAAAAATTGTACAGGCAGACCTGATCCTTAAGGACTGATCCCTGCAAAAACTAGAAGATGGACCAAGGGAACTAGGGTTGATAATCAGAGTTCTGAATACTATATAGAACAGGTTAACTATAAGGAGAGGCTACTATAAGGACAGGTTAACGGAACTCAAACATACAGTACAACCTTAGAAAGTGGGATATGACTACTACATACTACACTGAAGAAAAACAGACAAGCCAAACAAAGGCAATATAACAAAAACAGAAAAGTGGGACAAGCAAACGTCACTAGAAGCTAGAGACTCGATTGAATCAGAGATGAAAGGATATTCTTGTACTTTGTGGACTGCATTATAAGAAAAACTGTCAATCACTTCTATCTTCAACTTCAAAAAAAAATATGACAAGAAGGTCAAGAGCCATAATTAGTGAGCCAGCTGTAAAAGGCCAGTAGGAGGGGGCATAAAAAGCAAGATCTTAACGCCCAGTTGTCCCTCCATATCCAGGGTTTGACTCTGTGGTCGTGTGAATGGATGAATAATTATATGCAAATGGAAAATTAACTGAGCAACTAATATAATTTCCCTCAGCAAATTAAAAATAACTGCAGAAACCCAACGTTGTTCCTATACAAAAGTGGCATAATGAAAAGACAAAGAATCCAAAAAGTGTCATTAAGAGGAGGATGGTGTTGTGAACATAATTAGCCAAGTTTAGAAGCAAGTTGGAAGCTGCCACCTTCCTTGTCTTAAGAAAATGGGAACTGAACAATAATGATAAATAATGATAAATGGAAAATATTGTTCTAATAGCAGTTATGCCACTACCAACAGATTTAAGCAAATACCAATATGAAGAAATTGAAAACGATTATATAAACAAAATTGGTTAATATAAAAAACAACTGCCAGTTTGCTCATTAATTGGATTGCTAGTTTTAGAAGCAACTTTCTGTAATGTAAATAGTTAAGTACAAGTGCTTACATTAGAGAAATATACAGATTTTTGAATGATTATTGGAGGATAGTGAGCACTAAGAAAATTTTAGAGGTAAGAAATACAGTAAATTACTTACAACAATGAAGAAACACATGCATGAATGCTTTAAAAACAAAACAAAACAAAAAATAGACATGGAAGTGTCCAAATAGATCTTGGCAAAATGTTAAATATCATGCAATAATTTAAGAACGTCAAAGAGTTAATAAAGACACGCGATTACAAGTAACCAATGATCCTAAACCGTGTCGATGGACGTCCTATTGTGCAGAAATGTTAAAAGATTGGTGTAAAGAGACAAAAATAAAATGCCGATTAAAAAATTACTTTTATCCCGAGGAAGTAGTTCACCTTATTTTGTAGAAGTCCGAGCCTGAGGCAAGGCTGATACAGCCACTTGGAATAACACACACACATGCACAATGAAATCACAAGAATGTGTCAGGGGAGTCCAGGGGATGGCTTCCATCGCAATTTCTGTATTTTCACGCATTATATACCAATTAGTGTATATAATAAAATTTAATGTTTCTTTTTTATATATTTGACATAAGCTATGATAAAATATTATTATTGTAAACTATCTACCAACTACAGTATTTCAAATGTTTGTTAAGTAAACAAGTCAATGATATAGATGTTAATATCTACAGAATACCATCATCAGTGTTAGAAGTCATGCCACACGCATCAGTGTTAAAAGTCACACTACACTGCCTCAACTACCTGCCAACTTTCGTCTTCTTAGGTGAAACATCACTGTCACTGGAATCGCTAAAAGATGAAGAGGAAGAAGAGGGAGAAGAGCTAGAGGAAGAAGTAGAAGGTAGAATCTTTTGCTCTACCCTCTTTGCATCATGCTCCTTTGCAGGTAGTTTGGATGCAGCTCCAACACCTGGCTTCACCGGTTCCTCACCACATGGGCTGATTATGGCCACCAAGAAGTTATCAGATTTGAATAATATTCACTTTTTTATGCAATGCTATTCTAAACGTAGCTAAATTGACTCATTTTATATTAAAAGAAAGTAGTACAATATGTTTTGTTCAAATAAAGTTTTAAGCAAATTTAAACTACTATCACTTCAAATGAGCAAAATTGGTGGGAGTTACAATTAAGAACCTATATTTAACTCCATTATAAACTGGAGTAATAATACCAATATTAAAATCAGTATGAAAATAACAAAGATAGATATATAAAGGAATGTGCATGTTTTAGTAGATATATATTGTTATATAAAATATCCAGCCCATCCTCCTGTTTAGGTAGTACTTATAGTAACGCTGAAGGCCATCATACATACGACGACATGAAAGGCAATTAGAAAGTAGAAATTGGTACTACTGAATTTGGACAGATCAGAAAAGTTTTTGTACTGATGTTGCAAAGACAACTTAATCTAACCTAATCTTCCTAGTCCTAGGCCATGCTATCCGAGGCCAAATAATGTACATACTGTACTATACTGTACTAGGCATAGGAATATTCACGTTTAATTTTTAGCATTATATTTCCCTGGCTAAAGTGAATAGGGTACCAAATTCTACTAATTGCCCATTACATCTATGTATGTATGACGGTCCAATAGTTACAAAAAGTACTATCTAAACAGGATAGGTTGAAAATATCAATAATACTGTGCTTAATCTTAATAAGGCTGATGTTCAGAAAGTCAAATTCCTGGCTTTCTCCCCCCCCCCCAATACTGTCAAGACAAGCACATGCAGAGCTCTTCTAAACACAATTTAAGATATTAGTGCTAATTTCATTCTATGTTCTCAAAGATTTACTAAATATATTCTACAGTAAGATTTGATGCTCAGTGTAATATTTGACACTGATACCATTAAGCCCATGGATCTTGCCTCTGGGATTCACATTAAATTCTTGGAACCAGAACTAGACACTGGCTCCCACTATCAGACGACGGGAGGAAATATCCAGAAAAGTGAATTAATATGAGCAACTGCTTGAAAAGAAATAAAATGAACACGGAGAAAACAAGACAAATGAGTTTGCCACATGTGAACAGTCATAATAGGCCTAGCCACAAGATCATGGCCCCAGGTCACCTCAGGACCCAGCCCATTCACTCACTGCTTCAAATGACACCTCCCACCCCTAAACATGGGCAAGTTGGTTACGTACCGAGGGGTTACCAGAGAAGAACATTTCATTACATTCAATGCTTGATTATTTGAATAGCCTTTCAGCAGCTTTCCACCTTTGTTAAAAAGTAAACACAAGATTAGAAGAAACAAAAAAGGGGTCAAGGACTGATCCGTGTGAGAAGAATAGCATCAGCTGGAAGCCAGATGCCCCAGTGCCAGAGGTGAAACTTGGCCATGACACATCCAGTAGGTAATGAGTGGCCAACACCCTGGGCCTGAATATTATCTATGGACTTATAAGCAAAGAATGCCACCAAAGCAGCAATTTTCTGCACACCATGAGCAAGATGGCTGAACTGAACCATCCTCCAAATAATTTAGGAAAGCCAGCCATGAAGCATTTTACTCAAGATGTTTGGTTAATAAACAAACCCAAACAGATTCCACCCAAACAGCATGAGTAGTATGCAAATATCCCTGCACAGCAGCATCATGACTGTACCACACCACGTCGGGACCAAAGAGCCAGAGCTCAACCCCAAGCACAACTAGGTAAGTGAGTACACCTGTGGCCACACAAATCAGGAATCTGAAGTCAAAAGATCCCTCCAGAAGGAGGAACTCATTCTTGAACAAAAATTATGGAGAAAGCTGAATGCAAAAAGAGCAATCATTACTTCACTAAGGAAGCAGCAATACATCCCTGCAGAGGTCTCTGAGCCACAGAATCCCAAGAGAGAAAGGTGGATGAAAAATTGGAACCCCAGGTGACCTGAGCTGTCATCTGATGGTAGCCAAGCACCTTAGGATTGGGTATGTTCATCCATGGCAAACTACTCCCTATGTTCACTTCATTCTTTCAAAACCATGTTTTGCTTTGTTTAACTAATTTGGTTTTCTTAGTTTTGGGTAGATCTCTGATCCTAAAGCTTTTTTTCGCTTTGAAGAGAACACCAGCTTCTGGTCATGGCTCCCAGGAGGTTAACATGGACCTCATAGGCCTCACACAAAGCTCAGGGTTAGCCTTGTGCTTTGGAGCTACTGAGAGCCTTACCCAGAAAAAACAACTGTAATAATATATGACAACAAAAATGTAGATATTTTCTATGTAATAAGTACAGTATACTGTTGTAATTACTGCATTTTCCTAAGAACCCTAGTAAGCAAAAAAATCATTCTGATGAAAAATACATTTAAAACACCATTGTATGTATGAATACTGAGACAAGTGAAGGAAGCAACAGAATACAGTATAAAAACAATTTTGATAATTCTGTAGCCAAAGCAATTTGCATCTACAGGCACTATTTACCATTCCAACACCTAGGGACCAACTGTCTCCAAGCATGGTGACAAATCCAAATACTCCTTCTCATCCTCCAGCACTCTGATATATTTATTTGACCTTGTACTCTTGAAAGATGGGCCAGGTTGTGGCTCACCCCTTCAAAGATGGGGCCAGGTTGTGGCTCACCCTTTGAAGACGAGTCAGACTGTGGCTTATCCTACTCATTTAAAAAAGCATCCAGGATTGTTTGGCAAGCTCAAAGCATCTTTTTATGCAGCAGTTCTTTATAGATCTGAGCAATAACATTCATTTCCCAAGTGATACCTGGAAGATCATTCCATCTGCAGCAAATGGAATGATATTCCATTTGGAATATTTGTGGGTTGGCAAATGGAATGATATTCCACTGCAGTAGTGGACTGGCAAAGGTTTTTGTCATCATGGTTTTCTTTATTTTTAATTCCTCTGATGACTGATGTTTGCTAGCACTCTTAAATTCAGCCATGTCTACCTAACATTCACCTGTCTCAAGCTTACTATAGAACTTTAACTATAGAAATTTTTTTGCCTACAATTAGATACTAATCAAATAACCGTGTTTTTCTGGATGTCTTTTTTAAGCCATTATTGGTTGAAATGGAATATTGGTCAGAACAAGAAATAAATTTCAGAAAGCATAGCAGTGGGGGAAAAATCAAGTGACAAGCACTGTACCACTCGACTCACTATAGCATTCATAAGCCAAAAGCATACAGTACAGCGCACTGCATTAGCTATTATTGACCAAGTGAACAACAGCATGCACAGTACATACTACATTGCTTGACCTGCCATAAGTAAATATATACATTAACTGTACACTGTACTGTAATGGATCTAAACCAAAATATTCACAAATCCTTTCACCAACCATTATTTTTACATCTTCCGTTTAGTCTTCTTTTCTATAATCTAGTCTTTCAGTTGCTGCTCTTTCCCTGAATGTCCCAGCCTTACAATGACAATATATATAGAGCTCAACACACACATTTAAAAATGCAAAAAACAAAACAAAAATTGAATACAAATTTTAAGGTTTTGTGGCTTTCACAGAATTTAAACAAAATCAAGCAATGCATAAGTAATATAATTTTATCACTTTTGCTTTCCAATTTCTCCTATTATCCATTCTATGCACATCCAACAATCCAGATAAATGTGTAATTTGCAAAATAATTACATTCTTTGAAATATGCATCCTCTTTACAGTCTACCTTTCTAGTCCATCCCTCTACACCATTCATTACCTTCACAGATTTCTTCTTCCGATGTAAAGAAAGACAACTACAGTACTTTAGGAACCATACCTGCCGGAGTCACTATCACTATCGGAAGAGGAAGACGAAGATGAAGAAGATGAGCGTCGTTTGGTAGACTTTTCTGATTTCGTTGATTTCTCACTTTCAGAGCCACTGTCATCCGAGCTGAATACTTCTGAAGCCTAAAAAAAAATATATATATTTTGTAAAAATTCTTGATGAACATTAACTAAATGATGAATTAAATTAGAAGCTGCGGATTATGAGAACGATGATGCAATGAGCACTGAAAAGTTCTTATGAAGGCAGCAGTGTGTATGAATGAGTAGCATGCAATGTGATTACTGTACTTTGATATGAATGGTGCAAATTAATATATCTACCAGCATATCTCCGATACCTTGTTTTCCATGAGAATTCTCAATCTGAGAGTTGGCTACCAGAGCAAAACCTCATCAAACCCCTAACTAAACAGGTTGTCTGCCATACATATAATCCTCCACTTTTTCTTTCCATAATCATTCTCAAGGTTCTATAATACACCAATAATAGTTCATTATTTATAAAGATGAAGAAAACATCGAGGCCACGTGATGGGATGGAACCCGCATCTCTGGACTCCCCAGGCTATAAGAGTCCAAAGGCGCATGTTCGATTCCATCATAAGACCAATATTTTCTCAGATACATCATATTTTTGTGGGGTGCACTGTTCATAAGGATGAAGCTATGAAATTGATAAAGATGAGAGGATAAGAAAAATGTAAGAGCTTATTGCCTGGACCAAGGAGTATATCAAACACTATGTACTCAAATATGACAGTTTTTTACAAGAAGTGCAAATATATATGTAGAACAGTTGAAAGATTTGTAAGCCTGTATCTAAGTTGATCATTCATTGTTAATTGAGTGGGAGTTGTACTAGCATCAACATACTACTGTGCTATGAAATATTATATTACCTTAAGTTTGTGCTTAGATTTTCCTTCGTCTGCATTTGAGTCGGAGTCAACTGATCTCTCCCTTTCTTCTTTCTTTCTTCTTTTCTCTTCAGCTTCCTTTTCCTTCTTTTGTCTTTCCTCCTCAGCTAAAGGAAAGGTAGGCCTTACATTACTGGAATTACAACCCACTAAAATATGAAGCAGAGAAATTGCTTGTTTGGTAACACTGATGAATAAAATCACAGATACTCATTCATCATTGATATGAATAAAAGTTCATGATACTCATTCTCACTCACCTTTCATTAAGACACCAAACCCACCTCACCCATGTCCAGCCTCTGTTTCTAACTAATTTTACACCTTACAACCCATTCCAGACACTAAAGCTAATAGCATCTACTTTGTCTCTAGTGCAAAAAAAAAAAACTAATTCTAGCATTAAAATAATAATTTTTTTAGTTATATGGATCTTTTTTTGTAACAATAAAACCTTTATTGATCCAAATCCAAACTAAGTGAAATTGCTGTTATGTAGCCAAGTTCAAATGCATTTCAAGCCATCTTCTTGGTCCCATTTCATTGAAATGAGACCAAGAAGCACAAATAACATGAACAGATAAATTAACATGGTAACAATAGAACTGAAGGCATTATGCACCCCAGCCAGATAAACTAAGCATCCCTGCCAGAGGACCGCAATAAATGAGGGAATAACATATGCTTGACAAAAAGGACAGGAGAGACAGAAAGCTATTCACAGGACAAAAGGAACAAAAACCACTTTTTGAGGCAAGAATTCTGGCGTTTGAAAGATCTCAAGTCCAGAGGCCTGGTAGTTTTGTGGACATCTCTCTAATGCCAACTAATTCGCATGAATGTAGCAAACAAATTAACATGAATGTACAGTATATTAACTACCTTTCTGAATTTTATTTTCACGTTTTGCTTTTAACGCAGCAAATTTGTCATTCCTTCCAGCCCTTTCCTCCAGTGTTTTCTTTCTGTCAGTTAAAACGGGTTGTTTTTTCTCCTGAAATATGAGAAGGTAAAAAATCCATTACAAATTCTGATTTATAGCTTTCATAATGATTAATCCATGACTTTATAAACAGATAAAACAACACTCCTTTGCTCATTAAACTTTGACATGCATATTAAGTCAGCTATTCTGAATTTCTACTTTTTACATATAATACATTAAAATATTGTACTTATATATTATCTCTATAAATATTGCAGCTTTATAAAATGAGAAATAGCCTATAACTCCTATATTAGTTACTTAAAAGATCCATCACAACACAACAAAAGTTCAATTTTAAATACGATAGAGATTTTTAATGGACGTTTTCATTCCATAAAAATAAAATGTAAAATTTATATCACAGCATTTCTACACAAAATTTTAAACTTTTTCCTTACAGAACTATATTAAATACTTGCATAATTGTTTATCCATACTATACATCATAATACTAATACAAAAATTACAGAATAGTGTTCAGTGAACTGGTATACAAATTATAATCTCAATGACATTACTAAACATGAGATCAGCACATTATTGTACAGTACTCAGATTTTGTCTTTAATATCCTCACTTTTGCCCGACTTGTTCAAGCTCTTTCACCAGACTAACCTTGGGCTTGTCACCTTCTTTTTCTTTTCTCTTGTTCTGCTCCTTCTTTTTAGCTAATTTTAATTTCTTTTCTATTTCAAAACGAGTTCTTAACACTTCTCTCTTTTCAATTCGATTATAAATTTCCTGCTCCCGCTCTTTTTCAGTCATCTGTTCCAAGCGCGCTCTGTCTTCTTCATCTCCAATCATGTTTTCATCTAGACCATCATCAAATTCTTCGTCCAAGTCAACTTCTGAATCACTACTGTTGCTGCCCGAGACTTCTCCTAAATATAAAAATGAAATATAGTAACAGGTCTAATACATAACTTCATAAAACATATTTATTTCTTATTCAACTTGTCAGCAACTAGGAACACTGTCAACAATAACAAAGCAACTTTAAAAGTCCTGCACTTTTAGTGATCCTCTTTGACAGGCAGGTACAGAGTACACAGTAAGTACATTAAGTGTCTCCTGCACATTTTAACTAATTGCTACATGAGTATATATTGAAGGATAATTTAAAACAAACAGAATGAATTACATGACCAATATAATGCTAACCTTCTTCCGTCTCAGAGCCACTACCTTTTGCAGGTCGACTTTCATCTGAGTCACTGTCTCTTGCAACCACTGCACGTTTGTTCCTGGTCTTTCCCGCTGTTTTGTTTCCCTGTGGATTAAAACAAGCTTATAGAAATGTCTATTATACAAGTATTTCTGGGAAGTTTAATGTGTTCTCTGTCAGCATACCACCCTCCAGTTTATAAGCAAATCCTCAAAGATTATCAATAAAAATATTAAAATAAGCTGTATCTCACCATTTTCTTTTTTTTGCCCTTTGGAGCATCCCAATCAGAGTCTGAATCACTGGTTTCGGAATCAGAGTCAGATGCAACTTTTGACTGAGGTGCAGTCTTTTGTTTGGGAGATGAGCCGCCTGATGATTCACTGCCAGAACGCTTTTTTTTCTTTTTGGCTAGTGCCAATAACTCCTAAGCAATGAAAAACAGCAATTAAATAAACATGTATAGCCAAAGTTACACACACACACATTATACATTATATATACATATATACATACATAACCCTCTGTGTTACAAGTTTAAAATCTAACTATCTGGTACAAAAATTTAGAGCAGTCCTTAAATGGTCTGTAAACTATAATACAGTAAAAAAAATAATAAAAGACAGTACATCAGTGTATAAAGGAAATAGATAATTGTTCATTTTGTTGGGGACAGGTAGCCTGAGTAGATATACTTTAGGTTGATATTGAAGTACCCTCCAAGGTCAAACTACTGACCCTCCTAAGAATGCCAACCCACAAGTTGACTAACTCTCTGGTACCTATTTATCACTAGGTGAAGAGGCATTAGATGATAAGTAATGTGTCCAACCTCTTCTGTCCTCCTGGGATTCCTGACCGAGTCGAGAAAGAACCCAACTGTACTACCGAGACCCACAGATCTAGTCTAGTAAAAGCAACCCAATAAACTAAATACATTAATATACATCAATAACTGAGATTTGCACACAAATACAGAATGAAGCGAGCAAACAGGCAATTGCTACTGCCAACATATATGGATATTCGCCAAGGGTAGCGGTCAGGGAGCTCGCCAAGACCATAATGCCCGTGCCCAAACGTCTCCCAGAGACCTTACCGAGTCAATATCCGAGCCGCTGCCGCCTTCATCGTCGCTGTCCGAGTCAATGAGAGCCTTAACTTTCCTTTTGTTCATGGTGAAGTTATCGAGGACCAGGGCGGCGGTGGGCGAGGACAACGTCAGACACGACTGCTGCTCGCTCCTTCGTCTTCTTCCTCTTCCTTAAAGTACGTGCAGCTCGCATGAAGGTTTCCTCCTCACCTCTTCACACAATACCAAAACATCAACACACCGCGCGCTGGCCCCCTGGTTCCTTCCTCACAACTACCTTCTAAGTCATATTTATTTTATTTAATATAACTACAAGAATTATGCTATATTATATTTAAGAATCGGGTTTATTACAATTTTTTATTTGTGTTTTTATTTACTTTAACTATTTAAATATCAATTTATATATTACATTATCTTATGGCGTTATATTAATTTTTTGTGCTCCTGCTAAAATATTTATGATAGAAGAGGGAGAGTTGTGGACCATGTGTCAAGTTGCATCAGGACAGTGTTTCCAGATTGGGCTAAAGTTATAAAAAAAAAATGGGCTACTTTTAAAGTAAATTTTGAGTTTAGCTACTTGCTACTTTTTAGGCTATTTTTAATATAAATTAGGCTAATTTGGGATACTAATATTAAGAAAGTCAATGATTGAATATTTATGTATTTATAATTTAATGTGTGTGTGTGAATCACAACTGCGTCAAACATTCTAGTGAAATTGAAATTGAAATAAGTTTATTGAGGTGAAATACACACAAAGGGATGAGGCAGCTCAAGCTATTCTCACCCCGTTAAAAAAAAAAGACATTCTAGTTGACCAACCGTATTTACCTGAATTTACTTGCGGGCCACTAAGACTCTAGTGGCCTCGACAAGGACAGAAGCCGGCGGCTTGTCATATGTCCCTCCTCCCCCCCATTTGCCTTTATGATTTTTTCCGGTTCGATTTTAAAATTTAACAGAATTTTAGCGTATACGGCTTCGGCAGGTAGGCAGTTCCATGGGTTTATAACTCTATGGTGAAATGGCATCTCTTGTTCTCATTCCTACATTATGGCTTGTTGAGCTTGAACACATGTGTTGTGTTCAACACATGTTATGTGTTGATATATTTAATACCCTATTAATATCCACTTTGTAATGTCCATTGTTCACAATTCAATCTGACTCTCTGCACCTATTTTCATTTTCAAATTACGACTTTTTACACCGAAAATATGCCAATTACTGAAAACGGCGATGGGTCATATTTTGCCCAAACCTCCCCTGCAGTTTTCAAAATATCTGAAATGTCGGAAATTTGACTCCTGAGTTGTGATTTTTGACCCGAATTCTGACTCTCTGCACCTATTTTCATTTTCAAATTACGACTTTTTACACCGAAAATATGCCAATTACTGAAAACGGCGATGGGTCATATTTTGCCCAAACCCCCCCTGAAGTTTTCAAAATATCTGAAATGTCGGAAATTTGCCTCCTGAGCGTGATTTTTTAGCCGAATTCTGAGTTCAATCATGTTATCCTGAGTACTCACCTAATTGTACTCACCTAATTGTGCTTGCGGGGGTTGAGCTTTGGCTCTTTGGTCCCGCCTCTCAACTGTCAATCAACTGGTGTACAGATTCCTGAGCCTACTGGGCTCTATCATACCTACATTTGAAACTGTGTATGGAGTCAGCCTCCACCACATCACTTCCTAGTGCATTCCATTTATTAACTACTCTGACACTGAAAAAATTCTTTCTAACGTCTCTGTGGCTCATCTGGGTACTAAGTTTCCACCTGTGTCCCCTTGTTCGTGTCCCACCCGTGCTGAAGAGTTTGTCTTTGTCCACCCTGTCAATTCCCCTGAGAATTTTGTAGGTGGTTATCATGTCTCCCCTTACTCTTCTGTTTTCCAGGGATGTGAGGTTCAGCTCCTTTAGCCTTTCCTCGTAGCTCAATCCTCGTAGCTCAATCCTGAGTTCTTCAGTACTTGTGGTCGCTCACGTGCCCATTGTTGATTGCAATGTTCATTGAATTTTGTAACTTGCTCATCAAAATTGTGACTTGCTTAGCTAAATGAATTGTGGGATTCAGTCCCTTGTGCCCATTATGTGCCTTTGTAACACTTTCCACTACCGCCCAAAGAATGAGTATGGGGTGCATAATAAATGAACTAAACTAAACTAAACATCTAAAGAAGAAGTAGTGTACCACATCAAATTGTTTGGATGTCTGATAATGGTATGATAAACAGAATACTTAGGAGCTACAAGAACTTTGCCTCAAGAGTGTAACACTTATATGCTGTGTTTACTATATTAACCTGCAATACAAAATGTGATTCTTGTACTGTGATTTGTGGATTTGTACTCACTGATTTTTTGAATCCCTTGAAGGACTTGAAGTAGAGGGAGGTAGAAATAGCCTAAACTACTATACTCCTTTCAGATGTATTTTATTGTCACAATAAATATAGTTGAACTTGAACTTTCTAAAGAATGTATATTAGGCTTTTCCAGTCTCTTCATATTATGAGCTATTCATGCCCATGCCACCTCTTCTTGTTCATGTGGTAGAACACCTTCCAGTGTTCTATTTGTCTTATTACGAACATTTTTGCATTGATTTTTTCATTCGATCAAAACCTCTTTAGTAAATACAGAGATAAAATATTTATTACAACTACTACTCATCTCTTCGTCATTATCAGCTACCTGACCTGTCTCAGTTTTTAATGGATCTATCCTTTCCCTAATCTTTGTTCGATATAACTGAAAAAACTTTATGATTTGTCTTTGCTTGCCCTGCTATGCGAACGCCATAGTTTCCTTTTGCCTTCCTTATCTCTTTTTTCTCCACTAGACAGTGTGACATTGTAATTGCCTGAATTAGGCTGGGATATCGATATCTATGGCAGATGGCTGCAGGTAATGAATCCCTAATAGTGAACATTTTAATTGTAAACTATGTGAACAAGAGATAGGACATGCTCTCCAACACTATATCTGTGATTGCCCTGTTATACGTGACTCAGACCAAATGGTATGAGGTACTTTCAGCTCTGTAATTACTTCATACGCTCCGGAATATTGGAACATATTCTTGTGCTGTACCCAGATTTTGCTTGTGCCCCGATTTTGCTAGTGGGGGGCTGTAGCGAGTAGATTATTCCAATAATATACTCGCTCCAAACGCATTAACCTAATAAGAAGAGCTTTGCTTCTCTCATTAGGCTAATGCGTTTGGAGCGAGTATATTATTGGGATAATCTACTCGCTACAGGCTAATAGAGCAGAGCTTTACATCCCATATTCTCTCCTATCAGAGTTGGTTGTTTTTGTTTTGAGGCTGGTATTTTCTCCCGTGATTCCATGTATGACTAACCATATGTGAGATGGGAATATTAGATGAACGCATAGCTAGTTTTTGATCTACACTGTGTAATCTTTCATATAGAATAGGGTAGCAGCACGTTGCTGTGTATACCTAAGTCTGCTAAAATAAAATAAAAATCTTTTTTAGCATTTCTAACCATTTCTAACCCTACCCATCAACATTGGTGTTCCTCAGGGCAGCATACTTGGCCCTCTCCTCTTTCTCATCTACATTAATGACCTTCCAAATGCCTCCCAACACCTCAAACCAATTCTATTTGCTGACGACACAACCTTCATTTACTCCAGTCCTGACCCTCTTGCTCTAAATGCCACAGTAAATACTGAGCTAAATAAAGTCCATCATTGGCTAACTGCCAACAAACTCACCCTTAACATTGACAAAACCTTCTATATTCTGTTTGGCAATAAATCCTCTAGTCTTATAAATCTCAAAATAAACAATACCCAAATTTGTAACAAATTAGATGGCAAATTCCTTGGCATTCTCATTGACAACAAGCTGAATTTCCAGGGACACATTCTAAATATATCAAAAAAGTTTCAAAAACTGTGGGCATTCTTTCTAAGATCAGATATTATGTACCACGCCCTGCTCTGGTGACTCTCTATTACTCCCTTATCTATCCTTATCTCAACTATGGTATTTGTGCTTGGGGTTCTACTACCCAAAATCACTTACGTCCTCTAATTACCCAACACAAAGCCGCTATTAGAACAATATCCAACTCTGGCCCCAGACATCACTCGGTACCCCTACTCAAATCTCTTAATATGTTAGATATTAAGTCACTGCACATTCTCTCATGTGTATTATACATATATAAAACGCTAAACTATAATGCCAATCCTGATCTTAAAAGCTTCATAGAAGGTTGTAACAGAACCCATGAGCACCACACCAGAAATAAATACAGTTTTGATATTCCTAGAGTACGTCTTAATCAAACTAGAAATGCTCTGCAAATCAAGGGGCCCAGAATGTGGAATGACCTTCCCAACCATGTTAAAGACTGTCCCTCTCTCAACCAGTTTAAGATAAAAACTAAACACTACCTAATAAATTCCCTGTAATCTACCTCACTCCTCTATTGTCAACCCATGTCTGTTATTTTCTTTTTTTTTTTCTTTTTTGTAATCAACACTGTTTGTCAACCTATTGTATTTGTGCTGCTTTTTCAGTCATGTTCCCCCTTTTTTTTTATCTTTATTTGTATTTGTTCTCAACATCTTTTATTCTTTATGCTCAATTAGTATTAAGTTCTAGATATTAATGTTTTTCTTGCCCGAAACGCATTGCGTAATAGTGGCTTTAGGCATTGTATGTACTAGCTCTATCTATATATCAATCCATTAATGTAACATCACTTGTATGTATATACCTTACCTGAATAAACATCTGAATCTGAATCTGAATCTGATGAGTTGGACGAATTCTTGTTCTAAACTGACTTCCCCATTATTAATCCTTTTATACCAAGCTCTCTTTCTACCTATAAGGTTTTTCGGACCCTTTATTATCCATTTCGGGTCATTATTTTTCGGCCTTTTCAATTTTTATGGTATACTACGTTCGTGTGATTTGCTTAGAATGTTTTTAAATAGGTTAAATTTTAAATCCACATCGAAATCCCTTCTTACGTCACCCGCTAGATTAGCGTGTCTCCAAAACCGGCCCACCCTCCATGCCTACTTTCCAATCTGTTACACCAAACAAAATTCTTAGGGCATAAATTAGGCCATAAGGGGAGAGGTTATTTTATTGATGGCTACATATTGGTGTCTGTCACTGAGATAGGATCGTATATAATTCAGCAAAGCTTCGGATTCCATAGTGGATTCTCGGATTCAATGCTCGGATTCTGTAATTGCTTTAAACAGAAAATATTGGTAAGTTATCGTATTATCACATATTTTTAATAAATACACTTAGTAATAATATTAATAAAACCATTAAATCATGTAGTTTTTACTATATACTACTCTCCAAACCGTGTTATTCGGTAAATAAAAGATTGGTCTGAGAGGTGGAGGTGGGTCCTTCCAGCCGTCCAGATCTGGCAACGTTGCATCAGGAGGGATGGCGGCCTCCATGGTGGGTGTATGTAAACACCTGCGACTCTTGGTAAGTGTTCTCTGGCAGATATTGTCCACCGCCGCACCTCAACACCTGGTTGCTGAGGCACAGTTCATGGCTCCTGCTGGAGCAGGTAGGGCGGGCTAGACCCATAGGCAGAGGTTAGACTAGGCATCGTCTGCTACCGGCGAGCGCCCGGCTTAACAATTCACATTTGACTTGTTTATGAATGGATTACTCGGTTCTGGTGTATTTGTGTATAGTATATTCGTTGTGTGTGTATGGTAGACTTGGGCTTGGGGGTGTTTGTGTAAGTATGCTCGGGTCTGAGGTGTTTGTGTATGGTATACCCTAGACCAGACCTGGTCTGTTTGTGATAGTATACCCCAGGCCTGAATGTTTGTATATGGTTATACTCAGTTGTGGAACACGGTTGAGTCGAGGTAGGATCTTTATATATTACACACTCATTTCTGGCACTTGGTAAAAACATAAAAGAGGAGTCATCTTAATAGCTCCTTTGGTCCATTCTGGGTAGTAGGCATCCATCAGTCTCAGGAGACTATGGAGTTGCACTCTGATTGTTGGTCTGGAGTGGCCTCTCCAGGGCATAAAGCCAGGGTAGGTTGATGCGGGGAAGAAGCCGTTACCCAAGCAGTAGCCCTTCCCCTCCCCCTCTCCACGGCACCGAAAGTCTCCAGTGGAAAGGCAGACGCCAATACGATTGGTTCCATCACAGGAACGGTCGGAACAAAGTTGAAGGTAACATCGAACTGCCCTAGGAGCTCCGGCCCCGGAGGTTACCTTAAAGTTGGTAAAAAGTAAGCAAGAATGACCCCAGCCTCCTAATGGTGCCCAACTAAATACATCCCCTCGTTCCCATGTATCAACTGAGCCTATTTTTGAAGCTAGCTGTACTCTTGCTGCTGCTATTGGCTGGCAACTTACCTTTCCCCAAATCTGAACCTCATATTCTGTCTTACTTAGGCGATGTACGAGTATTTACAACTCCTATGTTCGCTTCAGTAAGATTATTAAAATTCAGTTCGATTAAGATTATTCGCTTCAAATTATTATTATTATTATTTTTATTTGTATTATTATTCAAGCTTATAGCATTTATATAGATTCTGACCTGAAGGCCTCAATCATGTCTCCCCCTTGCCCTCTGCCTCTCCAGGGAATGTAAAGAGCACTCCCTTAGCTGCTTCAAGTATCATCAGAGGTCCCAAATACAGTACCAGGAATCACTCTGGTCATCCTATGTTGGATTTTCTTAACGAAGCAATGTTCACTAATACAGTAATCAGAACTGGATGGCTTAATCTAAATAGAGCCTTACCAAGGCCTCGTACAGTTGGAGAACAATGTTTGTGGTTATATATCTGATGCTTGTGGTTATAAACTAAAGCATTCTATATGGTTTGTTACCTGCAATAATACACTGCTGCCAGGTCTTGGGTCACTGTCAATCTTCCTTCACTGTCAAGTCCAAAAGAAACTTGGGCATTTTGGTCTCTTTTGTAACTTTGCATTATTCATCTGGTAAATGTTGTTCTGTCATTTCTCAAGATTAGGACTTTGTACTTATTGTATCGGGATTCAATGTGGTCTACACATTTCTGCCAAATTCTGTAATGTGATGATGTCTCTGCTGGAGTTTACTATTTGCCACACTTTAGTGTCCTCTACAAGTTTGCTGATATTACCATTCACTCCAACATGTAGATCATTGACATTATAAACAACATAAACAACTGTGCAGACCCCTAAAGTACAGCACTAGTAGCACTTCTCCACTCTAACTTATCCCCAGTTATGCTTAATCATTACCTTTTACCTTTCAACTAAGCTCTGATCCATTTGATGACTTTTTCTCAATTTATTTGGAGAGAGAGAGACCTTCCTGACCAACCTGTCATGGGGGAACAGTATCAAAAGAACTTACCAAGGGCAATAAATAATAGTTTTTGTCAATTGCTTCAAATACACTTGTGTTAGAAGATGGCAGATTTGTGAGACAAGATTACCCTTGCAAGAAATTATGTTGAAAGTACCTTATCAAGCCTTATGTGTCTGTGTTTTCTTGAAGGTGAAGAAAAGACCCAATATATGTGTAAGTGTATTATTTAAGCCAAATTTTGTTAATAAAACCTATATTATCAACGTACTATAAACAATGTTCTGAACAAAGATTCCAAGTGCATGTGATTATATTTCTGGCAGAGCGCCTCGCGTGGTGTCCATCATTAGACGAAGTTATGATTATACTCCCCAGGGATTCCCAAGGATGCTGAAACTTCTGATGAATGATCAAATGTCCTGGTTTCTGGTAAATGTGGGCAGAATATGGGAACATTATCCCCTAATCTGAACACCACAAAGTTTGTGCTTATATGAATTAATGAAATTAGTTAATTTAGCTTCATTAAGAACAATTTTGCAGTTATTTAATCTACTTTCTAAATTATTTGCCCTTTATTGTGTGTGTAGAATCTAGAATTACCCCTTCTAGTAGTTCTCTTTGATACTCTCCCTAGCATCTCCTGGTAAGTCAATAGAACTCCATAACTGATGGCACCTGATAGTATGGCACTGATCAATGTATGATATCTTCAGGGAGCCTCCAGGGCTTACCCAGAAATTGGTTTATCCATTAGTCAATGCTGGTCTTTTACCTGCTGCACTCGTTAGATCTCATGACTGCAATAAACAGCTGAAGAACCATGAAATGTAATCTTGTGCCAGACTGCAAATTCATTAATACTTTTTAAATCCTATTTAATTCATCCCATACTTCAAATAAATTGTGCTTTCAACTTCTATAACCCTAAATTTCCATATATTATTTAAAACATGTGCTTTATAGTACAGCTTTCTGCATTACTAAAATAGGTAGTCAAATTTAATCCTGTATAACTACACTGTACCATGATCATTTAATAAGTAGTTATAATCTTGTTTTGAAGTACAGTATGTTATTTCTGATGGCATTTTGCAGAGACTTTGTGGATGCAGTATGGCAGAATTATGGGTCCCCCTCTCGTGGAGCAGAGGGCCAGGGGTTCAGGTAGCAGCAATGACTATCAAATCTCGGCATCATCTCTCCAGTGCCCTTCAGGTGAGCTTTCCACTACACCTGATGTGTCTATTCACCCAGCAATAAACAGGTTTCTTGGAGCTAGGCAACTGTTGTGGGTTACATCCTGCGGAAGGTCAATAGTTGGCTAAGGAGGACCTCGATGAGCCTAAATACTTTACAGACGACCTATCTCCAACAATGGGAATTCTACGTGATAAATACCGTATCAAGGAGTCAGTCTGCTCGCAACCAAGTGATTTGTTTCATGCTCAAATTTACTATTTGATCAAGTTTACTATTAAAATTGAATTTGCTGAATTTTCATCTTGTTGGATTTGAGACTGATGCACAGATCCATCGCATGCTTGTCTGAACTTCCATTTGGTTGTGATCTGAATAACATGTATTTGTAATCATTATTTTTCTAATTGGTTCAGCTTTGTAAAATAAGGTTTAGGGTGTCTTTTTTTTGAGTTGCATCTACTATTTACTGTTTTAAGGCAAATAGTTTTGGTTCTACTCTTTGCTGTCACACACTGGTAAGTGGCTATTTTTGTTTGCCTGTTTATTTTGACTGCTTCCTGGAATTCTTTCTGGTATAACTGTATATATACTTTCCACATATTTTCTATTTCCAATTATGTATGTGTTTTATAATTCAGTATTAATACTGTATGTTATTTTCAGGTACAAAGATACTACAGTGCAACACCCCCACCTCAGAGACCACCAACTTTCTTTGGAAAGATAATTGAAAATTTTAGAGAAGAGATGAATCGAAATCAGAAGATGAAAGAAAGTTTAAAAGAGTTTAGAAAAGACATGGAGAAATTGGAGAAGTCAGAAGCACTGCAAAAAGTCAGGTTTGTGGTGTAAATGTTGAGTAAAAGTGCTGTCTTGCTTACATAAGGCAAGTCATTTGAACAAATGACTGTAATAAAAAAAAAATTGGCATGTGTTTTTGACCAATCAAAACACATGGCAATTTACAATTTACAACACTAGACAACAGAAATGTCTACAGCATTTACAAGTAAGTCCCGGTATCAGTATCACCTTAAATTGCTGTACTCTGCCAATCTTGGCATCGCTGCCTATACACACACAGCCATTTTAGACAATATGTTTTAATGTTCGTCTATACAAACAAATGATCATTCGGGAATGCCAGTTGAAGCAATTTCCCTATATAAGATGTTTGAAATTCATCTCTTTATTTTAAAATTAATTATCTGCGTCACCATTTTCATTTAAACTACTACTATGTATCCACTTTAAAAGTAGACTGCCACTTGTTTATATTAATATGTGATTGTCTTGGTATAAACATTACAGAGAAAAGTACCAAACTGTTGAGGAGGAAACTGCGGAAGGGGGCAAAAAGGCCAAGCAACAATTCTATACGATCAAAAAGCGTGTCGCCGAAACTGTTGAAGAAGCACAGAAAGCAGAAATTCTTCAAAAAGCATGTTAGTAATGGAATTTCTTTAAAGTTGTAATTTGTGTTTTGCTGTATTTAACAGGCAAAGACTTAGTCTTCTGAATACATTTAAAAGTATTTATTTGTGCCAATTTTATTTCAGCCAGACTTACCGAGGAAGCCTCTAAACAGGCCCTGAAAGTTGGCCAGACGATATCTCAAAAAGGCGAAGAACTTAGTAAATCACAGACTTATAAAACTATCTCTGACACAGCAAAAGCGGTAAAGGAGGAAATTGATCATTCGACTTTTGGGGGGGCTGGCACTAGAGTATATAGAGCCCCAGTTACATTACGCAAGAGAGTTCAGCGAGACCCTGATACTGAGAAAAGAATTATCCAGGTATGTATGCATATTTAATTGAAAGTAAGCATTTAATTTATAATTCAAGGGGGAAGTAATTAAAGCAGACCAACCAAAATTATTAGTACTGTATTGTAAAACAATTTATTGCAAAACATTTGGGGGTAGGCTGAATTCTGATAACAGGTTACAAGATTTACACTTGGTAGAACTGCTCACTGGTTCCTAATGGTGCACAAAAATGTAGATACTTACTGTAGTTATGTATAAAGTGTATATATGGTGTAATAACAGCAAAAGTACTTATGTTATTCTAAGAATATAATATGGTATTCATATTAGTGACTTGAGCATACCAGTGTGCTACATATTTTATTACATAAATTCCTCAAATGACACACTTTTGAGTAATAATACTGGGGAAAACCCAAATCAGAGACATTGAAATAAATAAAACTATCTTCCCGGCAACTCCCACACTATGCCTGGCCCAGGTTGATGGTTCAGCGAACTCTTGTGAATCACAAGACTTCCTCGCTCCATCGCAGCCAAAGTACGTGACTTAATTTTTTTTTCTGTGATCAGGAAATGTATTTAACAATATTAAAATAAAAAAAATTGGGGAATTTATTTTTCTTGCACACTGGAGGGTTGTTGGCTATAAACAGGTATGCAGTTAAGAGGTTAAACAACCGAATTACTGCTACTCTTACTTGTGTTCAAGCATTGCAGTAGCTTGGGTGTCATTAACACACTTAAAGCCACTTATCACAATAAACACATTGACATGAAGTTGTTTAGAGTTCTCATTTGCATTGAGGAGATTCTCACAAGATGAATTTTGTATTAAATTAAAGATCTATGACAGTTATTCATGGTAGGCACATAAAATAATGATCACTTTCAAACAGTCCGAATATATAAATTCACATAAATATAATTTATTAAATTAACATATAATATATTATTTTCAACATATAATTTATTATTTTTTCATGAAACACCTCAGAAAATGTGGTTTTAACAACTATAGTAGTAATAATAAGGCATAAAATGAGTAGCATTAGGCACATTTCTGAATCCATTGTAAAATATGTACAGTATTATAGTGCTATATTTTTAAGTTTTATTTATTATATCTGTAGAATGCAGTATTTTGAGTAAGGCAGGTACGTGCGATGATGGCCTGGCTGCAGCGGCTTGAACAAACAATCCTCACGGAAACAAACACACATGTTCTACTGAACAATTTGTTCAGACCATTCGGGAATATGTTTGTAGGATACACTGCACTGTACACTCAACAGAGGCTTTTTTTCTTATAGGCCAATACTGAAGCAAGAGGAGTAACACTTCACAAGGATTCCCAGTTTGCTCAAAGCTGGCAGAACTTTAGAGACAACAATCCATATATCAACAGAGTGCTGGTGTGGAAAACCAAATTGGACGAGAGTGATAATCCTGTCGTGCGAGCTTCAGTTCTCCTTAAGGATAAGGTATGTGAGTTCAGGTGTTATAAATGTGTTATATAAGCTTATTTATATAAACAAAATTAATGACAATTGCATTGGATATGCTGACTTTATTGAATGATACATGATGCTAAATAAAGAGAAACTACTCTGGGTAGAACTTTAATTACTGAAAAGTGAGCGAGATATGAAGGCAAATACGCAATAAAAATTTGTGTGTAATACTGGTGGAGAAACTGAAACTTGATAAAGCTGCAAGTGTTGATGAAGTACATGCGGAAATTATTATTTGTAATGAAGGAAGAGAAGAGAATTATTATTTGTAATGTAGTGCGTGTGGAGAATTTACTGTCAGGCATGGGGGATGGTCCTTCACTATTGTATAGACTTTTTTTTTTCTCGAAAGGTATTTTGTTAAATATTTCCTCCTCTGTAAATTTTCTCCAGATCTTATAAATGAAATTAATATTCTTAAATTGTAATTTTACAGGTAACTGAATTATTTGGTGGCGTCTTCCAGCGTACAGAATTATCAGAAGTCCTCACCGAAATATGTAAAATGGACCCAACTTTTGACAAAGAGCGATTTCTGTTAGAGTGTGAATATGATATGATTCCTAATGTTTTAGAGGCAATGATTCGACCAGACTTAGAGGTAGGTATTGAAGAGCATTTGCATTAAATGTTCTTGTTCCTTGATAAATCTGCTTTTTGCAGATCTGAAGATGTCTACATTGTATACACTTAAATACATCAAATAAATATAATTAGCAACAGTAATTCATAAACCAATTGCAAAGTAATGACATATTTTGATAGCAATTGCCTAAATAAGAAATAAACCAGAAAGAGAGAAAATTAAGTGTAGCATAGTCATGAAATTGTAAATTTATAAAAACTTTTATTAATATTCTAAGATTTGTATCAAACATTGAGTATATATTGCTAGTTAAAAAAATTTCATTTGTTTCATAGGTACTGCAAGATTGGTGTTATGAAAGAGCATATTCAGTCATTGCAACTCCAGTAAAGCAAGCCTTTCAGCTAGGATTTACCTTTGATTCTAAGGTAGGAGGAAATTACATTTTTTGAACATAATTTCTGAGCTTTCCAAATTGATTGCCTACTAAGTTGAGATACTACTAGCCTCTGATTAGAATTTGGCATAGTCAGGCAGGTCGAATTTCAGCAGCTACATATCGGGTAACTTTCCAACCTGTCCCCACCAGTTTATGCTCGTGCTTGGCGGAAGACACTGGAGGATGCTCAACCTGTTCCAAAATTTAGATAAATGATTGTATTTCATAAACTCGGTCCTTTGCAGTTTCAATCTGCCAGAGAAAACCACCCATCAGCACCCTAATTAATTACCAAACGACCTGTTAGGTTTCTACCCCTGACCACCACCAGGTGTCATTACCAATATCAACACAAAACCCTCCAGCTGATGAGAATGATGTGACTTTTTGTGTCTTTGGAGTTTGAGGCTTTGAATCTAGTTAGTGTGCTCCCTGCTCAATTGACATCTGTAGATACAAGAAGTTTAACATTTCTCATGTGGATCTGTTTGTAACACATTATCCCTGTTTGTGGTACCATGCAGTGATCACTGCTTTAGTGGAGAATGTCCGGCATTTACACTGGAACTAGTGGGAGGTGAATAATCAGTTTTTCTTGGTTCAAATGCTTTTGGTGGTCCTTTGGGAGGTGGAGAGCATTGAGTCTTAGTAAATTTAGTGTTGCTCAGTATGGCCTATTCATCCCTAGTTTCCAACCCTGTTCTTATGGTGTCCTATTCTGGTTTCTCCCTACCCTTCTCCTCACAGAGGATCATCTCGATGTTACATGAATATCTCGTAAGCTCTCTGCAAGGTCTCTAGCCCCTGCACTGCTCTTAACACCTTAAGACGTTTTTAAGTACAGTAAGGACAATTCAAAACTCCCGCATGTGCATGGGTCTCGCATCCTGTGCCTCAGAACTCCAGTAAACGGAGGCCATCTTGAAAAAAAAATTGTCTGCATCCTTCCTAGCTAGGAGAGCATCAGTAATGCTAGAGCGACCAAGGCTGGTGCATGCAGCTGGAGCTCACAGCATAGCTGTGCAAGTTGAGGCCACAGCACCGCTTAATAATGATTAATAAAATAAGTAACTAGAATTATTTCTAAGAATGATAAGAGTCAGTATGAGGTGGTGACTCCTATGATACATTATTTTGTCCTTCATCAGCCTTCCATTCCTTTTAAACATACAGTTCATTTACAATACTATTTCTTCAAATCTAGCTGTTTTTCCTCTTCTGCAGCTTGAGTTAGGTGAGCCTTGCCATTGTTATAATGCTTCCTGTCAACACTTGCCTTGAAATGAGCACCCAAGTGTGATAGCTCATATTGATTGCATATGAAAAGCACTTTTCTGAGCAGTACACTCTGTTGCCTATATTATAGCCACTCCTTACATTGTTTACTTGTTGCCATTTATTAAGCCGAGGCTCAGGAAGAACGTTGAGAGGTTCTGTTGCTGCCACCTGCAGGTGGTGGTAACCCCTGTTACCACCTGCAACATATGGGACTTAAGTTAATAACCAGCTTGGTGGCCTCTTTGATGGCAAGTTGTACCTGGAAAGTTTTAATGCTTTTTGTAATGCACTTTTCAGTCTACATTCTGAGCTGGATTGATTACTTCTCTAGTTTCCCTATTATGAGTCTAACCCAGCAGGAACAGTTGGAAAGTGCTGGGATTCTGAGCGCAGAATATTAACCTATTATTACTGTGTCAAATCCTAACTGAAAGTCAGTACAATCTTTCCTTGGAGGTCAACAGCATGTACTGTACTGTCCACGCTCGATAATCCAAATTTTATTGGGCCCACCCCGAATTTGAGTTAGTGAAATTTTTTCCTGGAAAGGCCAAAAACTGGAAAATTTCTAATTTATTTGGGTTTTTGTTCACCATAAAACTTGATACATGTAACCCAAATTTATTCAGATTTCTCATTCATCAGAAATTTCAGTATCTTAAATTTTTGTTCAAGTTGAGCAGTCAAAAACTTGAACTTGAGTTTATTCAGATTGGGTTACTGAAATTTGGATTATTGCTCTCTTACAGTAGTATGCAGAAAAGTGTTTGATTTTTTTACACAGTTATGAGTTTGCACTACAAATTTTATTATGTGAAATTTACTGGTATCATTGTAAATTTGTATTCATCTACTGTAGCAAGTTTAGGAAACTGGAATACATGCACATTATTAAAAAATGCAAAACTAAAGCTAGAAATACACCAAATATATGGCTTAAATATTTGTATTACTAAAAATTCTTTAACCATTTCATATTTTAATATTTCGTCAAAATCGAAAATAAGTTGTTCTTATTGTGAGGTATATTTTCAGATTTTAGATGTGGACAATGTTGACTTAGTTATGGGAAAAGTGATGGATGAAGGGCCGGTATTGGCGGTGTCTTTCCAGTCTCAGCAAATCATGTGTCTTCGTAACAGCAAAGGGGAGGTCAGTCCATTTTCTTTTTGTTACAGATAAAACATAATGATTGTACACTTGTAATGATATACTGTATTACTTATGAGTATAATGTAGATGGACTCTTATTTGAGCATCTTACAAGTAAGTGTCAACATGTTTAGTCACTGTTATTTTTCCTGAAATGTATGAAGTATTTTTTTGAACTAATGAGGATATGGTTGCTGTTGAGGGTGAAAGGTTCAATGGATGGGCACTGTCTGGAATGTGGTGGTGCTGATGTAAATATCTTGGGTAGCTACAGGATGAGAGCTACTCTCGTGTTGTCCTGTTATCCTTATAATCATTGTTGTGTGACTTTTTGAAGCTTCCCATGCTTGTAGTATACTGTATGCTATCCTCTTGTTAAATTGTTAGTCTGTCCAGCACAAAACATTCCAGAAGGTGCTACAGCAAAAGGGTTAGTCAGACATCATCTAGCACATATTGATCCAGATAAGAATTTACACTACTTGCCATCAGAAAGAACGCCATAAATTTTCAAAGGATTTTAATTGCCATCAACTTTGTTGTAACTCATAAAAAGTTGCCCCTGAATAACACACAAATTAGGAAGCAAGAATACTTGTACACTCAGCAGTGGTCCAGTGGTATAGTACACGACTGCAATCCCGGGGACGTAGGTTCGCGCCACCTCATACCCCTGTGGATTTTCTCTAATAGGGCTAATATTAATACTTGAAATAATTTTCTTGCAGGTTGTTGAAGGTGACCCAAGTAAAGTATTGAGAGTTCAGTACGTGTGGGTGTTATGTCGGGACCAAACAGAACTTGATTCTCGTGCTGCGTGGAGAATACTTGATCTATCAGCTCAAAGTACAGAACAGTTTGTATAATAATAGAATTAAAGCACATAATAATTTGGATTTTTTTATTTGGGCCCAATACAAGTTGAACTAAAGTTAGTTATTTATATTAGTGGGTGGATTATTTGCAAAACACATATTTTGGGCCATTTTAAATTTCTTGGTGTTACTTCAGTCAAGCAATTGTTGTTGTTCAAAATATTTTTCATGAAGTGTTGCGAGTTGCAGTCATCATAGGTACAAAATTTGTGTTCCAGTCGGCTCTCGAGTTAATTTTTATGATACCTTAATTTTATGGAAATATTATCAAGAGCTCACGTGTTGTTAATAAACACAGACACAAGTGTGTTAAGAAAGTTGTTAATAGATGCCTTGTTCCTGTGAGAGGTGCATATATAATTTTTAAAACAGTTGTTGAATACTTGTAGATGTTTATCAGTTAATAAAGTAGGGGCTACTATAATCTTGCCAAATATGTATTTGCATTGTTAGTAAAAACAATGATAAAATTAATCTAAATGAAGCAAGACAAAACAAATTTGAGAAAATCTAAACATTACTGCAAATGCAGAAAATAAGTCGCAATAATGTGGCCTTAAAAAAAAAATAACATGAAATCAAATGAAAGCTATGATGTTTTGATCCGTCCTGAACTCTTGCAACATTACGCCGGTCATGTCACAATAAGGGTCCAGGATGGACCAACATGTTTTCACTTTCACACGTGGGTTTAAGTTATTAATTACTGCAATTGATAATAGAGAAGCGTGATAATAGTATTCCTTGAAGCTACTGTATATAATATTCTTTATTATTGTTTAGAAACGGCAAGTGGTGCTCTTAACACCACTTGCTTACAACATTAGAAAGTAATGTATGTTTTTGTGTCGATGCTTTCATGATTGATTTAATACCATCTGACATTGCTAGTTTGGCATATGCATTTTGAAAGTGAAAGCTAATTATTAAATACTGTATATTGAAGTTAAATATATCTAAAAATGGCTTTTTTGGATTTAAACCTCTTGAGAGTATAGGGCTGATCCCACGTTGTAGTTTGAAATTTGTTGTGTGTGTGTTGGAGGGAATGGGGGGGATTTGTTCTTTCATATGGATATTTTGAATAGGGTGAAGTTGTTTTAATTACTGCACCTGTTACGATAAATATGTTTTTTATTGTACAAATTGAACCTTCAAACTGTATGCAAGTTAAGAAAATGAGAATTTGCAACAGCAATACACAGTATTTGTAACACCATAAATTCTAAATATAGGTATGCTGAAGCATATAACGTCTGCTTGAGACATGTTCCTTTGCAGAAAGCCAGAAAGAGGACCAGCTTAGAAAGAGAACACAGACAGCACTACAGAAGAATACAAAATAACAGAAATGCTTAAGCAGACATGACTATACCTACAAAAGAAAGAATCATTTAAAACAGGGAGATTAAAGAAATAGAGAATAGAGACTGAAGCATTCATATCAGAGTGAAGAAATGTAATTAGAACAGAAAGCCATATAAGAGATTTACCTTGAACTACCTTGTGGTAATTCCAGAGATCAATGTCCTTGTGTCCTGGTCTCTGACCAGGCCTCCTGGTTGGTAGTCTCATCAATCAGGCTGAGGTATGTGGCTGTTTGTAACCTGATGTATGAATCACAGCCTGGTTGATTAGGTAGCCTATAGAGGTGTTTATATAGTTTTCTTGAACACCGGGGGTGGCTGGCTCAGTTATGCCCCTTATGTGTAGAGGGAGTCTTGAAAATTCTTGTCCTTTAATGTTGATAAAGTTCTTTCTGTGTACCTATTGTACCTCTGCTTTTCAATGGGGCTGTTTTGTACATCTTGCTATGCCTTCTGGTCTCATTTGGTGTTATTTCTGTGTGCAGTTTTGGAACCAGTTCCTCATAATATTTTCCAGATTTAACATTATGTATCTCGCTCACCTGTGCTCTGGAGAATACAGGTTTAAACATTGTAATCAGTTTTAATAATTTAGATGTTTTATAGAGTGAATTCTAGCAGTAAAAAATCTTTATACACTCTCCAGGTCAGCAATTTCTCCAGCTTTGAATGAGGGTGTTATTGTGCAACAATATCCCACCCTAAAGAGCACTAATGTCTTGAAAAGTAACTTCATTGGTATGGCATCTCTTGTTGGAAAGGTTCTTGTTATCCAATCTGTAATTTTTCTTTCAATCATGACAGATACTTTATTGTGTTCTTTAAAGCTAAGTTCTTCTGACATGATTACTCATAGATCCTTTAAATTGCTTTTTCATTCTATGGTGTGATTTGACTGTTTTATATGTGGGTTCCATTTTTATATTTTCGTTCCATAGCACAGGAGCTGGAACTTATCTTTATTAACCCTTGGACAGTGCAGCTATTAATTAATGTGTTGATTCATGAATATCTCAAGGATGAGGTTTTCAAATTTACCGGTCCAAAAATCCTTCGTTCTTGCTTCATAAGCCTCCCAGTTTATGGATTTTAATTTGAAGTTACCGAGTACCAGCTGTCCTGATCTATCTTTATTCTCTCTTACTATAAAATCTCTCACGATTGTTATGAGGCCCCCTCGTTTGTTGTCCAGCACCTCCTTTGTTCATGTGTAGCATGCTAGTGGACTGTAGGCACTTGTGATTATCAGCTTATCACCCTCTTTACAAATCTCCAGTGCTATTATGTCAACTTCTCGTGGATTGAGAATCATCACTTCATCTACCTTTAGGTATTCTTTCACCAGCATAGCAATACCTCCACCTTTCCTAATTTTTCTGTTCTGCTTCCAAATTAAGCAGCCCCTCTCTCAGGAATACGGCCTAATTTCAAAATCACATTTTGTCTGCGTTAGTGCAGTAATATCTGGTGTCTTACTCTGTATTATATCGTTTAGCTACAGTATTTTTTTTATCTCGCTCCATTTATGTTAGTACAGGTATATACAATTTTCAGGAACATGTTCCCTCTCCCCTTGTTCTTTACTCCCTATTTCTCTACTGATTTTGTTGGTTTGGCTTTTTTCTACCATTATACAGTCTTGCTTTCTACTATCACATTGTAGAAAATAGAATTGATTTCTTCCTCCCTGCTTTCATTTAGACATTTTGCTTCATTGAGGTTCAATTTCAGCTTCTTTGTCTTCCTATGAAAGATCTCACTTTAATGACCATAATTTTCCCTTCCACATCACTGTAATTTCCTAACATTCATGAGTAATTCTCCCACCTGTTTAGCTGCATTTAGGGTGATCCCCAAGGACCAATTTTTCCTTTTTCATAACTGCAATTATCTTGTATGGTTTGGTCAACATTTTCAGCCACGTTATTGTGACTCATATGCACATTCCAGTTTTTCACATGAACGACATCGGCCATAACTTCATCCTTTGACGTTACACAATTCTGCATTTCACTTCTGTCCACCAGTCTAAATCTTTCTTCACGGCAGCAAACAGTTCGATGACCTCGCACACGAATCTCGACTCCATCTCAGATATGTTAACCTCCATCAACCAGCCCACTAGCTAGAGCACGGGTGGGCAACCCTTGACACCCGTTGTTCCGAAATAAGTAAATTAACTGTAAACTGTAAATGATGATAATAAGGTGTATACAGTAATTAATGTTAATATCAGTAATTAGCCTTCATGTAAAATAAGCAAGTTAACAAGTAAATTAACAGTGAACAAATGATAATATAACTGGTGAAGTTAATGGTGACCACAAACAGGATAACCGAGTTAACAGTAATTGGCGACAGCTGGTAACACGCCTAATTAATGTAAGCTTAATCCTGACAAGCACAACTAGGTGACTACAAAAAAAAAAGAGAGATAACATAATAATGCATCTGTGGCCTTGAGAAACAGGTTTGACTAACAATCTCATGTCTAGCTCTCAAGGAGACGATAATCATATCGACTGATGATAAGATGTGATCAAATATTTGAGAATAAAAATGTACACCAAGTTTAGCTGCTCTTGCGTCCTCAGTAAAGTATGCTCGACTATACTAATAATAATATTTTAGTTATACAAAATTACATGACTGCAGTGTTTTCAGAGTAAATATTTTTTTGACTAATCACGTACAGTGTTTCAGGTAAAGCCACCAGGTATAACTTCACTTCATCCTTAAGTATCAAATTTTTTTTATTTATTTTTGATTTTTGTATATATACAAAAGTGTTTACATTCTTGTACAGCCACTAGCACCTCAAGGTAGTATTAAGTGTTTTACACCCCCCCCCCACACTTTTAGTTAACTTTGTCTATTTATGTTGTTTTGCAGGAAACTCTTTGCATAAGTGGCTTCATTAGTATGTGTAACGCCTGTCCCTACAATTTTGCATTACTCTTAAGTTCTTTGTACACACATTTTTTGAATAAGTAATTATCAAAAGAAGGCATCAAGCCAGGAAGGCAAATTTTTTTAATAAACATTGATGGAACTCTCCTCTATGCCAGGCAGTGTTGGTAGCGGCGGATGACCTTACATTTCACTTGTCTAATGTCAGCTGTTCTAAATATGTATGTAACAGTCTTGGGGCTGGCCTTGTCCAACCCACTCCCATTCCAGTCTCTCACAAAGACCACACCAGCTCAGGAAATTAGGGATGGCAGAAGAGCAGTCACCAACCCTCAAAGGCCAGAAAATACGAGTAAAGAGTTATGATATGTTCAAAACCCAGAACTATATGTACGGGCAGCACCAAACATGGTAATTGCCAGAATTAAGCTGGGATATCGATATCTATGGCAGGTGACTGCAGGTAATGAATCAACCAATAGTGAACATTTCAGTTGTAAACTATGTGAACAAGAGCTGGGGCATACACTCCAGCACTATATCTGTGATTGCCATGTTATCAAATATTTCAGACCAAGTTTTATGAGGTACTCTGAGCTCTGTAACTACCTCATACACTCATGAATATTAGAGGATATTCTTGGTCTGTACCCAGAGTTTGCTAATGCAGGCTAATAGATCAGCCTCGCATTTCATATTCTCTCCTGATTCCATGTATGACTAACCATCCTGCGAGATGGGGATATTAGATGAACTTACAGCTAATTTTTGGTCTATGTAATTCTTCATATAGAATAGGGTGGCAGCACGTTACTGTGTATACCTATGCTTGTTAATGTAACAAGAAGATCCTACGTCGAGTGATTTATGGATACGATGGCCAAACCACTCATCAGAAAATGAAGAAACGACAACGTTTCTGTCCGTACTGGATCATTATAAATATCACATACGACTTGATAATGATCGACCGAAACGTCGTCGTTTCTTCATCTTCTGATGTGTGGTTTGGTTATCATATCTTCAGCCACGATATTGTGACTCATTGCGTGCATATGGATCCGATATTACCACTGCCGGCAACTCTTACTTTGAAGATGTCTTAATTAGATCTGTTGTTTGTTTGAGATGCACATTCCAGCTCTAAACCATCGGGGCTGTATTACCAGAATTTATCTGAGAACCACCATCTCTAATGGCATCCATGGAGAAAGGAAGCCGTCGCCATGTCAAAGCCCTCTTCAAGTTCAAGTATGTTTATTGAGATAAGCAAGAAATACATCTCAAAGGGATAGAGTAGCTTAGGCTATTTCTACCCCACCCCCCGGTTTATTCCTGATGATTTTTTCCAGGTGAATTTTAAACTGAAAAATATCTTGGTATTTACAGCTTCGGCGGGCAAGATTTGGGAGATGGTTAAACGCGGCTCTCACAGCCCATCCTTTTAAGGAATAAGGTTTCCCAACGTCAAGAAACTGTCGTACTTAAGTGCTCTTATCCTAACCAACCACAGGACCCAAAACAAAAAACGGGACCGTACGTCAATTTCGGGAGCCGCTACCCTTTTCTAGCACGACGATTTTCGCCTTAGGTAGAGTATACGTCAAAAGGCGACGTTAATTATGAGGACGAGTTGCTGGTGTCAACAGTACCCGCGAAGCCCTCCTCACCTCCCCCGTCCACCTGTCACCACTAACAACGAGAACCTTTGCCTGTCAGATGAAACCTATAGTGACCCTGAATCCTTGTAAACGAACTTTTCCACACCAATTAACTGGCCTAAATGTGCACAAATATCTTGGAATCAAATCTGTAAATGAAGAAGCTAGAATGTTACAAAGTAATAACTGAACCCACTGATGTATATCTCGGGTAACTAAAATGTGGGTAAATTCTGGAGTGCGGCTCTTGTGGGAATCCTGCACTCCTGGAGACATACATCAGTGGGTTCAATTGTTACTTTGTGATGTACGTCAGACAATGTTTATGTTGACACAGTTTACATTTGGTCAGGCCTACATCAGCAGATAGTGAAAATTCCCAGAGATACTTGTAACCGAGTCTAAGCCGAGCAGTAGCAACATCTAGAAGTCTGCTGATTTTATTGGATGATCCATAGATGTGTGGCCCTCAACCGTTCCTCTTAGAGCTGACTTAGTTCTGGAATAATGTGTCGCTCTGCGTTGTGCTGTCTCCATATCAGATATGTCCCTCTGAAGGCGAGGCCTCCGCGCCTAGAGAAAGTAGCACCAGGAGCTGGTGCACTTCAATAACCACTTTTTGTAAGTGTCGAGCGAAACAGCATGAGAATTTATTTGTTAATAAGGTTAAGTGAGCTTTAAAGTAAATAAGTAAGACTTAAATGAAGGATGGTGAAGCATGATGTAGTGGTGTGGCATGGTGTGGTGATGTGGTGGTGATTGGCATGGTGTGGTGATGTGGCATAGTGTGGTATGGTGTGGTGGTGGTATGGCATAGTGTGGTATGGTGTGGTGGTGGTATGGCATAGTGTGGTGGTGTGGTATGGTGTGGTGGTGAATGATGGTGTGGTGGTATGGCATAGTGTGGTGGTGTGGTATGGCATAGTGTGGTGGTGTGGTATGGTGTGGTGGTGAATGATGGTGTGGTGGTATGGCATAGTGTGGTGGTGTGGTATGGTGTGGTGGTGAATGATGGTGTGGTGGTATGGCATAGTGTGGTGGTGTGGTATGGTGTGGTGGTGAATGATGGTGTGGTGGTATGGCATAGTGTGGTGGTGTGCCATAGTGTGGTGGTGTAGCATAGTGTGGTGTGGTGGTATGGCATAGTGTGGTGGTGTGGTATGGTGTGGTGGTGTGCCATAGTGTGGTGGTGTAGCATAGTGTGGTGTGGCATGGTGTAGTGGTATGGCATAGCGTGGTGTGGTGGTGTGCCATAGTGTGGTGGTATGGCATAGTGTGGTGTGGTGGTGGTCTTGGTAACAGTTATTAGGAACAAACGATAGATAAGACAACTCAATCAGATACAGACAGGCAAACATACAGAAAGGCAACTTGCGTATTTGGTAGGATGGCAAGCTGGCAGGTAGATAGACAAGCAAGCATACAGATAGACAGGCAAGCAAGCAGGTAGACAGGCAAGCAAGCAGACAGATAGCCATACGGTCTCTGGGACCAAAGAGCCAAAGCTCAAGCCCAAATAGGTGAGCACGGTCAGATAAGCAGCCAGGCAGGTAAGCATGTTAATAGACAAACATACAGGGAAGCAAGCAGAGAGAGAGAGAGAGAGGTAGGCAGTGAGGCAAGCAGATATAGGTTGCCAGGCAGTCAGACGGGTAAGCAAGCATACAAGCAAGTAAAAGACAGAAAAAATATTAACAAAGGCCGTTTCCAGCTTTTCATAACAATAACCAGCACTGCCAGACGCTGCCATATAGAACGTGTTCAGACATTTGACAATTCGTCGTTGTAAATAACTTAATTCTTATGACCCTACAAAAAAACCTTGTGATTGTAGCATTAGGTATGAAGATATAAATATAAATCGCTAAATCATCATGTTTATATGTTTAAAAATAAAATAATACACGAGCATAAACCTTGGTATTCTATATAAGGCAGTTATGAGCCGGCATTTTGCCCTGCATGCCAGACACCTCTTAGATATTTAATTGTTACTGTTATTTATACAGAGTGTCTATGATGTTTAGCACTTTTTAGTGCACTGATGAGGGTTTTGGGTTAAGAGGAGTATTGAGGTGATGATATTGCAGGTGGATGAGTTGTATTAGAGGCGTTGTTAACAAGTTGATGAGGCTTGAGAGGAGGGCTGGTGAGGGGGAGCCAGCAGACGGCAGCTGACAGTGACGGTGGACGGTGCTGCGCTCCTCCTCCTCCTCCTCTACTGTGACTACCTCTACAGCAGCCATCATGACTCTCGAGGAGGTACTGTGCCCCGGCTCTTGTTGAGGTGTGGCTGACACCAGCAGAGGGGGTGTCAGGCGACACAGGTGGTGTCAGCGGCTGACACACGGGGCCGGTCATGACGACAAAGGAATGTGTCAATACACAAGCTTCTTATACCAATATTCCCAGACACTTAATTTTTAAGTACAGTATATGAAAGTTGTGGGCATATATTTTGCAGAATTTCAAGGAAGCTGCTGATAAGGTGAAGAAGCTCAAGACTCAACCGAATGATGACGAACTGAAAGAGTTGTACGGCTTTTACAAGCAGTCAACAGTAGGTGATATTGACACAGGTATGCTTTATATTAATAATTATTTTTTGTGACTTTTATCAATGTAAATTAGAAGTAGAATTTTTCTATGTGGAAAAGGATGATAAGTTCATCAATTAGATAGGTATAAATACATCAATGTGGGGCCTGTAACAAAGTAGGTTTCCCCACTGAAAGATCCCGGGTTAAGTTCCTGTGGCAGGACAGACATTTGGGCACACCTCAATTCACCTAGCAGTAAGTACTTAAGTATTTGGGAGTTAAGCAACTGTTTTGGGTTGCTTCGTGGAAGAGGTCAGTAGTTGACCTAGGGAGGGGGGGGGATCTGGCTTTGTCCCCCACAAAGGGAAACCACGACTACTTCCCACTCCACGGGGCAAAGTTTAAGAAGCTTGAGGACACCCATTCTTTTCTTCCTGTAATATTATTAAAATGTATTCTGATATGGTAAAACAAATATTGTATGGCATTTTTTGACCTTCGACAAGCCGCTGATTATTGCCGCTTAATCTCTTCTGTCCACCTCGAGGCCACTAGGGTTAGTGGCCCTCGGGTAAATAAGATAAATATCAACAATTATACAGTTCATTTCCAATTAATAGTTCTTACCAGCTTAATTAGCATGTAATGATGATCTAAACGTGTAAGCCACATGCAGTAATAATCTAACCGATCTGGAAGGCACTAGGAATTCCTTGCCAAAAGGAGAAAACTAAAACCTGTCTTGAGTAAACTTTGGAGAAAGGCAAGGGCCAGTACTACATAAGGTTATGCCTTAATACCTAAAATCTTTTTTTGCAGAGAGACCTGGCATGCTTGACTTCAAAGGCAAGGCTAAGTGGGATGCTTGGAACTCCAAAAAAGGCATGAGTAAGGAGGCTGCAATGGAAGCATATATTGCCAAGGCTGATGAACTCATTAGCAAATATGGTTTAGAGTAATTTTCTCATTTGGCTGTGATCAAGTTTATATTCTCTTTTTTTTTTTTTTTTTGTATTTAGAAGTAAATATTGTGAAAAGCATATAATTGAATGCTTTTGAGTATAATTCTGTTTTTGTTATGCTAAGTTAACTGAGCTGAATTCAGCATTTTCATGATAAAGTATTAAATAAAACATTCAAATTATTATTTAGTTTGATAAAGATACCAAGAAATATGAGTACTGTATAGTACAAAAAAATTTAAATGCCAACCATTTTCAGAATTTTTTAATTTAGTGGTTAAACACAATTGTTCCAGGCCTGAAATACAGCTATAATCAAAATTCTGTAATTTGAAAAAAAAAATAAAAAAAAAAATTTACACTGATTATATAGTTGTTTCAGCTTCCTTGTCACAGGATGGAGGGTTTTGCCTCTTCCTATATTGATTCCATTTTTGTGTCTTTTGGTCTCTGGGCCTCTCAATTTCTGCTGAACAAGTCCTGTTTCCTTGTTCTGCATTTCTGGTTTGGTATAAATTTGTTTGTCTTTCTCATAAATTTCACAAAACTTCACATGCATCTCATTTACTTCCTTGCCTAACAGCAGGTCTTTCCAATCAAATTCATTAAAAAAACTTTCAAAGTTCCCAATAGTGTCCTCTCTTGAACTTGGATTTTGTGTAACCGTGGGGATGTAAATGTGCTGACAAGCTTAGTACAGTGGTGAGCTGTACTCGCTTAGTTGTGCTTGCTGGGGGTTGAGCTCTGGCTCTCAACTGCCAAATCAACTGGTGTACAGATTCCTGTGCTTACTGGGCTGTCAAATCTACATTTCAAACTGTGGAGTCTGCCTCCCACATCACTGCCTAATGCATTTCATCTGTTAACTACTGACACTGAAAGTTCTTTCTAAAGTCCCTGTGGCTCATTTGGGTACGTGGTTTCCACCAGTGTCCCCTTATTCGCATACCACCTGTGTTAAATTATCTATCTAGTCAATTCCTGAGAATTTTGTAGGTAGTGATCATGTTTCCACCCTAACTTCTGTTTTCCAGTGTCATGAGTTACAGTAATCTTTCCTCTCAGCTCGGGGACTAGGCTGGTGGCATACCTCTGAATCTTTTCTAACTTCGTTTTGTATTTAACTAGATGTGGACTCCATGCTGGAGCTGCATATTCCTGTATTTGTCTGACATGGGGCATGCAAGGTTCTGAATGATTCCTTACATAAGTTTCTGAAGGCAGTTTTTATGTTCGCCAGCCTTTCATATGCCACTGATGTTATCCTTTTGATGTGGGCTTCAGGGGACAGGTCTGGTGTGATATCAATCCCCAGATCTTTCTCTTGTCCTGACTCCCGAAGGATTTCCTCTCCCAGCTGGTACCTTGTGGTTTTGGCCTCCTGCTCCCTATGCCTATCATCACTTTGCACTTGCTCGAATTAAACTCTAGTAGCCATTTGTCGTACCATTCCTTCGGTGTCCAAGTCATCCTATCGCCTCTTGCTGTCTTCCTCTGTCTTCTCATAATTCCTGCATCATCAGCAAACAAAGAGAAATGAGTCTACCTTTGGAAGATCATTCACGTTTATCAGAAACAGCATTGGTCCAAGTACAGAACCCTGTGGGACTCTGCTGGTGACATCACATCAGTCTAAGGTCTTGCCCCTGACAGTAATTCTATGCTTTAGGTACTCCCTTATCCATTAGAGAACCCTGCCACATACTCCAGCTGTGATGATCTTGGTATGCAGGGCCGGGCTTAGGAGCTACGGGTCCCAATTAAGACATTTTTGGCAGGGCCTCCCCCCCCCCCTTTCCATCTTGTTGTCATCTTGATGGGGCTTGCTCGGTACCTGCCAGGTTGTGATGTTCCATGGGACAATCATGTGTCCTTTTTAGAGCTTTATGCTCCTGCTCCTATCTTCACAAATTATGTTGGAAGCCTTTTCCTTACGTTTCATTCCCCCCCCCCCCCCCTTATTGTCATTTCCCAATGACTTTTTGGCCATTCTTGATTATTCTTTAAGGCATCTTCTGTTTTGATTCCTGGGTGTTTGGGGAGGTACACTCTATCATCCGTAAAACTCTGGTACCTGATGTGTTTCGAGCGATGGGATGCTTTTATTGTCAATCTTTGCCTTCGTTGCTGAACCCGATCTCAATGGACTGATGGTTCTTAAGGTGGCGATTGCAGGGCGTATACCCACAATGCACCCCTGGGTGGGTGGGGGGGAGAGCCCATCTTGGCGGGTGCCCTCTCCTTTAATTGTGGCCAATGATTGACCCTCTTGTTAAATTGATGGAAATTATTACACTGGTGAAGTGCACATCTTAAGTACTAATATTAGGGGAGTGGGTAGCACAAGGTAGTTATATCCGTCAGTGACATAGATGAGAATATTACAAACCACATCATTTCAAATTTGCAAATGACAAAAGATTTATGGTAAAGTGGGAAGTAAAAATGAAGAGATCTACATGAACTCCATAAATGGTCAGAAGGCTTGCAAATGCTTTTTAATACTGTATCGATAAATGAAAGTGCATGTGGGGCATAATCCACTTCATACCTACCAAATTAGCAGCATTACCTTGCAGCAGATTGAAGAAGAAATTGACCTTGGAGTCAGAATCTATCATTCATCGAAGATTGCACAAAAAGTGGGAGCGGTAGTAAAAAAAAAAAAAAAAAACTAACCAAACCCTAGGAATAATCAAACGTCCCTTTACTTCTAAGGAAAAGAAGGTAGTTATTCAATTGTATAAATCTTTCTCTGGTTATAATCCAGGTATAAATCACCTGGATTATTGCATCCAGGCATGGAGACCATCTTCAGAAAGACATGGCTTCATTGGAGACAGTTCAACACGGGCAACAAAAATAATTTCAGAACCAAAGTCAACTCATACCAGGACAGGTTGAGAGTCACAGGGCAAATAACACTGCAAACCAGACATGATAGAACTGATTTCATCAAAACATTCAAAATACTGAAAATTTGGAGGATGTTGATCCGGACAACTTCTTAAGAGGTCAGATGTACTGTAACAAGGACATGGAGCAAGTGTCAAGCTCAACAAGCCACAGTATAGGACATGAGATGCTTTTTCACCCATAGGGTTATAAACCCATGGAACCACTGAAGCCATAAATGCCAAAACTCTGAACTATAAAATCTAGCTTGAAAAAATCATTAGGACAAATGGAGGGGGACTTTTGACTAACCGCTGACTTTCTGTCCTCATCAAGGCCACTAGTGTGTTGGTGGCCCTTAGATAAAGATACATGGGTTTTGCTAAAGCTTTTGATAAGGTACCGACTAGCAAGGAAATTACAGGCACATGGAATAAATGGAAGAATACTAGAATCGATAAAACAATGATTAAAACAGTCGTGCTAAATGGGAACTAATCTGACTGGAGAAATATGGTGTGCGGTACCACAAGGGTCCATTTTGGGGCCAACCCTTTTTGTCATTACATCAATGCCATAGATGAGAATATTACAAACCACATCATCAAATTTGCAGATGACATTAAGAACTGGTAGAGTGGAAAATTAAGATTATATTGAAGCCTTACTAAGAGATCTACATAAACTCCGCAAATGGTCAGAAGACAAGCAAATGATTTTTAATATTGAAAAATACCTTGCATGTGGGGCATAGCAACCCACATCACAACTACCAAATTACCAGCAGTACCTTGCTGCAGATTGATGAAGAGAAGGACCTTAAGTCAGAATCCATCAGTCAGTAGGGGCCTGACAGCTGAGTGGACAGCTCTTGGGATTTGTAATCCTAAGGTTCCGGGTTTGATACCCCAGTGGAGGCGGAAACAAATGGGCAGAGTTTTTTCCACTGATGCCCCTGTTCACCTAGCAGTAAATAGATACCTGGGAGTTAGACAGCTGCTACGGGCTGCTTCCTGGGGGTCACAAAAAGGAGGCCTGGTCGAGGACCGGAAATCATCTCAAGATAACCACTAAGTGTTTCACAACACATGAAAATGGCAGTAAAGAAAAATCCTAGGAATAGTCTGATGTAACTTTGATTTCAGGGAAAAGATGGTAGTTATTCAACTGTATAAATATCTTTTGTGTCCCACTTGGATTATTGTATCCAAGCATGAAGATCTACTTTTCAAAAAGATGCATCTGCTTTGCAGAAAGTCCTACATTGGGCAACAAAAATCATTCCAGAACTAAGTCGACTCTCATACCAGGAACAGTTGAGGGCCACAGGGCTAACAACACTGCAAACCAGACATGACAGGGCAGATCTCATTGAAACTTTTAAAAATATTGAACAACTTTGAGGATATTGATTAAGACCACTTCTTCAAAAGGCGAGATGGAACATGAGCTTGAATCCATTGCTCCTTGTTCAAGCCACAGTGTAGGACTAAACAGGAGATACTTTTTCACCCACAGGGTTGGTGAAAAAAAACCTACGGAACTCATACCCGCAGAAGCTGCAAATGCCAAAACACTTTTGAATTTTAAAATCCAGCCTTAAAAAATCAGGAGAAATGGGGGACTTTTGATAAATGCTGGCTTTCTGTTCTTGTCAAGACCACTAGTGTGTTAGTGGCCCTCAGGTAAATTCAGTTAAACTCTGCTAAGATTCCTGTACACAAAGATATCTGAAATATTAATTGAAGTGGAATGCTCAGCTCAGGTGTACATTCTTTCAGAACCTAAGGTGAAACTCCATCTGGTCCAACTGTTTTATTTCTTCCTAACTCCTTGAGAAATTTTCCACTTCGTCTTTACACACTTGTATTCTATAGTGTTCCCTGGCACTGTCTGGTTTTCTGAAAACTTCATTTTGTACAAATACTCTGGAACTGCTCATTTAGTGTTTTACACATTTCCTTTTTGTTCTCTGAATCTGTTCCCCATCTGAGTTTTGTCCTTTAGCTGCATTTTGCATTTAATGAATTTACAGAATAGACCTGGTTTGGTTTGGTTTTACATTTGTCCACTATCCCATTCTCAAACTGTCTTTCTGCCTCTTCTCACTGCTATGTAGTTGTTTCAGGCTTCTTTGTATTGCTGTTATGTTTGAGGGTTTGACCTCTTGCTATACTGATTCCATTTTTTGTCTAGTTTCTGGCACTCTTGCAATTTATTGAACCTGTCCTGTTTTCTAGTTCTGCATCTGTTTTGATAAACATTTTTTGACGTTTTTTGAGCCTTCATATATTTCACAGAACTTGGCATACAAAGCATTTACTTTCTTGCCTAACAAAAAGTCTTTCCAGCCAAATTCATTAAATTAAAGAATTTTCCAAGTCCCCCATAGTGTCCTCTCCTGAAAGTTTTTCAACTGCTTCATTTTCCTCATTCACCTCTAGATTATAGAATATTTATTTATATACAAGAAGGTACTATGGATTGAGAGTACATAACATTGGTATTTGAGTGTTGCTTTTTTGCAAAGCCACTAACATGCATAGGGTTTGGGCAGGCCCTTAAGCTAACTGAAAAATGTAATATAAGGTACATTGTAGCAGAATTTGAGTTATACATAATAACTACAATATAAAATTATAGTATAGATTACACTGAAGTTGTATGTCTTCAATACTGAAGATTTTGAGATAAAACAAGATGTAATTTCCTTCAATATTATTAAGTGGTATAGATCCTGTCATTAAAGTTATTAACCTTTATTAATAATATTTACATCACCTAATGGACTAATCTCTTCTCACCTTTATCACAGGGGATGCATGCTGATTACAGATTTTAGGGCTACTTATTAATAAATAATGTTAATATTGAGTGTTCCTGTACTGTATATACCAGTTGTATGATACAGTACAAACTTCCAAAATGTAGAGAGAATACAGAACTCCAGTCATTTATATTTTATATTTCTCATATTAAATGTCACAAGAAATATAACTACAGTTACTATGCAAAGTACACATACTGTGATCCACAAAACATGTTACAGTCAATGTACAGTACTCTCATTTGCTTTGTATTAAGATGCAAACAAGTTAAATAGGGCTGATGTAAAACCTTAATTCTTCCCATTTTATTGGTCTAGACTGAGTGTGATGGAAAAATAAATGAATTACACACAAGCTTGGATTCTTGACTGCAGCCATACATCACATAAACATGCAGAGAACTATACAAGCACATTAGTAATAATTACTGCCACAAACTTTGAATATGAGAAACTATGGATCTGTGAGATATCATTCAACATGAGTCTGTAATTGTTACATATTAAAATTTAGTCCATTAACTTCTTCCTAAGTATGGTCTCTTGTGCTTTTAATGTTCCCTCCTCATTAAACCAAGTGAGGTATGTTACAGATTTAATTCTGAAAATACTAGTAAAGAAATGGAGCATTCGTAACAGATTCCTCATGTATCTCCCAGATAGGACTGAATATTTGCTCAGTTAGCAAGAAGAGTAAAGGGCGGTAATGATGATTACGTCTTCAAACATGTGTAAATTAGAAGTAAGAACACCAAGAACTGACATGTGCTGCCAATCTGTATGGACATGCAGGTTGTCACTAATCACCAAACCAAGGAGAACGAGACTCCTGTTTATCAATCTAAACACAAATTTGTAATTCTATATTTCTATATATAGTGACATGATTGTTTTCCTTTGTGTTCACATAAATAGCATAGAAAAATAAATTTAAACTCAAAATTATTTAGACAAAGTACTGTACTGTACGTGCATATACAGTATTGAACGTCTTGTCCACATATCTCATAGGAAAAATAACGCATTTCTTTATTAAATGTTAATCACTATGATTCGACAAACTAAATAATAATCTATGTATACTTTAGTCTTTCAGAAGTTTAAATGCATTAGGAAGTTTACATATTATTTTGTAAAGAAGAAAGGTTGTAAATCCAATTACAGGATTATACTTTGAAAACTAGTTGGCAAAGTAATTGAAACAGTAAATTCAAAGGTCCCAAGAAGTGATAATATTAATTATAAATAAATAAATAAATTATATATATATATATATATATATATATATATATATATATATATATATATATATATATATATATATATATATATATATATATATATATATATATATATATATAATTTATTTATTTATTTATTATTAAGGTTGAGGTTATATGAGAAACTACAAACCATGCAAATACAGTACTGTACAATGATATCACTTCATGAACAGGTGGAAGTCTGACTAGGTAAAAATGTTGCCATACCACTCCAATATTACTAAATATTTAAGTTTGGAAAAGATGAACTAGTACCAGCAACTATTCTAAAGTAACAACTTTACAACCCCATACCTACTGTTCCCATCACAAATTTCTTGCTAACATTCAGTTCTCAATATTTTTGTTAACTTTTAAATTCTGCTTCATGTTAAACCCACTCAGAGGTTCGAAGGGTTTAGGATGACCACCTGCCACTTATAACATTTATCTTCATACACTAAACATCAATAACTAAGTCTTACATAATCACACTAAAAGAAACAAAGTATAACCAAACTACAGTAAGTTAAAACCTATTTAATGCCAAGTACAATACCCTAGAGTGCTCAGGCAGAGAATACAACACTACTTCACTCTTTACCTGTAATTTATATACAGTACAATATTCATACTAATTTCCTTAACTGGAAGTAATCCTCAGGAACCATGGGAGAAGCTTTGACACTTTGCTAGCTTCCTTTACCCATTGAAGCCACTAGAGATGGTGACCCTTGGGTAAATTCATTTATATATAGTTTTTAATCTATAATTTTAATTTCCAGTGTATGGTGAATAAATAATGTTTAACACATAAAGTAACAAATATTTTTAGTAAGCTCATCCTTCTGCAGCATAATCAGCAAATCAAAACTTGTACATAATGAACACAATTGGAACATGGTAAAAATCCCAAAATAGGTCAATGCTCTTAGTTTAAATCTTGATTTTCAGTTTATTTCAGACTCCTAATTTGTGTCACACATATTTTGCATTGTGTGTATTGAAGTGAGATTTTTCTAATATTCTGCAATAAATGCAAGTTTGAATTAGTCATTAAATTTGTTTAATAAATCAAAAGGCTAAAATAATATTTGATGTATCAAAATCACTGTAGAAACCTTCCCATAGACAAAATACACTGTTTATACCAATAATAAAACACTAGTTTTCATTGTAGCATAAAAGCAAGGAAACACTACTTAACTATACTGGAATGAAATATTTTACCTGAAACTACACAAGTATCAGATCATGAGAGAAAGACTGAGGCACTAATATACATTCAGAATGAGTATATTTGTCAAGAAAACTAATTATCACTTAAATGATCATTCCATGAGGCACAGTATAGTTGAGCAGATTGAACACTGCTACTGAAATTCTCGCTATAACCTGCTTTACCCATATACTTGTCTCAAGTATCAAATTATTTTAAAAATTGTATCAAATATACAGTACTTGATGTCCATTCTTAGGTAATACTATTGTTAACAAAAATGGATTAAAAATAGATGAGAGGCCTCAAATTTGCACTGACTCTTTCCATTGCAAAACATTTTAAATTTAATTCCCCTACAAAAACTTTAAAGCAATATGAACATTTGACTACTAATTATCAACCAATGCAGCCTGGCCATGTGGTTTTTGTGAAAAAGAATAGGAAAGGCACTTCTTGAAACTAATTTCTGGGTGTCATTATAGGTGATATGTCCAACATACTATTGAGAGCACTTATTAATCTTTGCCAACCTTGCTATGGTCATGCACAAAGATTTCCTCCTTACCTCTTGGTAACTGATTTAATTTGACATGGTTAACTAATTTAATTGTTAACTTAATCCTTCACAATGTATGCTCTGCTTCCTTGCTTATTGTAACTGGCTTAGAGCAAGGACTTTGGTAATCCCAAAGACTCTTGCTTACCCCATTATGACACCCATGTGCATCCTAGAGCTCCCTAAACCCTATCTGGAAGTCAAACTTTTGCTTTAAATTATTCTCCACTAATTTCCAACTACAGTATCTCTTGTGGAAAGTCATGATTCCTGGTTTCCCTTACTTGACTAACCACAAATGCTTTGTGCACATTATGCTTGAATTAATTACTTGGATCATTTTCACATTATAGAATGTAGAATTTGAAAAAAAATAACATTCAAAAACAAAAATTTGTTTTTTACTAAACTGTATTTGATTTTTCATGGTACACTATATATGGAAAGTGCAAGTATTTTTCTTGATAGAAATGTAATACAGTATACTGTAGATCACCATCTCCCACCCCACCACAAAAAAAAACTTTAGTAATTATTCTTTATGGAAATAATGATATCCTATGTCTTGGGGAACACTTATGACCTAGTGCTGAACTACTCGGACAGTATTTTCAAATAGAAATTAAATTTTATTATAATACTATAAATCCTTACTAGAAATATAATCTTTTTAATTTCTTTATGCCAATTTTTAAATATTAAAGATGGTTCTTGCTATGTTTGCTTGTAACTACAGTACTGTATTTATCAAACAGTACATTTTATAAATTTATTTAAAGTATCCATTTTATTTGACTTAACACAGCATTGCACAAAATACCACTTAACAAAATACACTTCACAGCAAACACACATATTGGCCTCTATGATTACAACATTTGATGACTTTTAAGTGAGACAAGTGAGGTATAATTAGAACTCAATAGCAGTGTTTGATGCTAACAAGATTATGAAAGCCATATAATTCTGATACTTGTATCTAATTAGAAATGCATTCCTAAAACACTCAAAATTCACATTATAAATGAAGAACTTAAATGGGAAAAAGTGTACGAGAAACAGATAGCATTGTGAACATCTGCCCTCGACATGCCAAATTTTCTCATCTAGTACCAACGCTACACATAATTATCAGGCTCTGTTTACTATTCATAATTATACATTATTTATTTCCCCATCTTTATGTACATGCATGTTTAACACGAGCTAAATACCATTTTAAAGACTTTGGTGAAATGTACCATGTGTAATTTGACATAATGAGTAGAAATATACAAACGTTATACAGTACAGTACTGGTTATTAGAGCTACAGAGACAAATATTACAAGACAAGCTCTTCTTGTGAAGTGAGGCACAAACTTAATTGCAGTGCAACATGCTACATTAGAAAATAAATTTTTCTAATGAAATAATGCCAGAGTTCAATTGAACACTGCTACCAGAGTGCATTTTAAGTAAAAAGTGAATACTGTACTATATACTATTTAGTAGCTAACAATAATAATAAAACAATTCATATTACTTGATAAGTAATCACATTATACTGTATATGCAAAAATAAAGAGACAAAATTTCTTCCTATATACAAAGTTGAACCTGAACAATATTTTCCAAAGTTTCTTTGGTTTCAGTGGTACCACACGGAAGATTGTCAGCCACAATCTCACACACATGCTTACAAATATTGTGTGTCCACGTGCATACAATATGTACCAGTGTGTGTAACATACAGTGCATACCAATGTGTAACATACAGTATGTACCAGTGTGTAATTGCCCAAGTGTGGCTACAGGATGGGAGCTATGCTCATGGTGTCCCCACACACTGTCAGACATTTTGAAGCTTAACATGATTTTGACAAATACAAACCTCTCATTTATTACATATGTTTACTACTCTACCTGCAAAAGATAATTTACGTACCTCTTTCGTCATGTTGCAGAATTGCAAAATGTTCCCTCTTATAAATTTTGTAAATGTATCAAAATTTTGTACATGATCTACATCACCTTTTAACCTCATTTACTATTATTGGCAAACTGCTTTTAATGACTCTAGTCTCATCACATAACTCTTACTTTTTTAGACCTAAAAGTCAACTAGCTGCAGAGCTGTACTTAAATTTTTTATTTATATGTTTTTGAGATATTGGTTCCATACAACTATTTCATATTCTAGCATTTCACATACACACATTCGTCGTGAATTACCAATAACATTTTTCAATGTATTTAAAGGCATTTCTGAAATTGGCCAAGTAGTATAAGGTCCTCTTATCATGTCCTTGATGTGGCCCTTTGTTGGCAGTGGATACTTGGATAGTGTTTCAGAGTAACTCTTGGTAATTTTAGAGACACCAGTGGTTGCTTGAAGGAAGTGTCGAGGGCTTTGGAATGTTCTTGTGTGTCATTACAAGCAGTGTCTCTGTGGTGGCTTGAGGCATGCTATCAGTGTGTAACATGGTATCAGTGTGTTCGTGCTTCTTGTCCCTGGACTAAGGGATAAGGCAATTTATAAGGTTACTTGTCTCCATAGGGTTCAAAGTTATTCAGGACCAAGGTGGGTCCAGTGCTAAAACTCAGGGAAGCTACCAAGATACCGGTCAGAAAGGGGTACTTCTTTCCTCATCGCATTCTATTTTAAAAACCTTTTCCAAAATTTACAAATATCTCATAATGCATGTGCAGTAAAGCAGTAATGTATTTACCAATGCTGATTATTTTGGGGTTGTAGGGATTAATGTAAGGATGATGGATCATTGACTCAAACTTCATGCTACACTAAAGTATCTTTATCACTTATATAAGTGTTTATATATAATATCGCTTTCTCAGTTAATGTCATCACTCACATTGCTTCTTCACAACACTACTAAATGCAGCTGATCTACAGTTTGGCATCATAATTGCTCAAGGGGATTTTATTTTTAATGGAATATTACAAGCATAAGTATTCTCACAAGCTGGAACGAAGCTAGCCTGGTTGTGAGTCTCGGAGGCAGCTGCTGCGTTGCATATAAAGCTTCCAAAATGCAATGAACATTTTATACAAAATATTTTCCTCATTTAGTCAAATAATTTATCTATTTTAGTCTACCTTATAAAATAAATAAAGTCACATTTGGCAAAGATTTAATGTATTTTGAGATTTTGCTTCAGAAAATGTGTTAAAATATAGACTAAAGTGTTCACACAATTTAAAGTTTAAATTTGATGTGGTTATCCATTATCATATAAACACAAATGCTGGAAGCTAGCTAAAATGGTTCACAGTCCAACACAAGATATGATGAAATGAAATGATTATTTTCCAGCCATAAAGATGGCTTGTAATGAAAAATATCGTAAGAGATATAGTATTGTGATTCGACACATTAACTGAACTAGAATGTAGATTCAAAATATTTAAACACTTTACTTGCACTCCGAGTACATGTAAAAATGGATTGCACTGACGAGAGAGTACGTTAAGACATGCTGAGATCAATATGTGTGGACAGCGTTTACACCAATACCGCTCCCTCCTTACTTGTGTGCCCATCTCTAACTTGATGGATCTGTGCCCATCTATTACTTGTAGGATGTGTGCCCATCTCTTACTTGAAGTAAGAGTGCCCATCTCTAACTTGAAAGATGTGTACGCATCTCTTACTTGAAAGATGTGTGCCCATCTCTTACTTGAAAGATGTGTGCCCATCTCTTACTTGAAAGATGTGTTGTGTACATACAAACAAGAAATACTTGGATTACTTATCAACACTTTCTTACCTACACACTAGGTATAAATTTAATCGTACTGTATTTTACACTACTCGAATTACAATTTTTTTTTTTTTTTTGGAAGTACAAGTACTAAATATTAAACATTTGTGACCATAATGAATCCATAGTATAACTCACTGTATAACTTTCAAGATACATTATACTGTATTTACATGTCCAAACATTGTTATTTAAATTACAAAACATTTGTTGAATGTCACCTAAGCTTATATCCAGCCTAGATATGGCAAATAAGAAACATTACATCTTGCCTGCTTATCTTAACAGTGTACAGGTATTCTGTAACACGTATTGAACCAATACCTTAAAAGATTTCCAAGACCTACAATAGTAGTAGTAGTAGTAGCTGGGCTAATGAACAAATATTTGTTTAATGCTTATCAATTAAATTCCCCAAACTGCACTTCTCATTTCAGCTTACTGATATCCAAAGCTATATATAATTCCTTCAAGAAATGCACTCTGATAATGTGGATGAAGTACATGTTGCTCAGTCAGTCAGGCCAAGTTCTGCCAGATCTGGCTATTAACTGCATGGGGTCACCAAATAGAATCAGCCTCAAATATTTGCTCAAGGATCCTCAGTAACCATCCATAGGCTCCCTGTTCTACACAGAGTATACCCATATTCAAATTAAACTTACAGTAAAATCTTTGGCATCACTTTCTGATGAATAAGGAGCAAAAGTCAGGTCAAAAGCTAATGTATTTTTATATTTGTAAATTAGTCCAAGTGTGTCAGTAATTCAATCAGATGAGCTTCCTAAATTATGAAACACTAGTTTTGGAACACATATAAATGTCTTTATGAGGCATATAGGCTATACTGGCCTGTTTACAAATGTTACACTTCAAATGTGACCACACTGTTCCTCTTGATGGCTTATATCATCACCCCCGCTCCATCACACCACAGTGCCTGGCCGAGGGGTGCTTGGGTGTCACATGGCCTTCACATCCTCACACTCACATCCTTCACCCTGAAAAATTTCCACCAGTAAGTCAACTGAAATGCAATATAAGAACATAAGTATTAAGGAAACTGCAGTAGGCCTAATGGCATATATATGGCGGCTCCTGTTTATGTTCACCTAAACTCATTCGTACATATGTCTAACATATGAAGTGTTATTATTATTTTAAAAGTCTATCTAAATCATCTTGAGCAATAAAGTATCAGGTTTTCAGGAGACTCAAAAGAGCTAAAAGATGATTTAGATAGGCTTGTAAAATGGAGTTAAGATTGGTAAATGCAGTTTAACGCTGACAAATGTAGGGTTCAGAGCCTACAAAATTATAATAATAACTGGATAAGTTTAACAATGTCAACATTTCTGAATCTGAATGAAAAAAAAATGGGAGGTATGATTAGAAAAGATCTTGAGTCCCAAAACTAAATAAATGTATAAGTGTTCAAAATAAGGCAAATAAGATGCTGGAATTCATATCAAGATGTGTTGGGTTCTCTTTTAGGCCACATCAAGATTATGTAGTTCAATTTTTGACTACAGAATTTACATAAATTAAACCATATTCAAAATAGCATCTTGGGAAGGTCATTAATGCTCTACTATATAATGAAACATCTGTCTTGTGACAGCCTTCTCTGGTAGCTTCAACAGTGCCTGAACCTAAACAACAAATAACAAGGGTCTGAGAACAGCATATTGTTTGCCACCATTACTAACCAGTGAAATATTTACAACATTATTCCACTTACGTTACTCTGAAATAAAATAATGTTCTCAGCGAATAATTTCAAGTTTATTTTTAATGCCTTCCATATTTCTCCAGTAATAAGAACATTATTAAAATAGTTCAACATGTCAATACAAGCAATACGTAATACCAAAAAGTATTAATTTACCATGGAATTTTGTTGCTGCCATTGTATCATATATTGTAGCAAGCATTGAAATAATTATTGCAGTTTAACACAGAGATAACTGGCAGAAAGAAAAATAGTTTTGAAAGATCACAGAATCAAAATTTGATATTATTGGTGAAAGTAAGCTAAGAACCATGATCCCCTTCATAATTTAAATTACCTGTTGGATAACGATATCATGTTCTGAATCTGACGTTGACATGTAGCGATGGGATGCGTTGGGGCCGGAGTGTGCATGTGGGGCAATGAGGCGTGTGTGTTCATCACCGCCATTCACGCCACCTGTTACAGTTGCACCTCCAGGCCATCCACTTCCACGTGATGTTAAACGACGTTTCATTCCTTCACCTAAAATACACAATATTACACTATCATGCAACACACGGACAAAGGAGAAGCTGGATAATAAACAAGAGGGCCTCATAACAATAATGAGAGAGATTATAGCAAGAGCAGACATAGATAGATCATGACTGTTGGTAATCGGGGACTTCAACTTTAAATCCATAGACTGGGAGGCATATGAAGCTAGAACAGAGGACTTTTGGACCTGTAGATTCATAAACCTCATCCTGGTGACATTCATGTATCAACACGTTAAACCAGCTATGAGGATGAGGGAAGGGGATGTTCCCTCCATGCTGGATTTGATATTCACCAGGAAAGAGGAAGAGATATTTGACATTCAGTACCTTCCTCCTTTGGGTAAAAGTGACTATGCCCATTTGGGAATAAAGTATGCAATGCATTATAATCTGGGAAGAGAATGAGGAAGTTGAATCAGTCAAAAAACCTGTTTTAAGGAGAGGACATTATGGGGAACTTAAAATTTTAAGGAATTTTATTGGAAAAAGAATCAATATAGGAAGAAGCCAAACCCTCAAACATACCAGCAATACAAGAAAAGTGTGAAACAACTACACGGCAGTGAGGAGAAATGCAGAGAGACATTTTGATAACGGGATAGTGGACAAATGTAAAATAGAACCAGGCCTATTCTATAAATTCATCAAAAGCAAATTGCAGGTAACGGATAATATTCAGAGATTGAAATGGAAAACAGATTCATGGAAAAAGAAAAGGAGATGTGTGAAACATTAAACAAACAGTTCCAAAGTTTTTTACGTGCAAAATGGAATCTTCAGAGAACCAGACACAATAAGAATGCCAAAGAACAACATTGGGCATATAGAGATGTCTAGAGATGAAGTGGAAAAAATGCTCAAGGAGCCAAGTAAAAATGAAGCAGTTGGCCCAGATGGAGTTTCACCATGGGTTCTAAGAGAATGTGCACCCGAGCTCAGCATTCCACTTCAACTGATTTTTCAGGCATCCCTGTATACAGGAGTCCTAGCAGATGTGTGGAATAAGGCTAACATAGTACCAATCTACAAAAGTGGTACCTGTAGCAAAGAAGAAACCCCTCAATTATAGACCTGTAGCACTGACATGTGTAATAGTCAAAATATTGGAAAAAATAATTAAAACTAAATGGGTAGAACACCTGGAGAAAAATTATATAATAACAGACAGACAGTATGGTTTTCGATCTGGAAGATCCTGTGTAACAAATTTACTCAGTTTCTATGATTGAGCCGAGATTTTACAGAACAGAGATGGTTGGTTTGGCAGTACTGTATCTATCTGGACCTAAAAAAGGCTTTTGACAGAGGTCCACATAAGAGACTGTTCTGTAAACTGGAACATACTGGAGGTATGACAGTTAGACTTCTAACATGGATGACAAATTTTCTGACAGGAAAATGAGGGCAGTAATCAGAGGCAATGTATAGAATTGGAAAAATGTCATGAGTGGAGTACCACAGGGTTCAATTCTTGCAAGTTATAATTAGGAAGGTTCTTTAGGTACAATTCAATCTTTTGAGAGTAAATTTATTAAGAAAAAGGTAAAGTAAAACACAACTATTACTGCCCCTGAAGAACAGAACCATCATTTACAGTGGAAAACTTAAAATTAATTTGTATAAATTAAAACAATCTTAAAGATTACACAAAGAATACATGTGAGAATACTTACTAACAACATAAACGTGCTCTCTAATGTCTGAGCGCACGTCTGATATGTCCCAGATGAGTAGGAAAGTGTGGCAGCAATTTCCAGTCTCATATTCTTCATCAACATAAGACTTGTATGAGAAGGCGTAATGGTGAGCAACTGCTGCTATGAACATCTCTACACAGATTAAAAAGTTCTGAAGGAAACACAAAAGAGCATGGATCAGACAAAATAAAACGAGCATATTGATAAATACAAAAGGGAAGAAAACCATATAATAAACTAAAATTTAATTTAGAGAAATCAACAGGAAAACTGCTGCAGGCCTAGCCATCAATCATCCCATCCTATCATCCTGAAGCCAGCCATCATCCTGAAGCCAGCCATCATTCTGAAGCCAGCCATCATTCTGAAGCCAGTCATCATTCTGAAGCCAGTCATCATTCTGAAGCCAGCCATCATTCTGAAGTTGTGTGTTTGTCTTGATACACAACATCACACATGACTTTAATGGTTACTTTACCATTATCAACAGCCTATACTATGATGGAATAAAATGATAGCAAATTTGTTAAACATTAACGGCTGTTAGTAAAACCTTGTTGTGAATCATTTATTAATCCATGTTTTTCAAGAAGACAACGAATGGTATTTGCAATTGTTGAATCAAGTAACTGGGGGCGACATGATAGAGGTGTACAAATGGATGAATGTACATAACAAAGGGAATATTAATAGGGTATTAAAAGTATCAACACAAGACAGAACATGAAACAATGGGTATAAATTGGGCAAGTTTGGATTTCAGAAAGACCTGGGTAAATACTGGTTTGGTAACAGGGTTGTTGATTTGTGGAACCAATTACTGGATAATATAATGTAAGTAGGATCCCTTGATTATTTCATGTATAGATTAGACATATACTGATTATGAATGAGATTGGGTGGTTATAAATAGGAGCTGCCTAGTTTGGGCCAATAGGCCTTCTGCAGTTACCTTTTATATATATATATATATATATATATATATATATATATATATATATATATATATATATATATATATATATATATATATATATTTATATATATATATATATATATATATATATATATATATATATATATATATATATATATATATATATATATATATATATATATATATATATATATATATATATATAACTATATATATATATATATATATATATATATATATATATAAAACTATATATATATATATATATATATATATATATATATATATATATATATATATATATATATATATATATATATATATATATATATATATATATATATATCGTAATGGTGAGCAACTGCTGCTATGAACATCTCTACACAGATTAAAAAGTTCTGAAGGAAACACAAAAGAGCATGGATCAGACAAAATAAAACGAGCATATTGATAAATACAAAAGGGAAGAAAACCATATAATAAACTAAAATTTAATTTAGAGAAATCAACAGGAAAACTGCTGCAGGCCTAGCCATCAATCATCCCATCCTATCATCCTGAAGCCAGCCATCATCCTGAAGCCAGCCATCATTCTGAAGCCAGCCATCATTCTGAAGCCAGTCATCATTCTGAAGCCAGTCATCATTCTGAAGCCAGCCATCATTCTGAAGTTGTGTGTTTGTCTTGATACACAACATCACACATGACTTTAATGGTTACTTTACCATTATCAACAGCCTATACTATGATGGAATAAAATGATAGCAAATTTGTTAAACATTAACGGCTGTTAGTAAAACCTTGTTGTGAATCATTTATTAATCCATGTTTTTCAAGAAGACAACGAATGGTATTTGCAATTGTTGAATCAAGTAACTGGGGGCGACATGATAGAGGTGTACAAATGGATGAATGTACATAACAAAGGGAATATTAATAGGGTATTAAAAGTATCAACACAAGACAGAACATGAAACAATGGGTATAAATTGGGCAAGTTTGGATTTCAGAAAGACCTGGGTAAATACTGGTTTGGTAACAGGTTGTTGATTTGTGGAACCAATTACTGGATAATATAATGTAAGTAGGATCCCTTGATTATTTCATGTATAGATTAGACATATACTGATTATGAATGAGATTGGGTGGTTATAAATAGGAGCTGCCTAGTTTGGGCCAATAGGCCTTCTGCAGTTACCTTTTATATATATATATATATATATATATATATATATATATATATATATATATATATATATATATATATATATATATATATATATATATATATATAGTTTTATATATATATATATATATATATATATATATATATATAAATAGTTATATATATATATATATATATATATATATATATATATATATATAACTATTTATATATATATATATATATATATATATATATAAAACTATATATAAATATATATATATATATATATATATATATATATATATATATATATATATATATATATATATATATATATATATATATATATATATAAGAACATAAGAACAAAGGTAACTGCAGAAGGCCTATTGGCCCATACGAGGCAGCTCCTATTCTATAACCACCCAATCCCACTCATATACTTGTCCAACCCGTGCTTGAAACAATCGAGGGACCCCACTTCCACAATGTTACGCGGCAATTGGTTCCACAAATCAACAACCCTGTTACTGAACCAGTATTTACCCAAGTCTTTCCTAAATCTAAACTTATCCAATTTATACCCATTGTTTCGTGTTCTGTCCTGTGTTGATACTTTTAATACCCTACCAATATCCCCCCGGTTATGTCCATTCATCCACTTGTAAACCTCTATCATGTCACCCCTAACTCTTCGCCTTTCCAGTGAATGCAACTTAAGCTTTGTTAATCTTTCTTCATATGAAAGATTTCTAATTTGGGGAATTAACTTAGTCATCCTACGCTGGACACGTTCAAGTGAATTTATATCCATTCTATAATATGGCGACCAAAACTGAACTGCATAATCTAAATGGGGCCTAACTAGAGCAAGATATAGCTTGAGAACCACACCAGGTGTCTTGTTACTAACGCTGCGATTAATAAATCCAAGTGTCCGATTTGCCTTATTACGAACATTTATGCATTGATCCTTTTGTTTTAAATTCTTACTAATCATAACTCCCAGATCCCTTTCGCAATCCGACTTCGCAATCACAACACCATCTAGCTCGTATCTTGTAACTCTATCATCATTACCTAACCTCAGAACTTTACATTTATCAGCATTAAACTGCATCTGCCAATCCTTTGACCATTTCAAAACCCTATCTAGATCAACTTGAAGTGATAGTGAGTCCTCCTCCGAATTAATTTCCCTACCGATTTTCGTATCATCGGCAAATTTGCAAATGTTGCTACTCAAACCTGAATCTAAATCATTTATATATATTATAAACAACAGAGGTCCCAGGACAGAGCCTTGAGGCACTCCACTTACAACATTTTCCCACTCTGACTTGATTCCATTTATACTAACTCTCTGTTTCCTTTGGTATAGCCATGCCCTAATCCAGCTTAATATAGCACCCCCAATACCATGAGACTCTATCTTTTTAATCAGTCTTTCATGTGGCACTGTATCAAAAGCTTTGCTAAAGTCAAGGTATACAACATCGCAATCCTTACCACTATCAACTGCCTCAACAATGCTAGAATAAAAATAATTATATATAATATATAAATATATATATTTATATATTTATATATATATATTATATATATATATATATATATATATATATATATATATATATATATATATATATATATATATATATATATATATATATATATTTATATATATATTATATATATATATATATATATATATATATATATATATATATATATATATATATATATATATTTATATATATATATGTCGTACCTAGTAGCCAGAACACACTTGTCAGCCTACTATGCAAGGCCCAATTTGCCTAATGAGCCAAGTTTTCCTGAATTAATATATTTTCTCAATTTTTTTCCTTATGAAATGATAAAGCTACCCATTTCATTATGTATGAAGTCAATTTTTTTTTATTGGAGTTAAAATTAACGTAGATATATGACCGAACCTAACCAACCCTACCTAACCTAACCTAACCTATCTTTATAGGTTAGGTTAGGTTAGATAGCCGAAAAAGTTAGGTTAGGTTAGGTTAGGTAGGTTAGGTAGTCGAAAAACAATTAATTCATGAAAACTTGGCTTATTAGGCAAATCGGGCCTTGCATAGTAGGCTGACAAGTGCGTTCTGGCTACTAGGTACGACATATATATTTATATATATATATTATATATATTATATATATTATATATATATATATATATATATATATATATATATATATATATATATATATATATATATATATATATATATATATATATATATATATATATTATACACAGTCCAGTCAGACAAAAATCATATACAGTACATGTATATATGATTTTTGTTGTTTAAGTGTTAAAAACTCCCCAAAAGATGACTCAAGAACATGATACGACAATAGCATATCCGACTGAAAATTATGAAAATAATAAAATCCAGAATAGTTAGGGAAGTTTGATTATAGTGCATGAATATTTACACACACATGCTTCATAAAAGTCAGTTGTAATAACTTGTGCTTGGAATTAATATGTAAATGTACCTGAATGATGCTGGAATCTTCCCGCTCCTTACTTTCATTCTCTTCTTCAGTTTTACCATTTATGTGGAATATATTATGCATAAACTGTGCCTTCATCAAAAACATGATAGCAACTCCTTGACTGCAAAAGAAGTATTAAAACAAAAATTAGAATTATCTGAAAATATAATCTGGAAATTTAATTTTAGTATTTATATAAAATGCAAATAAAAAACTGAGCATGGAATGCAATGAAATTCCCTTTTCTGATGGGACCCCTATAGCTTCCCAAGCAATCTGGGATAGAATCAGATCCCTCACTAGTAGACACTCGGACCAAGTGGGAGCCCCACACCAGCCAGTTGTTGAAGCAGGCCAAAACCTTATCCCCCGACAAATGAGGAATCACGACGACCCAAGCCAAGTGTGTGAACACGCGTAGAACAAGATTAAGCCGAACTGGGAGAACCCGAAAGCAGTAAGGCAGTCACCCCACAACAAAACCTAGCCAAATCTTAACACTCGGAAACATAGGAACATACCAAGACGCTGCCTGGGTGTCCACGAAGACCATCCAAATACCCGTCTTGAGAATGAGATGAAATGAAATTTCATCTATTCATTTGGTTGAAAATTCATTCAACCAAATGAATAGAGTAGCTTAGAAAATCACATAGGTACTAAATGGAAATATAACATTTGATGAAAAGATATGCAATTAGACATATGTAGAGAGATTGTTAGAGAAGAATACAAATGTGCGTGTAAATGTGTTATGATACGTGGACTTGTAGATGAAGCGAAGGTTGGAAATATAGAGATGATGATGATGATGTAATACCAAGACAGCCTAAATATAAATACATACGAAAATGTCTTCAAATCTAAACATTAAGAAAATATTCTACAGCTGTTCCTCATATTTAAACAAAATAGTAACCCTATTAAGAGAAAATACAATGCCAGTACATTATTTATTTCATTACAAATAGTACATTACTGTATTTTAAAATATTTTCATATTAATAAAATACTCACAAGAATGAGAAGAAGACCACAGCCTTGATGCATAGGAACTTGGCAAGTGGAGACATAGGGTCTAACTCCCTTCTCATAGCTTTGTAGAATAAAACTAAACAGTACATGGCCACAAACTGGGATAGATTGTTGACCACGAAGAGGTAAACAAATGCCTGAAATTTGGACCAAATCAAATTAAAATATTACATTTACTTAACCCCAAAACTGCATGCTCTAAAACAGGCCTATTTTCTGGTGTTCATAAAAAGAAACATTTAACACTTTTGCGTCCTGATGATACAATCTGCGTCATAAAACCAAAATACGCAGAGTGGGTGATGATGCAAATGGCATCATGCATTAATTTTTGCTTAGTCTTATTATTAAGTATAACATTGTGGGTGAAAGAGTTTAACATTGGGTTATGTGTTCACCGCAAATGCTTGGCCTATTTTCCGATGCAATTTGTGAGTCGTGTCAGGCATGCTAAAGTGTTAATCACATAAAACATTGTTTTATGTTAATCACATAAAACATTGCTAAAGCTGACATTAAGTGAAATGATAGAAATAAAAGAGGATGAAGACATACAACAGTTTTACCCATTCTACAGAGAAGAACAAGCACAAAGAATATACACACAACAATTTAACATCTGGGTGTATCAGAAATGTCTGTCTTTGTGGTTGTGATGAGAAAAATGCATTATTTTGCTTTCTATGTTTAGTTTTTGGTGGGGGATCCATCATGAAAGAAAAGTGGTACAGTATGACTTACTTGAGGCATTTACCACAGAAAATAATGAAACATTAACAGTCAGCCAAGCAAATAAATAACATGATTGATTTATCAATGCTGGGTAAAGTGAACATTGTTGTGCAAATTGTTTCAGCATGCAAGCTTTTAGTTGCACAACACAATGAGGATTAGTTGATCTTCCCTGTGGGATGCATTCCAGCTTAGATGCACATACACATAATGCTATGACGTTTATAGGAACAAAATTAATACAAAATGAACTTTTAGAATCTATTTTAGAAATCTGGAAAAATAAGATCAAGGAAGAGATAAAGAATGCAGAATATTTGGTAGTTGTGTGTGATGAAACACGGGATATTTATGATAAAACACAGATGGTAATTGTTCTAAGGTATGAGCTACAAGGAAAACCTGTTGAGATATTCTGAAAGGTGCTGGGAGGAGTGACATTTATTTTTGCTCCATTAGCTCCATTTTGCTTTATTAGCTCCATCTGCATGGAGCTATCTCAGTGCGGCTGACATAGCTGAAGGGGCCGCCGTTCAGATCCTCCAGAAAAAGATAAAATTGCAAATGATTAACGGTGTCTGACAGTTTGGTTAATAAATTGTTACTTACATTTCTGGGAGATAATTTCCCTTCTTCATAAACACCCGCCTGGCCACATACAAAGGCTATTAAGGTGGTCATGAGGTGGAACACAGTATACTGTAGGATGCCATGCTTGCACCGGTGAATAAACTCCCTGCCAAGAAAAAGTTAAATGTATACACTATAGGTTGAAGAGCAAGACCTCTAGTTTTTAAGGTAGCATAAAGTCCAAACTAGCAATAATGGATTCAAACTGGACAAATTTATAATTGAAAAAGTTGAGAAGGTGGACAGACAAGAGCGAGCGAGTGTGAGAGGAAGCAGGGAGGGAGTGTGGACAACACACAGGATATGGTAAGGGATATGGCTGGGTGGAATCAGATACAGTAAGAAAGGCATGAATGAATCTGTAATGAATATGACAATTTATGATGGACACTGTACACCTAGTCCTTCAAATTATGTTAATTTGTGAATGATGTAATGAGTTAGAAGCAATATTTTATGATTTTACGTTATATGTTTTTTTAACTTAACACCTTTCTCACCGCTCTAATGGTAAACTGCACATTATTTTTTAAATATATATGTTACCATTCAAATGTTATTCACTTTATGTAAAAAAATGTAAGTTAGCCTTATTGTAATGATTTGTACAAGTTGTTATAAATAAATTTTCTAATTTGAAAAGTTACTTATTCTAATGGGCTCAAAAGTGACCATAGCTTGGCATGCTGTAAGTGACCAGAGTGGATACATAGCCCCTCCTAGTGAAGCAACTTAGGGACTTCTGCTTACTATAAAAATCAACAAAAATAATTCAGTCTCACCTGCCCATACGCCACGGCTTGAGGCAACAAAGAGGAAAGAAGTGATTGGTTTGGGGTTTGGTTTCCATAGTGGCATCTAGATCCATTTCATCATCAAGAAAATTGAGGAGAAACATCATGAAGTTGTAGATGACATAGGCCTCATAGCATTCTCTTGCTGTATCTAAATATTGTGCAAACGGCGAGTACCCGAGTACCAACCACTGAAAAATAAATTTTTTATATTTTCAGATATAGATGGCAATGTTTCTTAAATTGTGGCACTGAGGCTGACCCTGGCTGGCCTATGACACCCCTATAACCCACCATGTGTCATCTTGGAAAGTTGGCTGAGACTAGCGCTAAGCATTTGGCCTCCAATTTCAGACAGACAAGAAAACATTCTATTTTATAGATACAGGTTTCATTTACATAATGATCCCTCTCCTTTTAACTTCTGAATAGGCAAAATAAAGACACTTACTGCATTGAGTGCATATACTGGAACCATCCACAGAATCCTGAAAGTAAAATTATATATTAATTTAATATAAAACAAAAATATGCATAATCAAAACAAAGTAATTTAGAGTGACAATGTAGCAGTAACTAACACCACTACCATAACCATTTTTTGTATTATTATTTTCTACCACAGACATGGCCAGACATTTACAATGCTAACAGCATATACAGTATACATTTTCTTCTGTCCTCCATGGACCGGGTTAGAGGTCTGTTAAACATATAGTCTAGTGATTTATTGAACAATCAACCACAGAAAGTGATTCAGTGAGAATCCACAAGGTCTTCTCTAAATACACTTTATTCTCTTCTCTGAGGCTACAGATCCCTACAATTTCAAATGAATACAAATGAATAAGTTGAATCAAACCTGATGATGTGTTTCTGTAGTTTAGGTTTAGTGTAGTTGATGAGATGCTGCACAATCTCCCACAGTGTTATTGGGATCGCCATGAACACAAATATCCCACCAATAAGCCAGGCAATCGTGAAGCCATCCATTTCATGTAAAATCTATAAAAGATACAAAAAAAACAAAGTTTCAATATACAGTATAATAGACACTGTACATTTAAGAATAGTTAGGCATAACAAAACAGACCCCACATGGTAAGAAAATTGCAACCGAAAACCGAAGAGAGGCAGAACTCCCTCCAATCCCGAGGAAACAAGCAAACTTTACACTCCTTTTGGGGCGTGTTGCTTATCATCACAGCCCCCTCCCCCACACCAGCGACCCAGCCACTCCAGTTTGGAGGCAAAGTATCAACCAAACAAAAATAGCCAACAGAGGGAGGGAGGGTTGCTAGGGAGCCTCCGGGGCTCACCCAGAAAATGACATTTCATTATATTCAATGCCAGTTTTCTGTGGTGAGCCCCTTCGGCTCCCTGGAGCTAAATTGTTACGAACCCTTCGTAACCAGGTTCTTTTTAAACTACTGTATGATCCTACTCAAGTTCAGAGAAACCTAATCTTGGTGGGAATATAGTGTAAATGTTTAAAGATAAAATTAAAAGAACAACACTTAACATAACCCATTATTATTTCCCATTACCATTATAATATTTACAAGTCTCTGCGAGGTCAACCGGAGCAGTGTTGCTAGCCCTTACGCTAGCCTGCTTCATGGATGACGGATGCAATGTGCCTCTGATGAGGTCTTCGAAGTTTCATGTCCGTAGCAAACACTCGCTGGGACGTTCAGTCAGTAAATCCAGCTAAGCTCCAATAGCCCCTCTGGCTAGTACCTTCCAGAATCGAAATCTATAACGCCCAAACCACAGTGCTCACCTAGCCTCATTGGCTAGCACTTACAGGAGTGAAGTCTACAGCACTCCACCACTCCACCGCAGCGCTCACCTAGCCCCTCTGGCTAGCACCTCTAGGAGTGAAGTCTATAGCGCTCAACAGCAGCACCCACCTAACCTTACTGGCTAGCACCTCCAGGAGTGAAGTCTATAGCACTCAACAACAGCGCCCACCTAACCTTACTGGCTAGCACCTTCAGATCGACCCACATCTTCCACTGTCCCGACTTCACTGACTTCCCTCTCTCATCTGTGGTTGCTCATCACCTTTCAGCTTGGCAGACTAAAAGATGGGAAACTATGATTACAGGGTGGGTCAACTGCTGTAGTTTGGCACCTGGATCGTAGATGGCGCCGAGATCCGTGACATAGAGTACATCTAAAGCGAGCCAGCAGCTGAGCAGACAGAAGACTGGACACGTGATTCTGTGGTCCCGGGTTCGATCCCGGGCGCCGGTGAGAAACAATGGACAGAGTTTCTTTCACCCTGATGCCCCTGTTACCTAGCAGTAAATAGGTACCTGGGAGATAGTCAGCTGTCACGGGCTGCTTCCTGGGGGTGGAGGCCTGGTCGAGGACCGGGCCACAGGGAGACTAAAGCCCCGAAATCATCTCAAGATAACCTCTCAAGATACATAACCAAAGGTAAGGAAAAGAAGGATTTACCCAGGAGGCGGCTGCCACACACACCTCAACACAAAGTCGAGACAACCTGCTGCCCAAAGCAACACAAGAATGCCCAGGCCCAGAAACGTTAACCAAATATCAGGCGGCCAGGACCCTGTTCGACCTCCAAAATCCCCGCACCTGATATCAGCCCAAAACATGATGCCAAACACGGCAGCCAATGCAGCAAACTTCCTAATATCATGGGCATGAGGATAGACCACAGGCTGGCTAGACTTAATAACCCATGCGGACAACCAAGGAGACCCGAGCCCTGGAACAGGGAACGAGGGAAACCAGATTAACCCAGAGCGCATTCCCGGTCACAGAAGTCAGAGCGCGCAGGTAATGGCAAAGAACCGCAACCAGACACAAGACATGATGCATCCCCGGCCTGACCAATCAAGCACCAATAACCCAAGAACCCCTCCGGATAATCCATTCTGTGAATAAAATAATGAATTAGTAAAACATTAAAGCAGGTTTTATCATTTCGCCTTATGGCTCCAGACCTATGGGGCACCTTGGGTATTTAAATACAATGACATTTTATTCATTAAATGTGAAATGTTTAGAGAAGAAGCAATTAATAAAAAAATATTATTTGTAATGAGCACTTACCAGTGTGTATATGAGATATGGAACAAAGCCCAGGATGATGCCGCCATATAGAACGAACACGAGTGGCCTGATCCACAGCCGCCACTGTGAACACAGAACATGGCACCGCTCTCCACACATCTTTGTTTCAATTTTTCAATTTATCAGTAAATCCAGCCAAAATTGTCATCCTGTTAAAAATAAATGGAAATTGTGAAAAAGTACTAAGCCAAACCTGTTAAAAATTATATTATTATTGTCTGGTATCCAGCCCTCTGGCATGCCAGTACAGGATATGACTCCCTGGCATGCCGGTTTATGACTTTCTGGCATGCCGGTTTATGACTCCCTGGCATGATGATATACGACTCCTGGCATGATAGTATATGACTCCCTGGCATGATGGTTTATGACTGGAGATGTCAGTCACTCAGATATCATCCCAGTGACTTTCATCCCAGATACTCTCTGGGAATCCAGTATATGACTCCTTAGGATGCCAGTATCTGGCCCTCTGGGATGCTGGTACAGTATCTGGTTTCCTGGGATGCCAGTATCTGGCCCCTCTGGGATGCTGGTATTTGACCTCACTTGGATGTCAGTACAGTATCCGGTGCAACCCCTCAAGCACCTACAAGGCCACCAGGGGGCAACCACAACAGATGCAAGAAGTGGCGCTGTAGTTAAAGCAAAGTCACCCAAGGAAGGGAAAGTGATGCCGACTGAAAGTCCCACATAAGGCCCACCCAAGTCTGAACCTGGGACGACACCAACTGTGGCTTCTGCCAGTCCACCAGGAACATAAATGCAGCGAGCTGGGAAAGAACCAAATCCAAGGCTAGAAGACATGAGGACTGACTGGGGGCTCACACCAGCGAGTTGTTGATACACCAGAGCACAAACCCCCAACAAATGACTGGAGCATACCCGGAGTGGGTTCTGAGAGTTCAACTCCCGAGTCAAGCCTGGACCCAGACTTGACTTGTGATAATTTAGGCCAACAAAATGTTGCTTGGAGCGGCCTGAAGGCCCACATATTCACTACAACCTGATTGATCTGGCATTTTTTTGCAGTTTGTTCTGGCAATATTTCTAATGCTTTCTGGAAGGGCACTGAATAGCTGTGAACCTCTGATGTTCAGACAGTGCTCTTTGATTATGCCTTTGGAACCTCTACTCCTCACTTAAAAAAAAAAAAATAAAATAAAATAAAATGTTTATTTAGGTAAGGTACATACATACAAGAAATTTTTACAAAGATTGGTTGACTTATAGGTAGAGCTAGTACATACAATGCCTAAAGCCACTATTACGCAAAGCGTTTCGGGCATGAAAAATTTAAATGACAAGCTTAATACTAATTGAGCATAAAGAGTAGAATGAAAACAAGAAATGAAAACATAGCTGAAAAAGCAGCACAAATACAATTATGTCGACAAACAGCGCTCTTTAAAAAAAAACAGACATTGGTCGACAATAGAAGGGTAAGGTAGGTTACAGGGAATTTATTAGGTATAGCTTCGTTTTTATCTTAAACTGGTTGAGAGAGGTACAGTCTTTAACATGGTTGGGAAGGTCATTCCACATTCTGGGCCCCTTGATTTGTAGAGCATTTCTAGTTTGATTAAGTCGTGCACAGTCTTGCACAGTCATTGTGACAGTCCCCTGTATCTCAGTACTGCAGTGTCCCACCAAATGGTCTTCAATTAAATATATAAACAATTCTTATATGAAGTAATAGTTCATAATTCAAGTGATACTGAAATTAACTATCCTAATATATAAAATTATAATCATTTGTTACTTTGTCAAGAATGCAGGTACAGTACTTTATATGTACTAATAAATTATGTAATATATCCTTATTATTATTTTATAAATATGTAATTAGGTAAAAGAAAGCACCAAGCCTAAAGACTACAAAGCCCTGTGCTTCCAAAGTTCCTGGATATAGTAGTTGAGGCCTTAGGAATGAAGATAAATATGTTGACAGAGCTACATATCTAACATAGACATGACACTAGTGTTGGGTATGTTGCAGTAATGTATATTACAGGTTGGATATGTTGCAGTAATGTATATTACAGGTTGGATATGTTGCAGTAATGTATATTACAGGTTGGATATGTTGCAGTAATGTATATTACAGGTTGGATATGTTGCAGTAATGTATATTACAGGTTGGATATGTTGCAGTAATGTATATTACAGGTTGGATATGTTGCAGTAATGTATATTATAGGTTGGATATGTTGCAGTAATGTATATTACACGTTGGATATGTTGCAGTAATGTATATTATAGGTTGGATATGTTGCAGTAATGTATATTACACGTTGGATATGTTGCAGTAATGTATATTATAGGTTGGATATGTTGCAGTAATGTATATTATAGGTTGGATATGTTGCAGTAATGTATATTACAGGTGGGTCGAGGTGCAGGTCGCCTCCAGCCTGGTGAGACACACCATACCCGCCACCATCTCTAGCTGATAACTGAGGTTGGGTGCGGCTGCCCTTCTCACGGTCTGCCTGCTCAATACTGAGAGTTACAGGAGCGGGGGGAAGGCTGTATTCACCTGTTACAGGAGCCAGAACATGGCTACAGACACCTCCTGGAGGTCTGCTGAAGGAGACACACAACAAATGGCTGACAGGTGAGGGTCAGCTGTTGTTTGTTTACAAGTGGGAACAAGGAAACAGGTGAGGAGCGGCGCTCACCTGGCGCCTGGCACGCCACCTGCCGCCCCTCACCCCTGCCACCCCCTAACCCACAACCCACCCTCGCATGCCACCCCTAACCCACCCACCCACCACCCACTACTACCCCTAATCCGCCCCTCACCCCTGCCACCCCCTCGCACGCCACACCCCCTAACCCTCCACCCACCCCCTAGCATGTCACCCACCCTCGCATGCCACCCCTAACCCACCCACCACCCGCTACTACCCCTAATCCGCCACCCATAACCTGCCTCCGTAGGTGTAGTGGTCAAGACACTCGCCTGGCGTTCCGCGAGCGCTTTGTTCTGGGTTCGTATCCTGGCCGGGGAGGATTTACTGGGCGCAAATCCTTAACTGTAGCCTCTGTTAACTCAACAGTAAAATGCTGTTGTTAAACGATTTTTCGCGGGGGTCATATTCCAGGGGAAATTACGATTAAGGACTTGCCCGAAACACTACTGTACTAATGGATGTTCAAGAATGGAAGAACTCTTGTATATATAAATAAATAAATAAACAAATAAATAAATAAATAAATAAAAATACCAGCATCCCCCCAGGCAACCCATAAAACGTCCACCACTTATTTATTAATATACAAGAACCTGTTAGTATTTTGTAAAATGATCATATCACCTCTTTTTCTTATATCTTCTAGGTTTTGTATGTTTAACGCCTCTTGTCTCTCCTCATAACTCATGTTTGTTGTGCAGCTCTGGTGGAGCCCCTCCTGCTTGCATTCGTCATTGATATTACCTCGGTGCCATTTTGCAAGCTGTCTGGCACTTTGTTTTGGCTATGGCCTGATCATGTGCTGCCTAAACCTGAGTGGTCTTTGGACCATATTCTTCATTTTCATGCGTTCCCTTTGGGCCGGGAATGTTTTTCCAAGACCTTGTTTCTGGTCTCTCTTGACTCGGTTTGTCGGGTCGGGGAGCTTCTTTCTCTCCTCTGGTGACAGTTTCTGTTCCCTTGGCCCTGGTGGTCGCTTTGTTCGTTTGTGGCCGCCTCCTCTTCTGGTGAATACTAAATCCCTTGGCTTCCAGAGGGATCTTTTGGTTCATTGTTTCAGCCAGGGGTTGCATCGTGTACTGTTTCTGATGGAGAGACTCTGTCACTATCTTTGTGCCACTGATTCTGCTTCGGTGGATACTTTGTGGCAGGTTGTCCACAGTGTTAAGTCTATCCTTCTGGCCCTGATGTTGAGAAATGCCACTCTCATGGCTGTTTGTTTATAGGTCCTGGGTCTTCTAACAGAGTTCTGGCAGTCCAGTGTTTGGTGAATGTTGCCAGGCCTTCACATCCTTGTGTGGCCTCCCATTCTCATTTGTGGTCTCCTCTTTGTCCTTTCTCTTGTGGTTCGCCCTCCTTGGTGAATTCCCTTGTGTTCCTTCGTTCTCCAGCTTAAAGGAGCCACAGGGGCTTCTCCCCCAGAAAACCAGTGTTGAATGTAGTGAAATGACAATTTCTGGGTGAGCTCGTAGATCCCTGATCTCCACCTTCCTTCTAGGTAGCTGGGTGGGTCCTGTTTATGCACCTGCTCCAGAACTAACTTCAGGTGGTGAGCACCTTCCCCCTCCCCCCCCACACCAAACAAGCAGGGAAAGGTGGGGCAAAAGAACCCATTCTAGTTTTGAGATTTGATTGTTTACGTAGTTGGAGAAGTTCATTAAGTGGGAGAAGCCTCGGTCTCTCTTGAATCCAGCAGTGGTTTGTTTTGACTCACTGACTTTCTAGATGTTTTTCTCGGTGAGGAGGCAAAATGTCACCGCTCCCTGCACCTCTGAGAGGGGCCAGGTTCTAGTTTTGGTCCCCAGTAGGCATAAGAACTCTGCAGTTGATGCGACTGGGTAAATGGAAACCATCTTAATGTATAGCTTTAGAAAGCCACCGGAGCGGAGCTCACGTAGAAATTGGCATTTCACAACATTCAACGGTGATTTTTTCCTTCTTCATTACTGTATATGCAATAATATAAAAGTACCCAATAATGTATAAAAATATACTGAGGACTTGCTGATAATAAAAAAGCAGTTGACTAGGAAATTTTACTAAAAAAGCAGTTTAAAATAAAATACAGTTTTAAACTAATATACTGTATGGATGTAAAAAAGTACTCATAAGAATAAGTACTGTATTTGAAACCATAAAACTGGATCCACTGTATTTTTCTTATAAGAAACTTAATAACAGGTTAAAATGTACAGACATAATTACGATATATGAAACACATTTACTTCGTTTTCCATGCACGTACAAAAACATCTAACAACGCTGATCTTACAAATACGTAATAGGTAAACATATAAGGTTATTGTGCCTAACACATAATGCTATTTATCACAAAAAGGTCAAACTGAAAACACTGGAATGATGAGCTAGACAATTGGCTTAATTTTATCTGTATTCAGGAGGGCAGCTTCCTCCATAAAATATACTTTTGCAAACTTTACATATTTTCTCCAACTTACCATTCTTTCATTCTCTGAACCCCCCCCCCCCCCCCCAATTCCCCTCACACCTGTCTTTTGCTCAGCACACTATGTAGAAATTTAGATACTGTTTCTTGTTAACTTTACGTATCTCCTCCAAATTAGCATTCATGTGTTTTCTCAAGGACACTAAATAGTCCATTTAATTGCTGCTTGCAAATGTCATATTTACCTACATAGTGTTGGCTCTACTCTCCATACTCCTAACACTTCTATATTCCCTGCAGTTTGCATATTTATACTCTGTCCAGTTCTTCAGCTCCACAGTTACTTGTAAAGAAAATGTCTCAAATCCTTACAATCTACTAGGCAAATCTGTTACAAATCTTACACACAAATATAACTTTAATACTGCACATTACACATCCTAAATTTAATTCTAATGAAATGCCAGATTATGCTCAAGCGCTCACTATATTAAAATTACGTTTCTTGAGATTGGCAGTGAAATAATGACAAGTACCATATATTTATAAACCTACAATACAAGGAGTCTAACATTGCACTTAAGTTATAAAACTTTATACATGTTATGTGTGGTCTTCACCAATGGATATTTGTGGACAGTTTCCACTGGCAGTGTGGAGCATCATAATGCACACGGCATTATGATTGTGTACTGGGCAGTGTAAGTATCGAGTTCTTACATTTAAAACAGTTTTAAGGCAGAGATGTTTTTGGCAGTGATCCATACCTTGATGATTAGGAGTTATGTTAGTAAATGTGAACAAAATTTTGACTTACAAGCCTGCTATGTGAAGCAATGATGTCATACAGTAAAACAAAGACGTTCTGTCTCGGCACTCCATCAACAATTGCGTTGAAGAGCATTGAGCAGAAAAGCTTTGCACCCTCTGGGTTAAAATTGCTTAATTTAATGTGTGGATAAAATAAAATGTATTTCGTGTTTTATGATGCCTTCATTTTAATATAAAAAATTGGCAATAATGTCATAGATATTTTTATAAAATTAAATAGTACAAAAAAGTCAATGCATGAGGGATTTTGCATTATTGAGTTTTATACATTAATATAAAAAGGAAAGTATCTATATACAACCAGGCTAACCTGTTTTACAAGAGATTATTTTTAAGAGAAAACAATTCTAATCAAGTTCTCAATAAAATATTATAAGTTTCTAAGATATACTTTATTATATTAAATCTATGATATTTGTATCCAGCTGTTCTTTGTACTCAGAGTAAAGACGTTGCAGCTGCAATGAATTCTTAGCAAGAAGTATTTCTCGTAAAAATTCCTCCAAGAGGGCTTTCTTATCGAATATCTGTAATAAAAAAAAAAAATATATACATATATATAGTTATATGACTTATATAATGTGTGTAAATCACAAAGAAATTATGTGATGAATAATGTGAAAATATTTAACTACAATGGAAAAATGAAACCAGAGTTGACTTGAGCTCTTTCATGTTATTAAGGCATTGTCAAATGTAGTCATTGAAATTACACTGGAATATACAGACAGAAAGGTGACATGTGAGGTGTAAAACAATGTCTTTGCAGTATTGGTTGATCTTAATTGATCAATTACGATGAACCAATATTGTGGTTCAACACATTAACTACATGCATTAGTCATTAGCAATAGTGTTTCCAGAAACTCACGTGTATTGGTCATTAAGCCTTCTCCAATTTCATCCGGTTCTTGTGTTCGTGAACCAATATTACAAAGACATTGTTTTTTTTACCTCATACATCACCTTCCTGCCCATATATTCCAATATAATTTCAATGACTGTACTTTTGATAATGTCTTGATTAATACAAGTGCTCAAGTCAACTCTGGTTTCATTTTTCCTTCATTGTTAAATATACATATAAACACATACACACACATATACTGTGTGTGTTTGTGTAATTACCTTGTAACACCATAAATGATTGTATTTAATATTTCACATACAACGAGAATCAGTACACAGGATATTGGTGGCGCCAGGCTGTCAACCCTTAGCATGTCAAAATTGACACCTTTTAAGTGTTAATTGTTCACAGGTTTTGCAGGTCTCTCAGCTAGACTTGTATACCCATGGTTGCAGATCCTTTGCATTTTGCAACATTGATTGCCTTTATCCTAGGTCACATGGTATCATTGGAGTGGTAATCCTATTTGCAGTTCAGATGACGTGAGTTTATAATCTCGCTTGAATATGGCATCCCTTACTGCCACATTGTCTGGAAGATATGCAAGATACGCCTCGGTATGTAGGCGTATGCTAGCCAGCCTCATTCTCGTGGAGGACCGAGTACTGTACTAGCATGACATATCTTCCTAGCTCTCAGTCACGTCCCCATACAATCGCACTTACCGAACTCTAGAAAATTCAGTAAACTATTCCAGTCAATCTACTTTCACAACAGTGGTGTTGAGATTTCAAGTGGTGGAGACAGGTTACCATAGCAGTGGGCCCATTGAAGACACTGAGAAGAGAGCATGACTACAAGGGAAGTAGTTTTAGGCAGCCGTTATTAATGAAGCCTTCATATTGAAGTGTTCAGTTCAATGAATGCTAATGATGGGTTACAGACTTGTACTGTATAGGACACTCTGAAAAGTAAAGATGATTATCCTCCAACCATGTGTAACTATTTTTGTGTTTTAAGGTTAATAAACTAGTTATTGAAAGAAGTACATGGTGGATGCATCAGTGAATCCCTTCTCCATATATAAATCTGTCGTCCCTATACATGGGATCAATATTATACTAACACTCATCATTAAAAATTTTGATGAAACCAATTATCTGATTCCCTGCTTCATCAGGTTGAGTCAGACACAACGTATAATGTGGCAGGAGTCACTCTGAAGTCTGTGCTGTTGATCTAGACACTTTACACTTGCTGATAACCACTGGGAGCAGTTAGCCCTCCTGCCCCAGCACTGCTGCAAATAGAGGTGGACACAAGCAAAATAATTTTGGACATATACGGTACTGAATACAGCTTTTACCGTTTTAAAAAAGTTAGGGAATTAACTTAGGTTAACGGAATTAACAAAATTTACAAAATAAATATAAACAAAATAACAATAAAAGTTAGGTTAGGGAATTAACAAAATTACAACAAAATCAAAACAAATATTAATACCATTAATTTTGGTTTCCAACTTGGGGTCTCTTGATTATTTGCTGAACCGCTGTGTCTTGGTCCAAGAAGATCGTCAAAGATATCTCGAAGTTTCTTCTCCAACCCTAGAACACAGAGAATATTATTATTACTCTACTCACTTTGTTAGTTACACATTTTTCTTTTGAAAATAAATGAGGGACTGAATTAACTTTAAAAAACAAAATGCATTTAATGCAATGAAAGGCCTTCTTGGTGAGCCCCTTGTGGCTCACCAGTATAAGAATTGCAACCTGGAGTGCTACTGCCCCCACGAGGATCACGAGAATCCCAAGGCTTCTACTGAAGCCTAACTGGGGTTTCAATTCTTATACCGTGCCGTGGTACAGTTAACTAGAGCGCGTCTGGAAACATCCAGCACATAGGTTCAACTCCTCGTCAAGGCCACTGTGAATTTGTTCATTGATATATCACGTTATTGTCATTTCTCTGTGTATTCACAAGATAACAAAATTACACTAGACCAACCATGTCAACTCACCTTCTTTAATGAAGAACTGAATTTTTCGTTTCAACCAAAACTTGTAATCATTGGCAGATCTAAGATATTGAGCTGAAGTCATCATGCGATTGATGAATACTTCCGTTATATTCTGACGTGCTTCATCGGAAATAACAGGGTGGGATACACGAGATGATCCACTACTGAAAAATAAAAATAATGTTCAAACAATTCCCAATAAAATCTTTTTAAATGTTTTACAGGACAGTATGTAAAACAAAATGAAGCATGCACACGATAATGTAAGAAAGCAACATTGAATGTAATGAAATGCCTCTTTCCTTTCACACTCATTCAAACATTACAGCACTGTAGCAAGTTTCTCCATTGTCATTTATATTGCTGGGGAGTTGTTTTGGCTGTTTTGAGGCTGTGGTATCATGCTTAACCAAGCAGTGGTCTGTTTTGTATCACTGACATTCTGGGTGCCTTCCCTTGGTGGTGGCAGATATAAATCAATTTACATCCCTTCGCCTCTCTGAGAAGGCCAGGTTCTGGCTCGTGGTTCCTGAAAGGCCAAATAAGAACTTGGCGTATGATGACACCTTGTAGTTTGGCACTATATCAGTATAGTAACTTCAGAGAGCCACATGGGACTGTACCAAGAAAGTCCACTAAATAAAGACATTGTATTTAAGCAATGTTTGTAATTCGGGAAACAAACAAGGACAAGAATATGGTATTTTTGATAGAAGAAATATACAGGGAACAGGTCACTGAGAATCACATACTATGCAGCTGTTTGGTGGAGGAGGCTAGCAAGTGGCCTTGAACAATTCTCAGCAGGGTGACAGGGTGGCAACATCGTATACTCGGGCTGCACAACACTACGAACACTGGCAACGTCCCCAAGAAGCAACCACGCCTCAAGATCTTGGCATCTCGTGAAAGCTTCTCCTGATGTTAGCAACACAACCGGAGTACCTTCTGCGGTTAACTGGACACACTTAACTCCTCCATTGCGCCCTTCGACTGGTAATGAAAAGGAAATTGGTGAAATTAAAATAAACTATATTATCATCATCATCATAGCTTGATGGATAATACATTTATATATGGTATATTATGTACAGTACATTCTTTTTCTGATACAATTTTGCTATTAACCTTGTAACAACAATAAGAAAAATTACAGAAATTGATTGAAATTTACCACTTGATATTATTTATTTATATAAAGGCAGTTCCCCAATTACAAACGACTCACATTCCGAGACTGTGTTTGTAAAGTACTGTAGTTGTTCAGGATGTGGATCGAGATTTTCCATAGGCTCAATTCTATAAACGGGTTTTGTATTGCCAGACCACCAAAAATCCTCACAAAACAATATTTTTAGGACAAATAATATAAAAAAAAACACTTAGTTACCTTAAATGACAGAGTTATTCTGCTTGTCAAAGTTAATCATCTTTGAAGAATGAAGTCGTATAATTACATGAATAAATGAATGAAAAAACATGTGCACTGTATTGGTGGTCTGCCATTTTGTAGTTGGCCTCCCCACCCTCCTCCAGCACGCGGGACTCGTGATCCTGTGGTCCTGGGTTCGATCCCAGGCGCCGGCGAGAAACAATGGGCAGAGTTTCTTTCACCCTATGCCCCTGTTACCTAGCAGTAAAATAGGTACCTGGGTGTTAGTCAGCTGTCCTGGGCTGCTTCCTGGGGGTGGAGGCCTGGTTGAGGACCGGGCCGCGGGGACACTAAAAACGCCCCGAAATCATCTCAAGATAACCCCACCAAGATAACCACACATCTTACCCAAATGTCTCACAGACTCAGACAGGATCCTCTTCTTTCCTTTCAAATCCCAAATGGTGAGTGTTGCATCAGTAGTTAGCACCATAATAGAACTCTCCTGGACAAACAGCTGGGAGGCTCGACCTTGCAACTGAAGTGGAGGCAGTATCATCTCACCTGCAATTAATAAATCGAAAAGAAAAAAGATACAGTATTTGTATTATGCTACAATTATTGCCCATCCTTTCTCTTCTAATGCTCCACATTTTTAGCTGAATCAACCATTCCATTAAAAACCAGTATTGAATGTCCGGAATGGGACTAACCCTTAGAGAGAATGTATCCCACTAGCACACACTTAAGTAGCCCATAGAAATGAATACTGTAGCATAAAAATTTAGTACACAAATGCAACAGCATTACAAACAAAGGGATAGAGCTGCAAGAATAGGTTACTAGTACTTATCTTTTAAAATAAAGGCATCCTCAAGAAAAAAGGAAGAAGGGGAAGGGGAGTGACATTCGACAAGCTGCCAGTTTCCTGTTCCCATTGAGGCCAATATAGATAGTGGCCTTTTAGTAAATTTTGGTAATCATAAGATATAACCATGCAGTAGGAGACTTGGTGCAATACCTGTCATTATGTCCAGTATGTGGAGAGTCTTGTCATGACAAGTAAATGCAGCAGTAGTGGAGGTGGCACTTGCAGCCGTCACATGAGAGGTGAGGTAGACCACCCAACTCACCACGTTCAGCTGTGTTCTGCTAACCCGATGCAAATTGGGTGTCCCAACCCCAACACGACTACCAATGCGGTAGTCGTTCTCTACCACCAGTAAAGGTGGAGGAATATCAAGAGAGACTTCTCCTGGTATCTGGAAAATAATTTTTTAGATTTAAAACTGAACTGAATATACCCCAATATTTTTGTTTCATGTCCATGACTGTAATAAAAAGCATTAAGTATAAATCCCAAGAGCGTGATTAATATGTAACAGATACTTCACATGGGCTAATATGTTACATTAAATAGGCCACCTATATATGTCACATTAATAGGCCACCTATTAACTTGCGGCCTTGAGTTTTATATTTATTGAAAATAAAATTGACTTTTTTTTAGAAAACACTTTAAATCAATAAACTTGCTTACAATATTGAATTCTAATTATTCTAATTATGTAACAATATACTGAATTGAGGCTCAGTATAAGACACAAGCTAACACTATTTTAAAATTTTGAGTATTTCCAGTGATTTAGTATTCAGTATTCTTAAACTGAGAGTATACTACATTATTGTATATTGTATTTGTTTTGCAGTTGCATTCTTTTTTGTCTTTTTTTATGAAATTAAAAATAATACAGGTTTTATTTCTATAAAATTGGTAACACAATGGGCCAAAAATTTTACTTTACAGACCAACCTTATTACCTGGACTCTAGCTGATTTTGAGAGAGATGCTTCAGGCAGTACGAGGGAAGGAGCCAGGTCTACATGATGCTGAGTTGCAGCAACTGGTGTTCGGGATGAAACAGGTGCTGGGCATGGCGCTGCTGGAGAGGAGGCACGCGTTGCAGCAGGTGTGGAAGATCTGTCATACAAAGGTGGCCGGCCACGTTTACGCTTGATTGCAATAGGTTGTACATCCTCCTGTTTGCGTTTGTTAGATACGGGAGTGATCTGATTATCCACCTGCTTTTCAGAGTTAATACCGGATGATCTGTTAAAATAATAATACAATTGGCATTATTATTCAATATTATACTTCTAAGTCTATTATTTCTTGATTCCAGCATCTTCAAAGATTTATTTCCTTCTTACTGTGTATTAGGAATTGATTTAAGAAACCAGATGCTACAGTACTAGACTTTGAAAAAATTAGTAGGAGCAATGAGGATTTGAACCTGACCACTTGGTCTTGTCAAGCTAGCACCCTAGACCACTAAGCCACAACATGGTCAAAAGCGAGTTCAAATCATCCTCATTGCTCCTACTGATTTTCTCATTGATACATCATGTTCACGTGATTTCATTGTGCATTTGACGAGACGCACTGAAGGAGAACTACTGGACCATAAGCCGGAGTGTATGGGGGCAGTGTGTGCAAAACCTTGATTGGGCTTCAGTTGTAAGCCTCAGGAACCCTAGAGGGTTCATGGAATCCGAGGTTGCATTGCATCTGACCATGTTGTGGTGTAGTGGTTTAGGGCACTAGCTTGGGAATACCAAGTGAGTGGATTTGAATCCTCCTCATGGCTCCTGCTGATTTTCTCATTGACACATCACGTTAATGTGATTTCAACATGCACTAGATTTTGATAAATACATCAATGAGTACACAGCTGCATACATATACAGTTTCTAAAAGTACAAAGAGGTTAAAATAATTACTAATTCAATGTACAGTACTTCAATTAGTCCACATGTAGAGTAATTAATAAGTTGGATACAAGTTTGAAAATGAAGATATTTTTGTATTAGTACATTTACCTCTACTTTACCATTAAATAAAGAAAGTTCTCAATGAAAATATCTAGTACAGGACATGTACCAACCAAGTCATGTTCATAATTATTTCCACATTTTGAAGTGTTCACATTCACACAGCAATTGTGCACAAGAACAACAGCCAACCAGTCATACCAATTTACACATGAAATCAGAAAAACTTACTTGCTAAATCTAGCAGGAAGACCTGCAGGCACTCCATTGAATTCAGCTGGAAGACACATCCCCTTACCGGGCGAGCTGCTAGAATTTGCGTTGAAAATTGATGGAGGGCGGGACACCGACACATTGGGCTCCACCACTCCATCTACTTTCTCAACCACTATCTTACTCTTTTCCTGCTGACTAGAGGAGAAGCTAGCCTCGTAGGATTTGTTGGGATTCTCCACGCTGCAATTAACACACATTAATAATTAAATTGAATTTTACTATCATGCAGAGAGTAATGTGCTTGGTTAATTATTTGGACGTTTCAAATGTTATTGTTGTGCTTCACAACTTAGTTACCTAGTTTTAGTAAAATAACTTTTATATGAATTTGAGGACAGTATAGTAACTGTGATATGAGGACAGAGTAAAGAATGGTGTCCAATCCCTTGGAGCATTGGGAATCAAACACTGACCTGCAAGAAGCAAAGCCATTGCTCTACCAACCAGTCCAAGAGGATATATACTCTAGTAGCTTTGTATGTTTTATTAACACACTCTTACATACCCTTCTGTAGGAGGGATAAACATTGGTGTTATTCTTCTCTTGCCATCAGCTGTCCTTGTTTCAATTTGCTTGTTGATCGGAGCTCGCTGGGGCGTAGGTGGGGCGGGTTTTTGGCTCTGTTCACTGAAAAATAGAAATACTGAGTGAACATGTCTGCAGGTTAGCTCTCTTCATATATTGGCTTCATTTATTATGTTTATCACCCCTGGCTCTCACAATTTGCATTAAACCAATTCTGATTTAAAAAAAAATTGAATATATCTTATTCAACTCCTCTACTAGGAAACAAATCCCTGAAAAGTTACAATTAATAACCCATAGGAGAATCATTTTCACTTTATCATGGCAGATATCTTAGACCAAAGATTTCTTCCTCGTTCCTGGTGAATTCAACATACAACACTAATGGGTTTCCCTAATTTGTTTTTTTATTCATAGAAAATTTTCCCAAAAAGTAAATAATGCTAGAAATAATAAAAGAAATCTGTGTCTTACTGATGACAATTAAGCAGGATCTGCCTGTATAGAGTACATAACAAAGATAAATGCAAATAAGGGTACAAGAGCAAGAAAAGTTTTGCATAGATGACATGTATGCATATTCAAAGTAAATATACAAATGGAATACAGTATTTAATTATACCTAGCACTTGCTGCCTTGGCCTGAGCTCTCTCCTCCTCACGAAGACGGAGAAGCTCAGGGTTTTCGATAATTGTGGGATTGACTGACGATGCGGAAGTCTGGGCCGATTTACCATAAAGCTTCATATGAAGAGTATTCTGAGGGTAGAATAAAAATGGCATTCTATATCCCATATATATATATATATATATATATATACTGTATATAGGAACAGTAATTGCAAATAAACATAATTTATGGGTTAATAACTTCAATTAATAAAAGACTTAATTTCTAAAGTAAATATATCTTATATTTAAAAAAATATAAATATATCCTTACACACATAAATCACAATAGCGTGATGTATCAAATGAACAAATCCACAAGGATCCTCTTGGACGTAGGTTTGAACCCTCGTCACGGCCCTTTTGGATTTGTTCACAAATATATCCTGTTCTAAGGTTCGTCTTTCTTAGGTTGTCTGCAAGGTTGTTAAGTCTACCTAGTCTAAGTTCTACCTTCCCACCCGTGATGTTAGGAAGCATGCTGTTTGCGAGCATCAGTGTTGGTAAACATGTGCTCGACTGATATTCGGGTGTTGGGTTTTTGTATGTCGGACAGGGCTCTGGCAACCCAGTCTCCGAGATGACTTTAAGGTTGGACCCCTACTGCGTTTGGCTAGGCTAGAATAGGTGTGCAAGCCACTCACAGTGGTTATCAACATTGTAAAATGCTTAGTGCATAAGATCTTGAGACCTTGCTAGATATAGGTTGTGTCTGATCTTTACCTGGTGGTGCAGGGAGATCAGAATAATTTGTTCAACATCAAATTTTATAAGATGTGGTGCTAGTACAGGGGATGGGGAGGGGGGGAATCTGTTTATGGAACCGAGATGGCAAAAGTCTGTAATATGAGGGAGAAACACCATGTGCTTAACATATAAATTTGTTCACTAAAATCTGAACATAAAGTGCATTTACGCATGGAAATGGGATAAGTGTCTCTACATTATGAGAGGTCATAAGCAAATCTACGCACAGTACCATCTCTGGCCAAATATACTCAGGTGATGTAATGCAGCTTAACCTTTAAACTGGTAATAATGACTATCTCATCAATAACATCTGCCTAACTCCACTGTCATATGCAAAAAGGACAATTTGGAGCTTTAAATGTATGCTTGGGAAATTAAATTGCATGCAATTTAATTTCGGCATGTGTTGGAAAATTATATTCACAACACGTGCACAGTCCAGATTGGCACTCCATGGGATGTTTCACTATGAATGGGCTCACCAGAGTCAAAAGCTATCCACCAGGCTCACTGAGTCACGATTAAGAGCCACTAAATGTGAGTCAGACTGTGTACATAAAATAATACAAATTACACACTCACCAGGCACACAACATTCACACGCATGTTCTTCTGTTGTCACCGATGAATGGAGAGTCGTCCTCTACCGGGATGTGTGTGGAGTTGATACTTGTATCTACGGTGTTCAAGGAGCTCAAGAGAGAGCACACGTCATGTACCTAGAGAACTGTCCACGAGAATGAGGCAGGAGAGCTATGAGCGTAGCAGCCGAGCTCACACTACTCATTTATTTTAAAGCCTACAGACAGCCCACCCATCAGAATACAGTTACAACCACACACACACGCATCCGACTGGTTGAGCTTTGAGCTTTACTAGTGTGGCAGGGAGTGTAATGAACAGGGATTATGGCCGGGTGCCTCATCTATGTCTTGATTTCTGTGTTGCTTCATCCTCTCTGGTGAGTTCCTGTGTTTCCCTTCTCTGTATGTAGTTAGCTTCAAAGAGCAAAAATGGGCTCCCCCCCCCCCAGAAAGCCAGCATTAAAAGTAATGAAACACCAATTTCTGGGTGAGCCCCGATGGCTCCCTGATCCCCTCCTTCCCGCCCAGATTGTTGGGTGGATGACGACATGTGCCTTAGAACTGAGAGTAGACGCCAGCTGACGGTGGGCTACCAACCCTTCCCCCTTAAACGAGTTGGGTAGGTGGGGGGTGAATGAGCTCATGCTAGTTCCGAGTGAATGATATTGTTTGTTTACACAGTTGGGGGAGTTCCTTTGGCGGGTTTCGAGCTTTGGACTCTACTGAAGTCAACAGTGGCTTGTCTTGACTCGCTAGCTTTACAGTTGCTTACATGGGAAGGCGTGGAAAATAATTGTCACGGCTCCCTGCACCTCTGTGTGAGGGGCCAGGTTCAGATCCTAGTCCCAGGTAGGCTCATAGAATTCCATGACTGATGCAACCTGGTAGATGGTACAATATCACTATATAGTATCTTCAGGGAGCCACCAGGACTCACCAAGAAAATGGCATTTCATTACATTCAATGCTGATTTTTGTTTATACATGTATTTTAAGTATACCTTAAAATTTCTTTTCAACTTTGGTAAATGGCAAAATGTCTATGGAAGATTCTCATGAGGCCAACATCTCGGGGATCAATCCTCGCAAGAACCAAGAATTTTTTGACAAAAACTCACAAATCAACTTGTACCACATTATCAAAACTGCCTGCATATCCAAAGTTATTCAGCCACTATATTTGTTTACAGCAGTCTTTACCTTGTATTTCTATCCTTATTCCTTCTGATTTCTCTCCTTACTGGTTCTATGGTCATCCTAACTTTCCCCAAAAATTTAATACAAACTAAAGATAACCATTAGCCATACTTAACTATATGGCCCATTATAAAGCCCAATCTACACGTTAATGACATGAAACTGCCTACTCAATTCTGCAATCTTAAATAAATTATCAAATAAAAGCAACATTCTGAATAAATCGATGAACAGCAGTAACATTATATTCTGCCATAATTATGCTTAAGGACAAATGGATATAAATTGATAGAAGTGCATAACATGTGAGAGCACTGACAAGTGCATGTAATTAAGTCCTTTTTAAGAGTTGAAGATGCATCAAGTTCATACATATTACACCAATAATACTTAACTAACCGTTTCATCTTGTGATAGCGGAAATCCTATTTCTTCGGGGGAAAAATTTATGAAGGCAAGTGTTCCATCTTTAGACACTGCCATCAAATATCGTCCACAACTGCTCCATGAGAGATCCAGAACCTGTCAAATACCACACATGTATCAAAGGTTATGAATAAAATAAACTATAAGGCTACTACTTGTACTTTGTAATAACTTATGGACAAATCTTAACAACTTCAAAGAAAAACATCATAGCTGCATTTGTCATACATCTTTGGCTTAGACATTTTTCCCATTAAAAATATGAAGCATCACACTCTTTGCACTTGTCTCATTCTTCACCCAAAGTGAATTATTCACTTCAGCCACTTCGATATTAGGTGGAAATAGGACCTGCCTTACACTGGCCACTTGGTCTACTGTAGTGTTTTTATGTTCTTTTGGCCAATGCTTACAGATTTATTAAAGATTTCAATCTACCAATTATGTCACTTCTACAATGAAACATTTTCCTTGTGGTATATTGGTAGCACTCTCACCTTGTGTCTCGCCTAGAACCTCGCCAGCAATTTTAATGGGGTTTGAGGCCTGGTCAGGGAGGATTGACTGGGTGCTAATACTAAACTGCTTGACCCTGTTTACCCAGCAGCAACTGGAAACCTGGTTGTAAACTAATTGATCAGTTATGTTCCAGGGAAAACAAGTAGGGAAAGACTTAACATGAGTTATGGAAAGAGAATGCTCTAAGCCTGCTAACAAGAATCAAAATATGCCTACTTCTGTACCCACCTGCACATAAAATAGGCTACTTGTCATGATTGAGGGCCTGGTCAAAGACTTGGGGCCAGATTCACGAAGCAGTTACGCAAGCACTTACAAACCTGTACATCTTTTCTTAATCTTTGGCAGCTTTGTTTACAATTATTAAACAGTTAATGATCTCTGAAGCACCAGGAGGCTGTTTATAACAACAACAGTAGTTGACTAGGAAGTTTTCACACTTGTAAACTGTTTAATAAATGTAACCAAAGCCGTCAAAGATTGAGGAAAGATGTACACGTTTGTAAGTACTTGAGTAACTACTTTGTGAATCTGGCCCCTGGTCAAAGATGAGGACCTTGTACCTCGGAACCACTGCAAGGTAACAGCAAGGTAAGGACAATTCAATGGGAGGCCAGCAAGAGATACGAGTACGCCTTAGATGAGGCGGTAAGTGGGGAGGATGGACGTTGTCGGGTTAGACTCCTGGTCCCCACGACATGTGGGCTGTTCGGATCATTTCACACATCATGTGATGGAGTTGGTTGATCCTTTTTCCCTCTCATGGATTGGGGCTACTGGGGGAGGCTTTTTACTCTAACTTTCATTATGTAACTACAGTGGGCGACTTCCAGTATGGTCTAAATGATTGCATCTCCTCGCTGGGTGTCTCATCTCTTCCTGGTTCCAGAACAGGAGTCGGAGTTCCGTTTCATCCTGGTTCCAGAACAGGAGTCGGAGTTCCGTTTCATCCTGGTTCCAGAACAGAACTCAGTGGAGTTCCATTTCATCCTCGATGTTTATGGGTTGAACAAGTGGCAGCCCTGCCCCACATTGCACATGCACAACTTGTGTTAGAGGCTGGGTCCTGGATGATTTTTCTGGAATTCTGGGACACTTATTGGCATGTTCCAATACAGTACATCTGAGGTTTTGGGATTGGTTAGGTTTTTAGTAAAGCATCAGGCTTACTGCTTCATGGGGCTTCTCATTGGCTTGAATCTGGTTCGTATTTTTACCAGATTGGCTCAAGTTAAGGTGACTTGTCTTTATTTGTTGGGATTGTGTTCTGGCTTACCTTAAAGATTGGCCGGTGTAGAGCCCCCAGTCAGTCCATGTACCTGCTAGCCAGGACCTGGTCCTAGCAGGCACATGGACTGCTAGTAGCTTAGCATTATCCATCACGTCCTCCCAAGTTGTTACAAGTCACAAAAATGTTGTACTAAATTTCCCGAACCTAACCTAACTGATAGACCCACACACAGAAAACATTAATGTTTGTGAAATATTATGATCTATAGTACATCATATTTTGACTACTGAGGCTTTTGAAGTCAAAACGCAATATATTATTTGAAAGTGCAGGTTGCATCATCGGCAAACGTGTTCATATAATTCTGTATTCCTTGCGGTAAATAAATTGCCTCTGATTACTGCCCTCATTTTTCTGTCAGAAAATTTTCCTCCATGTGAGAAGTGTTCCTGTCCCCCCTCCAGAATACTCCAGCTTCCACCACCCCACCACAAAACTAAGGTCAGCATTTGTCAACAAATTCAACCCCTTACCCGGATGCATTTGGGTATTATGGTTAACTATTTCATAAACTCCAGGTTTAGGCAACGATCATATGATAAATCTGAATAGTCCCCAGACTGTATTTTAAAATACTGTACTTGAAAATTCTGAGTGCCATGGCCGAGACATGAATCTCCAATACTGTATTGTGATGCAAAGTTGAGTGTTGAACACTAGACGACCATATCACAAAAGTATTGAACAATATTTTTCGACCGATTCAATGACTTACCCGGGTGCATTCGAGTCTCATGGCCAACTATTTTATCAAGTACACGTTTAGGCAAAGGAATATACAGTATTGTCCCTTACTTTTGTGGTGAAGTACTTGCCTAGTTGTGCTTGTGGGCTTGAGCTCTTTGATCCTACCTCCCAACTGTCTGATGGTTCAGTGGTAAAGCATTCAGTTATGTATCACACAAATGGAGATGTTAGTATCAGCCAAGGAGCTTGGAATTTTCAGGTAAATATACATATACTGTGTGTGTGTGTGTGTGTAATTACCTAAGTGTAGTTACAGGATGAGAGCTACGCTCGTGGTGTCCCGTCTTCCCAGCACTCTTTGTCATATAACGCTTTGAAACTACCGACGGTCTTGGCCTCCACCACCTTCTCACTTAACTTGTTCCAACCGTCTACCACTCTATTTGCGAAGGTGAATTTTCTTATATTTCTTCGGCATCTGTGTTTAGCTAGTTTAAATCTATGGCCTCTTGTTCTTGAAGTTCCAGGTCTCAGGAAGTCTTCCCTGTCGATTTTATCAATTCCTGTTACTATTTTGTACGTAGTGATCATATCACCTCTTTTTCTTCTGTCTTCTAGTTTTGGCATATTTAATGCTTCTAACCTCTCCTCGTAGCTCTTGCCCTTCAGTTCTGGGAGCCACTTAGTAGCATGTCTTTGCACCTTTTCCAGTTTGTTTGTGTGTGTGTGTGTGTGTGTATATACACACACACACACACACACACACACACACACACACACACATACATACATGTATGTATGTTTGTACGGTCACAGTTGGTCAAGTGGTTGAGGTACCATGTACGCCAGTTGCTCGGTGCTCCTGGCTGTCTGGGTACGAGTCACTTCTGGGGTGTGGAGTTTTCATTTGCATATATGCTTGAGGACCATTCAAGCTTGTTTGCACATACATACATACATACATACATTACATACCGTCATTTAGTGACATTTGAATTGGTACCAAATATGGTATTTTGACTACAAAGTAATAAATGTTGTTTGGTAATAAGTTTTCACTTGTGCTGCTGCATTTTGCAGGTAACAGCTCACCTGTATGATCTTTATCAAAAGCTGATAAATTCTTTACAGGCACGATGCCATCTACAAATAAAGTCTACTCTGATCTTGGTGTTGGTGTTTCTCGGCATTGTTGGTAGCAGTTTGAACTCTCTTCAACCTTATGCCACACAATATTTATATACTGTAATTAAAAATCTATACTGTACCTTCAAAATATAGTTGTACCTTGATCATGTCAACTTGACTAAAATTGCTAGTAACAGAATTGCATTAACAGACATGCTAGTAGTCTACATTAATTTTACACAAGTTGATTACACTACACTAGAATGGGTCGCAGTTCAGAAAGATAGATATGAACACAACTTTCTTGTTTACCAATGGTTTGTTTACCTGGAACCAATTTTGAGGGCTGTTCTAATCTAGTAGCTTGACTAAAGACCAGGCTTCCATGTTGAATTTCTGATCAGCCAGGCTATTTCTGCTTGTAACCTGCAAGTCTATATAACCATCACAATGTGGATGATCTGGCATAGCTTTCAGGAACATTCCAAGTTCCCTCTTGAAGGCTTCTACCTTTGTTCCATTGAGATTTCTTAGATCTGCTGGTAGAATGTTGAAGAGCCTTTAACTTGTGAGGTTGATTGGGGATCTCTAACTACTTAAGACACCCCAATTATTTAGTAGGGGTTATCTCACTCCTACTGTATGTCTAACTCAAGAAAATTGTACTTTTATTATGAAGATTGGGAATCTAACTTGAAGTCTTTTTCCCTGTATATATTATCAACTATCTCTCAACTCTGAGAACTTAAAAGACAGTCTCAGTGATTATCATAATTTAGCAATCTCATGTGAGCAGTAAAATATTTCTCCATCATTCCTAAGATATTGCAATTGCCAAGAAAGAAGATATGAGAACAGAATAATACAGTATATCAAACAAGAAAACATTAGTGCCTGAAAGAGTATAATCAATAGCGAAGCATTTCCTGTTTGGAAAGATTCACCCTCTATGATTTTCCTGGTCAAGGTTACATTCTTGTATTGTGCATCCTAAACATTTAGCCAACTGCAACATCATTATTTCTACATGTTTTGCACATTTCAACTATTCTATTAAAAGACATGTCTTGTATCTAGTACCTGTTTTAAAATTAATTTGATCTGAAAAGCAGCTTAAATTTCTCATTGCTGACCATAAAGGGGCCTGTAGTGCAGTAGTTAGTATGTTGGTTCACATCCCAAAGGTCCCCCAGTTTGATTCCTGTGGCAGAACAGAGATGTTAGGAAATGTTTTCTTTTACCCGATGCTTTACTTCACCAAGCAGTAAATAGATACCCAGAAGTTAGGTAACTGTTGTGGGTTGCATCCCAGAGAAGGTAAATATTAGGCCTAAACAGGCTTCTTGCCTCCAACAATTGGAAACCAGAAACCTTTCAGTTGGTAAATTGGGCCACAAAGACAGGTAGCAACGTGGTTCCACACACACGCATCCAAATAGCCCTACCTAAGGCATGCCAAATGTGGTACATATTCAATGAAAGGAGACCACACCCTCTCCTCACTCTGCTGCAATTAAATTAAAATATGAGAGGCCATTTGCAAGCAAATTCAACACTTCATGAATGTGAATCACAATGATAACCAATGCAAGATAAACCAGAAGTGAAGCAATGGCCAGTGTCCAGTGCGGTCCCAGAGACATATACAGTATCACAAATGATGTGGCAAAGTGAAGGTACCCACGGATTAACCGAAAGGTAAACAACATCAATCCAGTTTTACACTATTAAAAAAATAGGAGAGAGCACCACATAGTACTGCAAAGAAGATTATGTATGTGGCATCAGTGTGTGCATGTTATAAAATGCCTAAAACCAAGACCTATGTCAAAAACGGAATCCCAATGTCATCACCAAGGTGGTAGCTCAACTCAAGAGGATCCATTGTTGTTGTTTTAGATTCAGCTACTCGGAACACAAAGTTCCAAGTAGCACGGGTTATGGTGAGCCCATAGTGTACTTACCTGGCACAGGAGTGGGGCTGTAACTTCGTGTGATCCAGATCACACGAAGGCCATGCCAAACAGCAGGGAAGACGAAGAACAATAAATAGAAGAGGTTGGATGCCAGAGATACTGTAATTCAATGCAGTGGGAGAATCAGGAACCAATCATTCCATTTATGAAAGAATCCTCTGCACAGGTACGGCAAAGTATTTATAAGTCATAGTATTGCTTGCGTTAATAAATTTTTACTTACCTTTGGTCTTGGATTTTCAAAAATGAAATAAGTGATAAGTGTTTATCTAGTTGAATTAACTTTTAAGTTTAATAAACGTATTTACATTAGAACCGAACAGTTTATTGCTAACAGTTCAGTTAAAACTAAGTTTTTAATGGCTGTGTAAATATTCACTCTTAGCCACAAATGTACTGATGTGTATATATATCACTTAGAAATCAAGTTGTTAAATCTAAATACAAATACTGTATGATTTTAAACCTCAGGAGTTGCACTCTTTCCACATTAAAAATTCAGTGAATGTTTAATTTCTGTGTTTTAAGTGATTTTTTAATAAGTGCACTCTTCTCTTAAATTTTTATCATATGCTTAACTATTAGTGACTACAGGGGCGTTAGATCTAGCTCTTTATGTCCCACCTCCACGCTGCTCACACCGGGTGCACTAATTACCACTCTCAATATTATTGTTTTAAGTTTTATATTGTTTTAAATTTGTGGATGGAACTGGTTTCAGCAACCTCTTCCTTCAATACATTCCCACTTACTCGTATAAGGAACGAGATTTTTTTTTACATCTCTTCGATTCAATTACATGTGCACGTGATTGATACTACCGCTGGCCTCTGACACTTCCTTGCATTATTTTAACACTTTTTCTTAAAATGTAATGTACACTGATTTATATGTACCATATTTTAGGTGAAAATGTTTTAACACTAAGATCTGGCATATCTTTGTAATTACCTCACCATTTTGGGGCATTTTAAACAATTCTTGTTTTGCAATCTTTCATATATTATATAAATTTATATCCTGGTATATAAACTGAGGTATATAAATTCAATATATTTTATTTCTAATGAACAAATCTAATATAGATTTCTAATATAGAAATATTGAAAAATACAAATAAACATTTTGGGTATAAAAAATTACATATGTACAAAGTCAAACTTTCTTTGCTATCACAGCAAATGAAATTGCACATTGCAGAAGACAATACAGTACTATACACATTGATTTTTAATTATCATTTTCAGGTAGGGGGGGGGGGGAGGAGAAGAGTAGCTCCCTGTACTGAGATATACCACTATATAAGTCACATCAGCCCTTACAAGAACTAAGAAGTGTACTAAAGACCACAGGCCAAAATCTAGTCCACTCAAAGAGGTATACTGAGCAGGGGATTCATAACCACTCTCCCTCAAAGTATCACACTCCCAGAAGACAACTGATCCCAAACAGACGAACTGCAAGGTTCACTGAAAGTAAACAATGCAGCAAACGATCCACCCAGTGGTTCAGTCGTGTACCCTCCTCATAACAGCCGACCACCATCGTGACAGCACCACGGGAGCTTCTGGCTCCCCATGTCAACAATCCTTTGTTCTTCACCTGATGTCAGAATAGTTCTGACAACTTTACGAGCTCTTTAAGTCCAGGATTTTTTATAAGTAAGTGTTAACCATACTTTGGACTCTGACCTGAAGGGTTTGTGCGTTTATCCAATAGAGACTGGTCTCCTGTGAGAGGTGCCTTGCCTGGAGTAATGCAAGGGTCTTTGACTCCTCTACAAGGCTCTGAGGTTGGGGCATTCTGGTGTTATTAATTAAGGGGCCGTACTAGAATTTGTGAGCTTGTACATATGGTACGTCACCGACATCTTTCACGACCATGTTTTTCCTTCGTTCTGTGTTTGGTATCAGTTCATCTGGTGAGCATTCCCTAGTGCCTGGGTGTCTTCCTTGGTTCTTTGTTCAAGCCTGTAAGCCCCACAGGTCTTCAGTGTGGATAATCATGGATTGACCCACTGAACCCATACTCACTACTCAGCTCGTCCTCCTAAGGTTTCCCGTAAAAAAAAACGGTCAATTTAAAGTGTCCTCTACTAACCTATCAGAGGACAGAAAACGGGACAGTACGTCACTTTTGCAAGACGCTTCCATTTTCAAATACAAATATTTTTGGCCTTAGGTAACACATACGATCAAAAAGCAACCTTCTTTATAGGAGGAAAGGTTGCGCTACTAGTGAATTTCAGGGATTCTCATCGGCTTTATTACATGTGGATGGTCATTCATTGTCACCACCATGCTGCCTGTTGGGTGGCCTCAGGGGTGGCCTTTCACCCTAAGGCCTGCAAGATTTGTTTTCTGGGTCTCTCTTTTAGCCGAGCCTCCTTCTAGGAAGGTGGTTTATCGAGCTGCTTCCGTTATACAGGTTCGTTTTTGCTATATACATCGTTCGCAGCTTGGTGTTTCTGGAGTTTGCTCCTGTGATGTTTAGAGAATTGGAGTTGAAGCAATTGGTGAATTCCTCCTGCTCTAATTTGCCCCTCTTTCTCTTTCTCCACCTTCCTCGATTCCATCTGGCACGGTTTGCCACATCTCTTGTCCCTTCTTTCCCTTTTGATCCAGGCATTAATACATCTAAGGGTGCTGGAGTCTGGGGCAGGGTTTAACTGTGGGTGTATCTGGGTTTTCTCCAGTGTTTGCCCCTTCCATGTCAGCAGCTGAGACAACTGAACATCACTTCCCACCAGGGATCCAGTGCATTCAGTTTCTCAGGAAGTGTATTTGGTTTGGATCTTATCGTTTGCACCTCCAGAATGAGGTACATCTCTTTGGTTTGTCTTAGACTCTGGACTGAGGACTATTGATATGGAAACCCAGTAGCTCCAGTGGTGTATGACCAAACTACTTACTGGGAGGATCGTTTACAGTTATTTGCTGCATTGTCTGTTTACTTACTGTGAACCTTGCAGTTGTCTGTTTTGCTTTGCTTCCTTTTTGGGGATATGTTTCTTCAGTGAAGGTGATCATGAATACCATGAGGTGCAGGGACCTACCAGCCTAACAAAGACCAAAAGCTAGGTTTTGGCCTGTGGTCTCTGGTAGGCATTTATGGACACACAAAGACTGATGTAACTTACAAATATGAGCTATCTCAGTGTATCTAGCCACAGGGAGCCTTCCAGTTCCCACCAGAGAAAAAATTCCTTAGAATCAATGCCATTTTTTTTTATTTCAAGTGGCAATCTTAATACTGGTACATTACAACAATGATAGGGGGCTAATTATGACATCTATAAATAGTGAATTATGATAATGGGTCTTTTAATACATGCATCAACAAATTATTGACATTCCCAGATTTTAGTAATGTTATATATCTAAGCCTAAATTAATCACTTATAATTTTCATGCAACTAAACAGATTGAATAATATCTTTTAAATCCCTAAACAGTAAAGTATTGCCTTTTGAATATGCATTAACTAAATTGAATTCTAAACAACTTACAGAATCATCGAAAATGTCATGGACCACCACAAGTGGTCTCTTCAGTGAAGTAAACCAAATCGAGATGGAGCGATCCCGAGAACCAATTGCTACACAGCAGTACTGCACAGACTTCCCCGTCTTGGTGTCAATTTTTTTCAAGATATTTGGATTGAATCGCTGAAAAAGTTAATAAAGCATTAGACATTTATACGTTCTAATTATTTATTCAACCTGTCTTTGATCATTCTGACCATTTTATATTTATGACCCAAATTTCTTTTTTCCTCACATTTTTATTAGAGTATTGTCAGGTTTTAAGGTTACTCACTTATCTCAAACTACTACACTTTTGTCTCTTACAGCCATTATTACCCAATATTCACTCTGTATTTAGCATCTACAGCTATTATAACACAATATTCACTCCATATTTAGCATCTACAGCCATTATAACTCAATTTTCACTCCATATTTAGCAATTTTATACACCATCCACTTGCATTAAATCTGTTAAAGAATTGAACTTAAAAATTAAATTTGTGGATCATCTGAAGAGAATGAACTTCATAACTGACACCATGGGTAAAGAAGAAAGCTAAGCCTGACAAACCTGATTAAATTAAAAGTTCTATGACAGAAAAAGCCTGTATGTGAATTTCTTCTTAAGACTGAAGCAAAAAATCATTTTTTTATATAGGTTTCTATAAAAGGTGGGAAAACAAAGTATGGAAACTTGCTGAAATCTCTTAGGAAAGTGTTGGAGCGAGTTTCAAAGGAGAACTACAATATCTGACAGAGGGAAGACAGTAAAACATTGAGGAACATCAGAGTGGAGGGAAGTTGCAAATGGGGTCTCACTTGGACCCCCTAATATTCCTGATTATGTGTGGATGACTCTCTCAAGGAAGTAATACAGTCATGACAAATTGACATTGTTTGCAGATGATGCATAATTGAAGAGAAGGTTAAAGATTGAATTAGAACATAACACAACAGGGAACTTAGGCAAGCTTCAAGATTGGTCGGCCAAATTACTACTAGAGTTCAATCCCAGCAAGTGTAAGCTATATGGTACTTACCTAGCAATGAATACAGGGGTAGTGTGATCTAGCTCTATGTTCCACCTCCTAGCCTTTTAAACCTAGCATGGTAATTACCCAGTCAATATTAACGTTTTCATCAAATTTCTTCTTAAGCTTGTGGATGAAATTGACTTCAATATCCTCTTCCTTCAATGAATTCCACTTTCTTACCACCCATACAGGGAACAAGAACTTCCTTACATCCGACTCAATTGCACATCCAGCTTCCACCAATGTCTTCTTTTTCTATCTATAAATGGCTAGGAGGTGGAATATAGAGAGCTAGATCTAACTCCCATATAGTCACTGATAGATAAGCACTATGAATGTGGAGGATGTTACTGGACCTTGCATACAATATCTACTGCTACTGTGAAGCAAGCTGTTGGACTCCAACAACACTCATCATGGCTGCGTAAGGATAGTTTGAGGAAGAGACAACAGAGTACAAGTGGAAGGCAACTACAAAAGTAAGAAAATGAGGATAACTTCGGAGTGAATATAACACCAACCTTAACACCAAACACATGTAAATAGAATAATATCAGCAGGATATGTGTAAATTCCAACAAAATATGGCATTTAGAAACCTAAGCAAGGAATCATACATAATATTGTAAAAAAGGAATATATCAGGCCATCCAAGATTTCTTATGAGGCAGAGCCCAAGAGCTAGATGTTGTTCCACAGAGACAAGACACACTCGGAAACACACACAATAAAACTAACAAGATACTTATTGAGGAAAATAGATCAAACGGACAGAGAAAGTCTATTCGAGATAATGGAAAGCAGAATAAGAGGGACAGGTTGAATTTGGAAATATAAAGAAGTCGAAGTTGTAAATAGAAAATATTTGTAATTAATGGGGTCTGTAAAAAATTGAATGCACTTAGAACCATATTACAGATGCAATAAAATTCTTGTTTGCAGTTAGGGCGGTAGACAAACAGAATAAGCTTTTAGGTAGAGGATGTGGAAGCAATTCCAGTCACAGCTTTAATACCAAGTACAACAATAAATAAATATCAAGGGAAATAAATGCACAGGATGCAACAGCTTTCAAAAGATGCTCAAGAGCTAGATCTTGCTCCCAATGGACACAACTAGAGAACCACAATGTTGCCACAATTTGCAACACCTGGTAGCTCTTGCTTCTCCTCCTCTTGCTAGTTTTACTAGGCTTAAAGATATACTATACTTCAAAACTTGTGTTTAACTGCATAACAATGTCCATTTTTAAGGTGTCAACTACAGAATACGTCCATCCTTAAGGTCTAAGGAATATGGGACTCCCTGTTTTCAAATCACCCAAAACAATCTCTTAATAATTTTGAAAGCTTTCAGAGTGGCATCTGTGCATGCATGAAGATAATAATCAGTCACCAATATATTGGTGATACATGAAATATATCTGCAAATGATTGCAAATTAAAAATGGTCAAATTACTTTTTGGAAGCACTGTCAAAGCTTGTTAAATCTGGAAACCATCTGTTGTTAGAACATTTTTACAACACTAAAGTGTAAACATTATCTTCACTGATCCAATGTAACAAGCTAAGAAAATATGGGTTTACAAACCACAAGGAATTATCTACACTAAGCATGCAAGGAAGAGTCAAGAAATTACAGCACTGTATAGCTCGAGTGCTGAGATCAAATTAAAATCAAGCTCCTTACTGAAACATGATAACCATGATAGTGTATACAAATATATTAAATGTATTTTCCTACAACATTTTCCCTATTAATAGATTCAAATCTTCTGGCAATTATTTTATAATTCCATTTTTTCCATTTTAGTTCTGCATTTCTCAGCTTAAATTTAAAAAGACAGTTATTTAATATTTTACTGTTGTGTCTAAATGTTTTCACTAAGCACATCCAAAATTCATAAGTTTTAACACAATAAAATAATTTTAAACTCAGAAACCCAAAATATGGCACTTACCACACACGTTATAGGCTTGCGATGCCCTACAAAATCTTTATCCGTATTCCAGCCATCACGGTCTATAATCTGCGCTGTAGGCCCTCCATTATTCATAGCATGAGCCGAAACCAAATACTGACCATCTGGGGACCAACTTGGCCGCAGAACAGTTGTTGTACCCCCACACTATTTAAAAAGGAAATAACAGGCATTACAAACAACAGAAATTGAATCCACTACAGACTAAACTTACACCCATACACAAACATGCAGGTGAGATTTTTGCCGAAAGACAAGTGTGGACCTTATTTCCACACACAGGCCTTCAGACATACATATATGACTGTCGCTGAATAACAAGTGTGAAAAATTAAATGAAGTAAGCAGGTGCCACCCTTGAGTGACCTCAACTCCCACCTGGATGGTGTGCCTGGATACTATTGCATGGTTTGTTACCTTAATCAGACCACCTCTTTCCATTTTCATTTTTTCTTCCTTTCATCAAGATACTGTACATACTACAGTTTGTTTTGCAACACATGTGCTTTCTGGATTATCTCATTTAGTTATGAAATAGATCTCAGATCCCCATGCTGCATCTCACCTCTATAAACGCACCCAACTCTGGTCCTGGAGTTCGGTAGGTCTGCACAAGTCCAGAGGCCTCGTAGTTTTGTAGCCGTCTCTATGGTACTAGAGGCAATGCACCAGAACTACTGAGCCTCAGCTAGAGAAGAGTGTCTCAATATATTCAATGCTTGATTTTGACTTCTTACTCTGAACTCCCTCATCATCCTATCCATGTATGAAATTAATAACCATGGTGGCATGTCAAAATCCTGGCATACTTCTACATTCTCGGTAGTAGAGCTGGGTTCATTCTCAACTAAAACTTACCTCGGTGAATGGATCAACAATTTTCTCCTCCGTAGCCCAATCTGTAGTGCGCCAGATACGTAAACTCTTATCATCTGCTTGAGAAGTCAAATAACGGCCAACTGGATCCCACGTAACGCCTTTCACTAAACCAGTATGCCCTCTTAAAACCCGTACTTGCTCTGTGAAGTTTAAAATGATGATCTTTTAAGTTTAATAAAAAAAATTTTTTTTTACTGCAAATGAATAGAAATTGTTAAATCTCAAATACAGAATAGATATATTTACTCTATGTGATTTACATATACAGTACTGTAACATATTTCCTGGCTCATAGGATGCAAATTTGTACCATCAAAATGAATTGCAACCAAGCATACAATCAACAATATTTATTCATACTTGCCATTTGGCTGGACATTTTATGGTAATTGGGAATGTCTTGAAAACCCTAAGTCAACTCATGCTATATTATAATATGGAATTCAAAACTGTCTGAAGGAGTGTGTGTGTGTGTATATATATATGTATATATGTATGTATGTATGTATGTATGTATGTATGTATGTATGTATGTATGTATGTATGTATGTATGTATGTGTATATATATATATATATATGTCGTACCTAGTAGCCAGAACGCACTTCTCAGCCTACTATGCAAGGCCCGATTTGCCTAATAAGCCAAGTTTTCCTGAATTATTATATTTTCTCAAATTTTCTTCTTATGAAATGATAAAGCTACCCATTTCATTATGTATGAGGTCAATTTTATTTTATTGGAGTTAAAATTAACTTAGATATATGACCGAACCTAACCAACCCTACCTAACCTAACCTAACCTATCTTTATAGGTTAGGTTTGGTTAGGTAGCCGAAAAAGTTAGGTTAGGTTAGGTAGGTTAGGTAGTTGAAAAAACATTAATTCATGAAAACTTGGCTTATTAGGCAAATCGGGCCTTGCATAGTAGGCTGAGAAGTGCGTTCTGGCTACTAGGTACGACATACATACATACATACATACATATATATATATATATATATATATATATATATATATATATATATATATATATATATATATATATATATATATATATATATATATATATATATATATATATTATACACACACATACTGTACATTAAGGAATATAATAGTAGGCTTCTTAAAATTTGGTACAATCTAACAGTTTATACATTTTTTATGGTCCAAATTAAACACTGTAAATAAAAAATATAAAAACAGCAATTTCCTTAATTTTATAAAATTTTTAATCTTTATGAATAACTCTTGTATGAAATTGCTGAAAATTAAGACTTGACTTGCCTGGCCATTTAGCTGTATTCCAGACAATAACGCAGTTATCTATCGATGCTGATGCCAGCCACAGGTCTCCGGGGGACCACGCTACATCCAAGATGTCTCCATTGTGACCACGTAAGGTTGCCACACTTCGCCACGCCTCAACATTCACTACATTCGATCCAAAAACTGCACCACCTGTGAGTAACATTTAGATTCATCCACGTGAGGATTAGAAAATTCGTATAAAATGTATTTAAATGAAAATAAACTATCTTGAAATCTGTTTAACACAGATGAATATATTTACAGTAAAGCTGTTACTATCATAGAATAAAAGATACTAAATCATTATGCATTATGCATTTTGTTTTTATAAGATACAGTATATTGTATGGTAACAAGACACTACTGAATACAACTAGCCTAAGGCTCTACCAGCACCATATACCAAAGGTGCTTCCTAAATAAAATGTTTGGCAGAGTGAATGATGATACAGAGCATAATGTTTTTACACAGTACATTAACATAGAGAAGGCACGGATGCATGAGCCTTGTGATGAAAAATTAAATGGGCTAAAGCATCATTTGTTAATATTGGAAAATAGATAATATGGCAAATCGCCTCCATTAAAAAAACTATTAAAAATGGCACACAAAAATATTTGCAGCTCTTGCCATGATATTTGGAGCAAATTCACTATTATGGACAAGAAGCAAGCTTGTGCATGTAAAATCTATAGCATGTATTTTTAAACCCACATTCAGAAAAACAATGAAGCAGCTATAAAGTTTCTACATATTGCCACATACCAGCAAGTGTTACAGCTTCACACTTTGTTTACAAAGAGAGGAGGGAGGCATGAGAGAGAGAGAGAGAGAGATAATAATGAAAGATAATAATGAAAGATTAGAGTACCCATAAGTGTCTGAATACACATGCAGTAATAACTTAAAATCACTATTAAAACAAAAATGCTTATTTGCAAATATTCACATACAGTACATGCACCCATACACAACATGTAGTACAGTATACAGGTATTACAAAATATACATCTATACAAATACGTGCACACATTAACATACGTGAACAGACAAGAGTACCAACAGCACAAATTTAAAGTTACTAATACTTGAATTATTATATGGGGAATGGGAGCATTACAAGCAGACCTCGTCTAAAAGCCCAAGAGGATTATCACGTACAAACTTTATGCTGATGATGGGATATGTTCACACAAATCTTTGGGCTATTATCACCACACTCAAATTTTTTTTAGAGCAACAAAAGCTTAGTTGAAAAATTTATATGCAATGCACTCACCTCCATAACTGCTTTGTTGCCAGATAATAATAACTTTATCGTCTCCGGCCGAGGCCAGATAACGGCCACTACAAGACCATCGTACACTGTTCACGCACCCTAAATGCTGATCCAATTGGCACAGCAACTTGGGCACCTACAGGAAATGGGTGTCCATTAATGACTGATCAATATGCCAGTGTTCTCAGAAACTTACCTAACAAATTACTGTATTTTTATAGTGTCCTTAACTTTTTGCATTTCTGTATCATACTACTGTTCTCAAAATAATTTAGAAAAAATTCTAGTAATGATTTGAGCAAAAATGTTTGGCACTAACTTCATGCTGGACACTGAAATGTATGTTTATTTTTTTTACTACGTACATGCCATTCCAACCATCAGTTACACAATGGCATACACAGTACTTTAACTCGTATGCCAACAATAACATTTCCAGTGAGGACATAATATATACAAACACTTTAAATATCCTCTTTATACCCAATGTATATCAATATGTTTTTAGTTATCTTGAGATGATTTCAGGGCTTAGTGTCCCCGCGGCCCGGTCCTTGACCAGGCCTCCTTTTTGTTACACATCTCCAGGAAGCAGCCCGTAGCAGCTGTCTAACTCCCATGTACCTATTTACTGCTAGATAACAGGGGCATCAGGGTGAAAGAAACTCTGCCCATTTGTTTTCGCTTCCACTGGGGATCAAACCCGGAACCTTAGGACTACGAATCCGAAGCGCTGTCCACTCAGCTATCAGGCCACCGAGATGCATTTATTATTACAGCTGAGAAAGCTGGCATCTCTTTTTTTTTTAGAAAAGTGTATACTTTTAAATTGGACATTTGCACAGTTTTTTTTAATGTGAGTTACAGCAGAAACTCAAAAATTCTTCTGTAAGAAAAAGATCTTGTTGCTAAGCTTATGTTATTAATTTAATAAAACAATAACAAAGAAACATTTGAATATCAATAATTCATTTTCAGAGCTGCTGCAGAAACCTACACTGTAACTAATTTATCATGACTGCATTTAATTTAAATTTGTATAATATAAAATAATCAGTTAAACATTCATTACTGGAGGCCTCAAGTAACAGTGATAACATGCATATTGAACACAAACAAAAATACATTTATCAACCTACAATCGATAAACTATAAGGTCAATTTAAATGTAACAAAATAAATTGCATTACGTCACACATCACAATACAAGCACGCTAAACACTTAGTAACACACATGCACAGATAGATTTTTCCTATCTCAATGGTTTTATTTTTAATTTTAAATCATTTGTCTTACAGGTTGAAATAAGTAGTTTTTGCTAGACTTGAGGAATCTTTCATATCTCTATAATAAATTATTAACTATCCAAGTGACTAATATCCATAAAAGTTCTCACTTCCCACCCAATAATAGTGGAACCAACAATGGAGGGATGATGAAATGCTTTCAATATAAAGCATTTTAGCCTAACACACTGTGGAGTTCTGTGTCATATTGTCTATGTACTTGGCTCACAATCAAGGGATCTGCATTCAATCCCCAGGCAGCAATGAAGTTTACATGCATGCTTCCTTTTATCTGATGACTCTGCTACTCTAATAGTAAATAGGGACTGAGGAGTTAAACAGCTACTGACCTAGGGAAGGTCAGTAGCTGGCCTAGAGGGGCCATAAGCCTAAATACAGGCTTCTAGTCCCCAAAATGAGCATTAGCAGCAATGTTTGAATATTTTATCATCAACACTTTTTTGGCTGAGCATTTTGAGCATTTACGAGGATCAAATCTTAAGAGCATAATGACGGACATATGCAAAACATTACTTTTTTTTTTTTTTAAGAAATTTGTCCCTTAATTATTTAAAGCAAATATTGTCATACATTTACTTCACAATAGAGAACTATCACCACCACCATACAGAAATATCACCACGACACACTCCAAGAAATCATTGACAGCAGCCCATTCCTCACTGGTCATAACACAAAAACAAAATACTTGCTACCTTTAACAAAATGGAGCTGCCTCCCATTAAAATATAAGCTGCCTTTCATTAAATTATCAGCTGCTTCTCACTAAAATAGCTGCACTCTGGCTGTGGTTTAGGAGTTCTACCTCCAATGCTTCTCTTCAGATGCACAATGAAATCACATTACTGTATCGCGATGTATCAATGAGAAAATCACGGCTCCTACTAATTTTTTCATTGATACATCACATTAATGTGATTTCAATGTGCATTTGAAAAGAAGCATTGGAAGCAGAACTCCTAGACCACAGCCAGAGTGCATAGGGGGGCAATGTGTGAAACCCCCTGATTGGGCTTCACTGGAAGCCTCCGGACCCCAAAAGGATTCAGTTGAATCCCTGGTTGTATTGCTTTTACATCATGTAGCAAAGTGGTCTAAGGCATGTGTCTGTGAGTACCAAGTGTGCAGGTTTGAATCCTCATGGCTTCCAATTTTTTCATTAATAAATAATAAATTGTGATGTTAAAACATATGGCAGTAGCTATGAACCCTTTTCCCTCAAATAAAAACGTCGTCCCCTTTCATGAGAACCATAAAAGATACTAGAATAAATCTACAAATTTGATGCAAATTTGCATAAAAAAAACACACACACTACCCATATCCCGAGAGGTCACATCTAATAATCCAGGACAGTTCAGTAGACACTCGTGTTGCAGGCAGTTCACCCAAGATATGGGAACTGACACCTCATCACTGGGTGAGACACTTAAGCTATTTGAGCTATATGTTGGTGTTGTGCTATAGACATTTTTACTCTTTATTTTTACCCTTTATATTCAGCCCGTCCCCCTAAGGTTTCCCAACATCAGGAAACTGTCGTACTAAAGTAGTTCCCTATCCTAACCTACCAGAGGACCCAAAACATACTTGGCTTTAGGTAAAGTATGAGTCAAATGCGCTGCCCTATTAGGACGATGGGTTAGGCTATTTCCATGTCAATCAAAAATAATAATAAAACTCATATGTCTGCAGTATTACATATTCTACAATGCTCATGCATGTGTTTATATGGAATACAATAATTTAAAGGCAAATATAATATTACATTAATTTATACCATGAGAAAAAATATATGAAATACAAACATAATGTACATATACACACTAAGTAGTACCATGTACAGAATACAAGTTTCAAAGACACATGTTTCCTATTAACCAGATAATCCAACACACAACATTATGCATGCACAAACTACCAAATACGTAGTAAAATAGTAAAATTCACATAATTATGAAGATAAAAAATCAAGAGTAGAATGTAATGAAATGCCCTTTGCTGGAGGGGCCCCTCAATTGTTTCCTGAGTTAAGTGGTGGTCCACATAAGCCTTTGGGAGATGCAAGAGGCCTGTCAAAACCAATTTGCTTACCAGGTGCCAGGCCAAAATCTGCCTCTAACTACAAAGTGAGCACTTAAGGATCAGACAAATATAAAAATAAATAAATAAATTGAACAAACAACTATCTGAAGAAAATTAGGTACCCAAAAGTAACAATGCAAACAGTCATTGGCATCGAGCAAGTGCTTAACTACCACTAGGTGGCAGACCAGGCTACCTGAGGCTACACGCATCCCACTCCCAGACTTACAAGCCAACCAAACCAACGATCCCAGGTGGTGAAGTGGTAACACACTCGCCCCACTTGTTGCGAGTGTGTTACCACTTCACCTTCCCGGCCAGATTTGAATTCTGGCCGGGAAGGATTTAGTGGGTACCAATCTTTAACTGTTTAATCTTTAATTGAGTATCTGGATGTTAGCCAATTGGTAGATTTTGTTCCAGGAAAAACAAGTAGTAAGGAAAGCTTACCATGAGCTACGGAAAAGGACAGCTCTCGGCCTGCTAACTGGAGGCATAGGGTGTCCACTACTGTACCCACTTGTGTATGAAAACAAAATCAATCCTCTATCCCCCATGAAAAAAGGGAAGAGGGCAGGAATGCAGAGCTACCGAGAGAACCCCCAGAGAAGGGTATTTCATTACACACAATGCTTGATTTCTGTCAGTTAAGGTCCTCATCAGAAGCTTCCCAAGCTAACTCAAATTGGTGAATCACCTAAAAAGGATTACCTCTCTGTACAAGAACAAATTATTAACAGTAAAAGTCAGGGCATGGAAGAAGTAAAAAAAAAAAAAAAAAAAAAAAAAAAAAAAAAAAAAAAAAAAAAAAAAGAATGCTCAGGGCATAGGGGCACCTGCAACTTTCCAAGCACCTGCAACATAAGTATAGCAAGGTCAAGGGACATCCTAGACTGAACCAAAGGCCAACACCCAAAGAGGTGACACAAAACAACAACTGAGCCTGAACATGAGCAAAGCAGCCAAGAAGGCAGAGGAATGGAGAGAGAACAGATCAGCAGACGAGATAAATGAAAACTCCCAGAGTAGCAGCAGGAGACCACAGTGCAGACTCAAAATCCAGGAACCAGAGCCCCAAGAACTGGCAACCTGATCTGAGGACCAGAAAACCTTGATCACAAAACATGAGATGCAGATGGCCACTTCCTAATTCTGCTCATACAGCATGTGTATTTTGTTTCTGTTTTCCTCTCATGATATAAACTGAAGTACCGACACCAAATTATGTTTAAGGAGCTTAATAAAATAACATTTAATAATAATAAAACCCTCACACTCATACCTCAACCCTATTTTTAATTTGTATTCACAATTAAGATATCATTTTGAATGTTGGCTATACATGTATTTTGACCCTCAGAAGGAATGAAAAAAATATGGTGTTGCAGCCAAATGTTAATGTTACTAAACCTACCCTGTACTGTACATATTAATTGAAAACATTTTCAAAATTAAAATTAGTGTATTCTTATTTCAAATATTTGGACAGAGCTCAAGTATATTTACCTTTTCATCCTCCTCATACTTCTCATGAACAACAGGCTTCAAATTCCACACCACGACCCGTCCAGATGAATCCTGACCTTGCCCACCAGTAGCCAAACGTGAACCATCCGGGTGCAAATCTACACTGAAGATGGCCTTGCCCCCTGAAAATAACCCCAACAATTAAAGGCTAAACCAAATTGTCAATGTTTTAATTCAGCCATTTACCTGAACAGTTGCAAGGCATAATATGCACTTCATAAAGATGATTAGCCGATGGCAAGTTTGGACTTTAGACAAGCTGTCAGCTTCCTGTACCTGCCAAGACCACTAGATACTGTACAGTAGATGGTGGCTCTTGGGTAAATTCAGGAAAACTATTACCTTTGTCTAATTTTTTTCTACTCTTAGCCAAGCTTCAGGTCAGGGTTCCTAGCTCATAACTTGATCACTGTTGATGTTGCTGGTTGTGATCTGCAGGTTCACATGGCTATCTCAACCCAATTGATCAGGCACTTGCTGTAGAAACGTGTTTTTGCAATTATAAAAGATTACTTTTAAGAAAATACAACTTAAGAATGAGTGACATGTATAGGTATGTACAGTAGCATATCAAAATTATTTCTTTATCGACAAGCTTAGATATACACAATGCTTATAATGTGCTGCGACCCTATTCTTTATGAAGGATTGCAGAGTATAGTTCAAGAGCCAACTATGAGTTCTTCTCATATCCCCGTCTCATAGGATGATTCGTCATACATGGAAACAGAGGATAACACGAGATGTACTCACCAATTTGTGCTTGTGGGGGTTGAGCTTTGGCTCTTTGGTCCCGCCTCTCAATTGTCAATCAACTGGTGTACAGATTCCTGAGCCTACTGGGCTTTATCATATCTACACTTAAAACCATATTTATGGAGTCAATTTTTACTCTACAGTTTCAATTTAGATACCTTTAATGTTTCAGTATGTTATTGTAGTATATTTAAAAAGGTTCCTGGTAGGTTCATTTCTTGGAAATCTATGAGGATTAACCTCTATTACAGGTCATAGAAGGGTGTGTCAGTACTATATTGTTTAGTGATGTTTTCATATTGTTTGATGGCATCTCTGCTTCTTCCCATGTGTCTGGAGACTAGTGAAATGGACACCAATGTTTGGCAAGCCCTTTTGTGGGAACTGCTGAAAAGGTTTGATATTAAGATGGTAGTAGCATGGTGTGTCTGGCATGCATTAGTGGCATTTTCAACTTATTTTGATAAACACTACTAGTTTAGACGGCCAGAGATTGGAGTCTGAGTCACATTTGGTACCAACCACCACACAACTTTTATTACCTATATTTAAATTTACTAATGCAAAAGTTAACTATTAATTCAGTACAGATCAAGCACTGAATCAAGGAAAAATGAATGTTAAATTTTGAATTTAACAGGTTTGTAAAAGCTCCATTAAAATCTATGCCTGTGGAGAACACGTGAAGAGTTATTTGCATTTTTGTGCTTTCATTCTTTGTACTGGTCTAGGCCTTAACTGTTTAAGGGGAAGGAGGGAGGGAGGGTGCCTGGGAATTGACGACTGTCTGTAAACCAGCAAATTAATCCTGTAGAGTAGATTGTGCCTGCCTTAAAGAATTACAATGTTTCTGTAACAGAAAATTAAAGAGAAATACACTAAATATTAACATATTTTTGAGAAAAACATAATGTTCTTGTTCCAGCCCAATGGTGGAACTAATAGTACCTGCACTAATGAATTAATGAATAAATTAATAAATACCTGCAATACAGATAATCCTGAAACAAAAAATTCCACTGCATTTCATCCTCAACCAGAATAAATGCCGATATATAGCAGAAAATACATAGAATCATAAGAAATAACAGGTTTACTCTGTAATATAATCGACTAATCAAGGAACTCGACAGTGTGAATTGTCTTAACTTTATGACCGGAAGGAGCGACCACCTTACCGTCATGGTTAATCCATTCCGGCTTCAACAGCTGCATGATATTCAGAGACCTAGCACCACTTCCAGGGAGTAATATTGACAGTTTTCCATCAGTCTACAACATTGTTCAAATGCCGCCAACGCTTTTGTCCGCCATTTTTGTTTACAACCGCGAAAATTGTGGGCGGTTGTGTTCCGAGGCTGTGGGCGCCCCAGGCACTACCCGCCTACCCGCCTTTCTTAGTCTTATATAATCTTATTGCATCCTTATTTTTCTTCATTCGCCACCTGGAAAGAAAAGTATTATAAAAACATTACATAAAAAATAATGACATTTTCCATTTGGTAAAAAAAAGCACGATATATTGCCATGCTTGCATAAGAGAACATTTACACTATGGTTTATGCACGTAGAATCTTCAAGAATGTTAATAAATCGCCTCTACAAATATTAAAATTGAGACGACTATTTCCAAACTTGTAACGAATTATTTTAAATATAAATTTTGTTTATCAAACTATGTATATATACTTGTTTTTAACTGATACAATTCAAGGTTTCAAGCATAACAATGAAGGTTGTGTGTTATTGTAAGAGTCCGGCCGGGCAGGACCGGCGCTTCCCCTCTGGTTGGACACGCTCACCCACTGAAAGAGGAAACACGAAGCCTTTACATCTCTGGTACTGTCAATGAGCCTGAAATCTCTATATATATGTTATTGACTACGACTGAAAGTGTTAGATCAATATGATTTCAGTACGAATCTTCTCTGTATTCCTCATGTTCTTCAGTTGAAAAATTAACACTGCTCGTAGTCTTCCAGGCTTGGCGCCTTTTCTGTAATTATTTGAAAATTTAACTCTCCAAAATATATTTTTACAATATTATTAGATCTGGCGTGTGTGGATCAATGAGACATTTCGTTGAAGCAGTCTAACATCGGGGCAGAGGGGACGTGAGGACATAATATAGCACATAATCATGTAAGTTGCTTATACTGTGGTCGTTCTCCAGCTCATTGTTGATATAATAATAAATACATTAAACTGTGCAACTATAGCTTATGAAAACCAATTTGCTTAGCTCAATGCATTTTGGGAGTTCAGTCCCTAAGATCATTGTGTACTCTGTAACTTTCATCTTCATTTCTTCAGAATTTCATCTTCATAGTTTCCTACCTAGTGCTTTAAACTCTCACTGTATCTAGTGCTATCCAGTCCACTATTATATGTACCTAAGCCATACAACTTTACCATTGTAATCATTGCTATATATATATATATATATATATATATATATATATATATATATATATATATATATATATATATATATATATATATAGCAATGATTATCGTAATATTATTCAGTTATAAATCGTCTCTAATTAATTTTAATCTGAGGGATAAAGTGAATTCCAAAATATATAATCAATATAAATATTTATTAATATTATTAGTAAAGAAAACATATTCCCAGAGTATAAATCTCCGTCTCTTTCACTCCTCAAAAAGACGAATATGAATGAAATACTGTCGCCATGTAGGAAAACAAAAAAATACAAGAAAGACAATAAATTAATTTTAGCACAAACACAGTCTTAAAATGAAAATATATGGTGTATGGATTTTCAGGTAAATACAAAATATTTGTATTTGTTGTTGTGATAGCCTAGGTAAGCTGGACGTGGCTGAAGGTGGCCACTCACATGACAGACAAGTCAAACGGCTCCCCAGAAATTGGAAAAGTTCAGGGCTTATCTTTGAAAGTTTTCTTTGTGAATATTTCTAAAGTTCTCGCATCATCTTGAGGCTTCTTGGGTACTGCTGCTGAGATGGACCCCACAGGACTACACGCCACTTGGACCGGACGACCACAAATATGTGTTTAATTTTGGATGATTGGATAGGTATGTGGATGAGAGGAGTGGATTGAAATGGAATCCACATATAGATGGGTCAATAAATTACCTTACCTAATACTCATTGTCGAATGTTGTACACTTATATTGTCCATTATCGCAGGCCTAAATGCCTTAAGGCATAAAAGTAAAGTTTGTGACATGATCCCGTTAACATGCATGCCACTGGTATTGTAGACAGCATTAGCATGGAACGTTAGCTTAGGTTGTATCTTCCATTTGCTATACTGGCATTGCGCTGTCTCATAATTTCCTTCCCTTACATCAGCATGTTAATTAATGCATTATATATATATTGGTTTGCGTTTCTATAGATTCATTTAATATTTTTATATAAGTGACAACCAACTATATAAGGTGTTAAAGAATCCAAATTTATCCTCTTTACATCACCTGTTTCTTAATCGGCAATATTTAAGAAAGACTTCGTGAGGTGGAAATAGAGCAAGTGTAGTGGGATGTGCGGGCGCTCTGGACAAAGTTCTGTAAGTAATGCCAATTTCGTTTTGTTGGTGTGTGGTGTTTTTTTGTATGTGGCGAGGTACTGCAACATTTTAGGCCATTAATTGCGCTATTATAGTAAGATTTTCATGCATTTAGGCCATTAATGCGCTATTATAGCAAAATTTTCATGCATTTATTGTATATATGGAGACCGGTACATCTTTTCTCAATCTGTGACGGCTTTGTTTACAATTATTAAACAGTTTACAATCATGAAAGCTTCCCAATCAACTGTTGTTATTGTTATAAACAGCCTCCTGGTGCGTCGCAGCTCATTAACTGTTATTATTGTAAACAAAGCCGTCAAAGATTGAGAAAAGATGTTCAGTCGTAAGTGCTTGCGTAACTGTTTTGTGAATTTGTCCCTCGGTCTTTCCTGATATATGGCGGCCATCTTGGCAGCCATAATGGAAACAATCTCCCCATTCCAGAATTATGTCCGCAAGTTGGAAATCATCCCTAGGCATCAATATTTTGTGGCGAGAACAGCTGTATAATGTATACACTTGTGAGTGGTGGTCACCTCTGCTGTAACCCCCTAGACTATAAAGTTAGTTATGGTAAATTAGGCTATGTTTGATTAGCTAGGCTAAGTTCAGTTAGGATAGGCTAGGTTTGGTTAGGTTAAACTATTTATGACTGGTGACGTTTGGTTGGGTTTGGTATGGCTAGGCAAGGTATAGTTATGTTGATTAATAACATTTAGCTTGTCCCTCTTCATCTACTCCGCAGACCGCAGCATTAGTCTTCAAACAATGTCTGCGATTTATGGAATAAAGGACGACTTTTGGATCAAGGACGACCTGTGGCCCAAGGATGACATTTTGAAGTCGAGGAAAGAGGAACCTATCTTGGAACTTCAGTAAAAGTATTTATACACTCTTCTGATTATTCTCGTCTAGTTATATATGGGAGCTGCAGGGTGAAAATAGGTCTCATGCAGATTTCTCTATTCTTATTAGATATGGAGGCAATGACCAACATGGATCCCGTAGTCAAGAAGAATGTCACAGTAGATAAAAACGCTGCAGCGTTTTTGGACGTCTTCACAGCCAACACAGCAAATATGGACACCTCCACAGTCAACACACACGCCTTATCCGTAAACGCAGCCTCTTTCGTACCAAACACGGACTCCCCCTTAATAAACTCAAACGCCTCCACAGGAGACACAGACGCCTCCGCAGCAGACACAGTCGTCTTGGTAAAAATGGACGCTTCACTAGACATACAGCTTTCAGCAAACCCAGGCACCTCAGTCATGGACGCCCCACAAGCATGCGAGATGTCATCAGGACCCTCGGGAACATCACATGAGGATTCCTTGCACAGCATGTCAACCTGGATGACCCCGCCTCGGTTCTATTACCCCTCATGGCACGGAGACGCACTTTCCGTCGTCTACCAAATGCCTTCATCCTCAGAGTCCTTAACACTCGAGGGAACCACCGAACAATATGGGTGTCCACCATACCTCGAGAACTCCTTAGTGGACGAAGACTCAATTTCCAGGGTCCAGCAATTGACACCGTCTGGAGAGTTTTCCACACTCGAGGGAAGTATTCAACCCTGGATGAAGCCCAACGGTCCCCTGTATGAAGAACATTTCCGGGATTCCGCGGCCCAGCCGAACACAAACCATTCGTACTCCATCTCCAGGAACCCCGAACCCCGGCCAGAAGCTCCGGACACTTCCCCGGAAGCAGTGTTCAAGAACATGATGCTTAAGAACCGTGTTACGTTTTGCAATATTCCAAGAGGTGCGCACTATGAACAGATCAAAACTCTGGTGGGGAAAAGTGGTCCTGTATTCCGTATGACCAAAGAACAAAATATGATGCATGTTATATATCTTCAAGAGAATGGAGCAGAAAAGGCATTTAACACAAAACACCGGCTACTAGGGCAAGACCTGGTGGTGTTACGGCCGACCAGCAGACTGTGCTCACTCTTCCTGGGCGGGCTGCCCCCGGGCACCAGTAATAGACACATAGTGAAGGCGGTTGATGCATATGGTGCCATAATATCCATGACTCGACCCACTCACCCCAACAACGGCTTACCGGTTAATTATTGTTTCGTTTTTATAAAGGAGACTGCAGGAATGAAGATCCTGGAACAGAAATATATTAACATCAACAACAGATGGGTTTTTGTTGAACTGGCAAAGAATCAGTTGGTAGAGCCCAGACCTCTCGGAGTCTATAAGGTGTTCCTTAAACACCTTCCTGACGACATATCTTATCTTGAAGTCAGAGAATATTTCTCCCAGTTTGGAAATCTGCTCAGAGTATTTGTGAAAAACAAAAAGGGATTTTTGTGTTTTGACTCGGAGGAGGCGACGCAGTACGTACTGAGTGTGGTTCACGTTCTAAAAGGGAAGATCATCACAGTAACTGAAGATGACGTGCCGGAGATCCAGCTCTTCTTCGGCGGCCTCCCCCCCAACGTCTCCAACGACACCATCATGGAAGAAGTAAGTAAATATGGCACTGTGCTGGACATGTTCCGACCGCACGATAAGTTTACCGGTGAATTAGCGTCCTTCTTCTTCGCTACCTTTGAGGACAGGTCAACTGCACAGTACCTCATAGATCGTGGCCACGTGCACATACACTCCAAGGAAGTTCGTGTGAGACAGTCCAAGAGATCTGTCTCTGGAGGAGACTACTTCACTTATCAGTAGTACTCAAGTACAATGTACACTACCAAAGGACTGTAAGGTTTTGAGGTTTATAATTAGACGCTGAGGTTTATGTAAGGCGGAGATTATTATATATGTCTTCTGTTTATAATGTGTTTATCAGTACCTAAATGTTCGTGACAAGTATACCTGCCTGGACAACACCTGCCTGAGCAACATCTCCCTGGACAACGCATGCCTTCAACGCCTGCCTGGACAACGCATGCCTTCAACGCCTGCCTGGACAACGCATGCCTTCAACGCCTGCCTGGACAACACCTGTCTGAGCAACATCTCCCTCGACAGCACCTCCCTGGACAATACCTGATTACAAAACACCTGCCTGGACTAAAACCTGTCTGGACAAATACCTGTCAGAAAAACTATGTCTGGACAAACATCTGCCAGGATAAATACCTGTCTGGACAAACACCTGGTTAGACAAACACTTGCCTGGAGAAAAACCGTGCCTGGACAAACACCTGATGTATATATTATATACCTATGGATGCCATTTTACAATGCCCCAAATAATAATTATTATCACATAACTATTTGTTATATAAATACATTTTCCTGAAGGATGCCAAGTCGACCCATTTGATTTCGTCGCTTCCAAAAGAATTTCACTTGATAAAGATCAGTTGCAAAATGCAACATACATTAGTTTTACGTTTGTAATTAGTTTTATACTTTCCTTGTCTGAGCATTTCATAACATGTATTTTTATGTATTATATATACGATATTTCTATAATTATTCAATAAAGAGTTATGAGAAAAAGGACAAATTGTATTGACTTAGGAGCGAGAGGGGCTGCGGTGACAGCAGTGAGGAGGGTGATGTGTTTGGTGGTGATGGTTGGATGGTGAAGGCCATGGTTGTGGTATATTGTTGGTGAGGGGAAAACACACAAACACACATACGCCTCCCCACCATTCCCCATCCCCCGACACCCACACAAGGCGCCTAAATCTCAAGAAACACATCAATAAACTGGAAAAGGTGCAAAGGCATGCTACAAAATGACTTCCGGAACTGAAAAAAACAAATTACGAAAAGAAACTAGAGGCGTTAAATATGCCAACACTAGAAGATAGAAGAAAAAGAGGTGATATGATCAGCACTTACAAAATACTAACATGAATCGACCAAATTGGTAAAGAGCAATTCCTGAAACCCGCAACTTCACGAACGAGAGGACACAGATTCAAGCTAAGGAAACAAAGGTGCCGAAAAAAATATTAGAAAGGTTTCTTTTGCAAACGGAGTGGTAGACGGTTAGGACAAGTTAGATGAGAAGGGGGTGGAGGCCAAAACCGTCAGTAGTTTCAAAGTGTTATATGACAAAGAGTGCTGGGAAAACGGGACACCACGAGCGTAACTCTCATCCTGTAACTACACTTAGGTAATTATTTAGCTAATTACACACACACCACAAAGAGTTAATAGTCTACAGCCCCACATCACACACACCAGCCGGACCCCACAACCACCGATAACACTCTACAACCACCAACACACCACCACAACCACCAACCCACCACCACAACCACCAACACACCACCACAACCACCAGCACACCACCACAACCACTAACCCCTCACAACTCCGACCCCCCCCCCCCTGCCACCCCGGGAACTACAGGTCTGGCTAGTAATAAAACTCCAATCACCTGCATGTCGATCAAATTTATTTCCTAGAAGAGTTCAATATTGTTTTGCAGCTGTTGGTGGTCAAACGCAAAACCTATATACATATACATATATACATACATATATATATATATATATATATATATATATATATATATATATATATATATATATATATATATATATATATAAACACATAAATATACATATATATGTATATGTATATGTCTAGTAATCTTTATGTTTGTTTTCAAGCTTATTTTTTCGGACTCTATAAAGTGAACGGTACAAAATTCAACTATCTAATTGTTTAGTACGTCAATATTTGTACTATGATGCACATAGTTACAAAAACTACTATCTAACCAGGAGGATAGGTTGGGTATCTTGTACACAAACCAATCAGGAAAATTTGCAGGTTTTTAGTACGATTTAAACCACTCTGTTATAGCCGTTCTCTGAGCATTTGTCTCCATACGTTAAGTGGGTTGCTTCCGGTGACACGTTTCTGGATAGGCAAAAGCGCTTCATTTTGTACGGAGTGTCGCGTCGTGAGATGGAGCATAAATAAAGTGGGGTTATCCTGTCGCTCGAAGACCGCAGCAAATGGTAAGGAGTATCAATATGGAGGAAACAAAGTGTATCTTCTTGTAGTGTAAAGGAAGTGCTGTCCTCCGACACTTGTCGGGTGTATTGTGTAGACAAGGCCGAATGTATTGTGTTCATGATGATAAGGTTTGTGAGCACCAAGTCAGGATTTGTTGTGTCATAAAACAGCTGGAGACGGAATCTGGGAAAGTGGTTGGTGTATTTGGCGCCAAACTTGGGGTGGGGGAGGTGTTGGGGTGTACGAGTCCTGTGTTTGGGTGTTGAGGTGTACGAGTCCTGTGTCTCGTACACCCCAACACTCGTACACTCGTGTTTTCTGGGTGTTGGAGTCTACGAGTCACGAACCGCTATGGGCTGCGTCTTAGTGAAGGTTAGTCATTCCGTAAGGGGTACCTGCAATGACATAACAGGCTTCCTGTCCCCGACTATGGTAAACCCTAAGATAAAAAAATATGACGAAATGAAGGAACGGTGTCCAACCTTTTGGACAATCGGGTATCGAACGCGAACCCTGCCAGAAGCAAGATCGTCGCTCTACGGACAAAAACAAAATCAAAGCAGATAGACAAAATGAAACAGTGATCGAGGGAATCTGTAATAACAAATTGGATGCAAGAAGCCGTAATCTTTCTCAGAAGCTGAGAATTTTGGAGGTAGTAATCATGTCTTCCCTCAACTCTTCTGTTGTCCATTGACAGAAGGTTTAGTTCCTGTAACCTTTCCTCGTACCTAATACCTCTCATCTCCGGGACTAGTTTGGTGGCATACCTTAGAACTTTCGCTAACTTTGTCTTGTGTATAACTGGATATGGATTCCACGCTGGAGTCGCCTATAACATATGTGATATACCAGGTTCTAGAAAAGTTCTAAGTAAGTTTCTAAGGACAGTTCCTATGTTGGCCAACCTAGCATACGCCACTGATGATATCCTTTTGATGTGGACTTTGGAAGACAAGTTCGGTGTGATATCAACATTTCTTTCTTATTACAGATCTTTCTTTGTGCCTAATTCTTGAAGGATTTCATCTCCCAATTGGTACTTTTTGTCCGGCCTTCTGCTCCCTTCACCTATTTTTATTACTTTACACTTACTTGAGTTAAACTCTAGTAACCATTTATTGGACCATTCCTTCAGTTTATCCAGATCGTCCTATAGTCTCTTGCTGTCTTCCTCTGTCTTAATCCTTCTCATAATTTTAACATCGTCAGCAGACGCCGAGAAGAACGAGTCTATACCTTCTGGAAGATCGTTGATGTATGTCATAGACAGAATAGATCCAAGTATAGAATCAGAGCCCCGTGAGACTCCGCTGGTGACATCTCGCCGTAATGACGTCTCCCCCTTCACAGCAACTCTGTTTTCTGTTGCTTAGGTACTCCTGTCGATAAGGGATAAGGTACTCCCTTATCGACTGGAGCACCTTACCTGTTACTCCTGCCTACTTCAACACATACACCAGCCTCTTGAGGTACTGTCTCAAGGGCTTTCTGGCAGTCCAAAAATATGCCGGGGTAAGGAGAGACTCTGTTTTCTGTTGCTTAGGTACTCCTGTCGATAAGGGATAAGGTACTCCCTTATCGACTGGAGCACCTTACCTGTTACTCCTGCCTACTTCAACACATACACCAGCCTCTTATGAGGTACTGTCTCAAGGGCTTTCTGGCAGTCCAAAAATATGCCGGGGTAAGGAGAGACTATTTAGGACTGTGAGTGTCACCGACTAGGAAACGAGAGACGCTGGTAATGGAGGTTGTAGGGGTCATACGACACTGAGTCAATCTATGTCACCTTCCGCTGGCTAGTGCGATCAACAAGCTATCGCGTGTCACTGTCCACAACGCCTCCACCCTCACCGCTAATAGCACCAGCACCACGCCAGTCCCACCATCACCAGCCCCAGTACCACTACCACCAGCCCCAGTCCCACCACCACCAGCCCCAGTACCACTACCACCAGCCCCAGTCCCACTACCAATACCATCACTACCACTATCACTACCATCAGCCCCAGTACCACCACCACCAGCACCAGTACCACCACCACCAGCCCCAGTACCACCACCACCAGCACCAGTACCACGACCCCCACCACTGACCCCACACCTCCCCCCAACACACACACACACCCAGCAGCAACAAAGAGACCATAAACACAACAGACGGGTCTTGTTGTGATAAGAGACATAAATAGAGGGATGTGGCAAGATGAAACACAAATACAATGCGAGATAACATGTACAGTTCACTAGACAAACGCCTCACACACACTCCCGGCCTTCGCCACGTACACTACTTTACACAAACATCTACAACCTTCACTCCAACACACACTACAAATAATTACGAGAGGTTTATATAAACCTTCGCATTATGCTGGACTTACACGCAAGACTTACCGTCCAACACCAAGTATCAAAAAAGGCACCAAGCCTGGAAAACTATGTGGCCTTTTCTTTTGTACAGTATGCTCACTTACGTACAAAGTAAGTGGTACTAACAAAAATAGCGGCTCACAAACATCCACGTTTTCTATGTGTAGGTTAGTAAGGTTAGGTGGGTGGCTTGGGTTCGCGTGTTTTAGTGCCACGTACTTTTGTCCGTTGTGACAATTCAAGACAACAATGACTTTGTCCAACCACTTGGCTGGTAGGTACAGCGTTGTCCTAGCGTCTTGCAGGGTCGGCGTTCTATTCCCGATGATGAGAATGGTTGGGCACCATTCCTTCACTCTGTCCTCATTTTCCTTCCAAGTTCTAGACCGTCATTACCCGTTTAACGCTTTTCCTCTGATAATTACTTTATCAGGAAACTTTATATTATTAAAACACTGTCAAGAACACGTCGATACCAAATAAGCTACCTCAATTAATTATTTGAAAGCCTAATTAATGAATTTACGTATACGAGTATCACGATCCTGGCTAAATATGATAATGAATATCCTTCACACTAAGCATGTCATTACAAGCTACAGTACATCAACATCTCATTGCTGTTGGAAGGCATCGGGAACTAGTATGAATATAGTATCATTTATGAATGAACTCATCCTAATATATATACATTGTTTATTGATAAACTGAAATAAAATATACACAATGGGAGATAATTTAAAAATAATGGTCAATTATGAACAAGCTTGTCCATATGCAGTCTTGTGAACAAGCTTATCCATAGACAGTCTTGTGAACAAGCTTATCCATAGACAGTCTTGTGAACAAGCCTATTCATAGGCAGTCTTGTGAACAAGCCTATTCATAAGCAGTCTTGTGAATCTTTTCATCTATGGTTAACTGAGGAATATAATTAACGAAACCGAAACCTCATTTGCATTAGTGAGCGTTCAATTATACAACCGTTCATTTATACATTTCTTTATTTAAAAGTAGATATCCTTCACAAATTATACCTCAGCTACAGCATGTATAAACACAGCTTACGACACATTAAATGAGAGTCACTTTGACATTGAGGTGGTACACAATGTCTTACGTGGAATCAAATCGTCGCATTTTGGAATCAAATTGAAGAATTACAACTAATGTATTTATGAATGAATTTAACCTTGATAAATAAATCTGTAATGCATCTTTTCACTATTTAATTTCTTGGTTTCAATGGATGAATAAAACTGGGAAATTAATATTAGGGCGTAAGCAAATTTAACTGAGAATATTCTTGGGATTCATCAAGTACTTACGACACTTGTTACAGTAATTCCAATGTCCTCTATTAATTGTATACTGTTTACCGCTTTATCAAATTTATTCATTAATGTAATTATTTGTGTAAACTGTTTTGTACTTTTAAATTATTTAGCATTATTATTATTATAAGCTTTGATATACAGTTATGTGATTTAATTGTATCATTAATGAATGAAGAATTAGTAATACAGTATAACTCATTACTATAATAAATATTCACATTTCATCATTATCATGGACTCAAGAGTCCCTTCATAAATAAAAAAAAAACATTATGAGTTCAAACTTTGCATAAAATACAGTGTTTGACAAGTTCCTAAGTCGGCAACCAGCAAGGTTCTCACAAAACATAAACAGTACAAATGTAAATATCCCACCTGCCTCCCGAAACATAAACAAAGGTAAACATGCCACCTGCCTCACAAAACAAAGGTAAACATGCCACCTGCCCCACAAAATAAACAAAGGTAAACATGCCACCTGCCCCACAAAATAAACAAAGGTAAACATGCCACCTGCCCCACAAAACAAAGGTAAACATGCCACCTGCCCCACAAAATAAACAAAGGTAAACATGCCACCTGCCCACAAAACAAAGGTAAACATGCCACCTGCCCCACAAAATAAACAAAGGTAAACATGCCACCTGCCCCCACCAAACATTAACAATACAAATGTAAACATGCCACATGCATTACTAATTGAAAAATTATTAAAATGTCTTAAAATTCCACAATTGCCTCATGGGCACATAATTATTCAAATTCCTTAATTTATGTAACACGTCTTTGCTAACCATATAAACTGGAACACAAGGAAAAATACCTCATTATATCCTCAATATAACAAATTTGGCTTAGGTAATAATACCACCTTATATATACACACAGTGATAATTAGGATAACCGCTGTACATCAATACAGCCACAACCCATTCAACTGTCTCACACATAATTATTGTAGCTCAGGCAACATGAGCTAGTGAACATGCACCAAAAGGAAGACTTGACGTGCGCGCCAAAACATATCCAAAACAGCAGTAAGAAAATAATTTTAAATGAAAGCTCCTGGAAAATATATAAATTTCCTAAAAAACACATTTGAAAAATATGTCCATTATTGTGCATCTGAAACAAAGTGGTTACAAATACCGGCATATCCAATACTGTACTGCACAAGTACAGAGGAAATGCCTCGATATATATATATATATATATATATATATATATATATATATATATATATATATATATATATATATATATATATATATATATATATATATATATATATATATATATATATATATATATATATCACTCAATAAATGTTAAGCTACCATATTCAATTAGTAATTTCCATTTATAGATATACTATAAGTTATAGTATAGATAGAGAGATGTTGTGGTTTAAGATTCAGGTACTCGGAAGAAAAGCTCCAAGTATCATGGGCTATATGGTGAGCCCGTAGTGGACTTTTATCCACATATATAGAGGGATGTAGTATAGATCAGAGACAGATAGAGCGGTGAGAGGAATGTTTGAAGAGAGGGAATGAGAAAGGGGAGAGATGGATCGAGAAACGTGAAGAAATAGTAGAAAGGGAGGGGGGTAAAGGTGAGAAATGGAAGAGTGGGGTATGTTTAGGGAGAGTGATTAAGTATGAGAGGGGGAGATTAAGAGAGAGGGTGTGGGAAAGCAATGGTGCTAAAAGGAGAGGGGTGATCTTAGGGGAGAGAAAGTTGGCGAGGAATAAGATAGGCGGGAGACGGAAAGAGAATAAGAAAGAGATATGAGAGAGGGGGAAGAGACCCCCCCCCCTGGTCACAGCTGGATACCCACATATAAAACAGTAACATTGTACTGAAAATATTTATCAAATCACAGAAGCTGCTAATTAAATCCACACATCATACAAGTGAGCGACTTACATTTTGATCTGTTCTCCACCAGTCAATATAAAGTCGACCTAACCCTTTGGCTGATGATGATACATATTAACGTTCTAAGGTGATTATTCAATGTTGACCATATTTACGAGCACTGCTGAATGATAATGAATATAAGCTTATGAAATCTTGCAACAGACAATAATAGATGTCTGCAGGAATAATAACCACAAGTGGATAGATATTACCCCTTAATCGAATAATTAAATGTAATTAAATTAATCAGTTTAAGGGTTAATTATGATCTGAGACGGCGAAACATCGCCAATGTTACAATTCTGTAATATGTTTAGATTAACATACAGCATGTATAATTAATTATGGATAAGATATACCCACTTATAAAAGTAAGAAACATATAAACATTTTATGTACTCAAAAAAATTACTTTGGTTGAGGAATAAAAGAATGAATAAATAAGAACTCGCTTCATAGGGATCCAACTATTTTCTCCTAATACATTGCAAGTGCAATTGCTCTGGGGTCGTTCAGATGGAAGATAGCATTTAATGTGATAATACACGAAAGTGTCAAAATCACAGTTGCCTAAATGAGATTACACATTCACGCACTAAACTTGCTGTGGCATTCCTACACGAAATTTAAGTGACATACACACATTTAAGTGACACATTCCTACTTGAAATTAAGTGTGATATTTGGGCACGAAACTGAGTGTGACATTCCTAATGGAAACTATATGAATATTTTTGCCTAGCTTTCATAATGAATTAAATAAAAGTTCATTTAATTATTTCTATTTTCAGATTAGCTTTGTTTCGGAATAAAATTTGGTGCTGCTGGAAAAGTTTAACACTTACAAAACGACCCAAACAGGATGGGCACTCATACTTTCTATCTGAAGTATGTAGATTTATATGTCTTGACAAGGCTAGCTTACTCTGAAGCTTGTGGTGACACACGTAGCACTCGTAAGGCAGGTCTTTCTTCACTTGCTTCAGGTGTTCCTCCAGATAGGCCTGCTCTGCAAACACCCGCCCACAGTCTAGACATTGTGGAGGATACGTGATGTTTTGTTTTCGTCTGTGGAGCTTCAAGGCGTACCTGGTGGGGAACAAGGAGTCACAGCAGCAGCAGGGGAGTTTGCGGTCCTTACCGTGTATTCCCTCATGTCGGTTGCGAGCTACTTCTGAAGTAAAGGAATGGCGGCAAAAATAGCATTTGAATATCCTTTTCTCAGAGTCCACGGTAAACATTCGTAGGTGTGCTCTAAGTTTGCATTGCTTTGAGAACTGTAAGCCGCATTCGTAACATATATTATCTTTTGAACATATACTGGGTGGTTTCTTGTGCATCATATGATGGTGTTTACGAGCACATTTTGTCTTAAAAAGATGGCTGCAGTACATACATTTATACCCATCTCTCAATGACTGATTGGAGAAATGACTCATATGTTTCTTATAGTGATGTTCATGATCAAACGTTTGCCCACATTCTGAACATACAAATTCCTGAAGTCCTGGGGCAAGTTCTTTCGTACTTTTGTCCTCTTCTTTAAGTATTTCAGGAAACTGACATCCGAAATCTTGGTAAGTGGTGCCTGTGAGGCACTGTTTTCGCATGTCAGAGGACGTGCATGTCTCGATGCAGCTGTCGTGTGAAGAAGGTACAGAAGGCACAAGAGGTCTTTGTCCACTGTTCTCATAACATATTTTGCAATTGCATTTCCTATCAAGTGTTTGAGAACCACAACTGCAAGGCCTCTTCCTTGCCCACGGTTCAACAGTGCAATTTATTGTCTCTTTTTGAGGACTAAAATTACAAGGCCTCGTCCCTGCCTGAAGACCAAAATTGCCAAGCCTCCCATTTGTTTGAAGATCAACCTTAAAAGACTTCTCACCTGTTTGAGGATCACCCTTTTTCTTACATAGGTTATGTGTTTGGTGCGGGAGTTTGGTGCTCCGGCCACAACAGGCTCCAAGTGTGCCTTGCCCTGGACGAGTGGGTGAGAAGTAGTGCTTCTCAGAGGCACAACAACACGCGAGGGAGCTACACGCCGAAGGCCTCAGGTGTCCTCCTCTGCTGCAACACTTCAACAGTTCTGTAGGCAAGTGGTTTGTTTACTTACACATATCTCAGTTTGTATTGTAGTGAAATACTATATGATCATACAATATTGTATTATTTGTTCTGTAAAAAATAGTTATAGTAAAAAAAAAATTATTTTTCTTAAATGAGTCTCATATTTATATTTCTAGTGAACCTAATATAGTTTTTAACATGTCATAAGTGATTATGTAATCATTGGCTAGATCCCTCAATTCATGCCTCATAGTAGTAATACTTGTGGATTATAAGAATATAGAAAACTACAATACCTTTTAGCCCATGTAAGGCAGCTTCCACTGTGAAAAACCTCCACCATTATATACAAAAACGCAACATAATGGGCCATAGTGTCCTCGAAGAGCAGATGTAAAGAAATACTTATATATAACTTTACAGATTATTAATATATATTACAAATACTAAAATATATTACTTAATAATATATACTTGTAAGAATATTTCACCAGAGAGTATCTCTACAGTTAAAATCACTCAAATGCAGCACCGGATCTAGTAATGAGTCAAAGAGGTGTTTTAATATCAAGAAGAGAAATCGGAATATGCAGAGGGGGATAATTGAAACAGAGAGGATTGAATTTATTCGCTAAAATACGAGCAGTGGTGGAACGAAAGATAAGTGAAAGAGAACATCATTCTGTATTAAAAACAGCTGTAGAGTTGGGGGTCAAAGGATAAGCTGGAGGATACAACTGGTGAAAATTGAGATGGATAAAAAAAATTGATTCATTAAAACTGGGAAAAAAACCCCACGTATATTCCATCGAAGAGCAGATATTGCGAAGAACAACTACAACAAAAATATAGGCAAAGAATAACACCATACTAAACACCTACATATTGTTGAAAAGTGTTAGAGAAAGCATTACCAAGTCGCACACTAAATGTTCATTCTCGACTCACGATTTAGGATGCCAGGTTCGGTTCCCGGGTGGACAGAAATGGTTGGGAACGTTTCCTTTCATGGAATACCTATATTTACCTAGCAGTAAAGATACCCGGGAGTTAGGCAATTGTTGTGGAGTTGCATCTTGGGGAGGGTCAGCAGTTCAATGTTGGGGGACACCTCGATACAATATTAATGTTTACATATTCACATGCTTCCTGTTCCTGACAAAATTAATTAATAAAGACAATACCAGGGGAGATCAGGAACGATATGCTTACTCTATCTACCAATTCTCTCTCGCTCAAGCTCTCAACTTTATTGTTTCATCTCTTGGATCCTCAACCTGTCCTCTCACTATATTTACCACATGCCGCGCTTTATTTATCAACAGGTACACTCCTTTCTTCTCTAATTTCCTTCCACTGCTATTCAATATCTTTTGCTCTATTCCATTTATTCCCATAAACAGTAAGTATCATCACTGTCTCATATAAACCCAGCTCGTCATGCTTTCCCGTCCTTAAAAATGTTAACCACTTATGTACCTCATTTATTCCTCTAGTACTCCATGCAGTCGTATGAACCTGCCTTTGCGTTCTAGAGCCAGAGCAGACAGGCCCCAGATCCGTGGCAATTTTGACTTTTAGCGGGAATATCTGTGATTAAGATTGATCCCAAGAACAACCAGCCCCTATAATGCTACGCATGTGGCGAAGTACTGTATTGCCTCACATGCCTAGCTGCGGCCTTAATAAAATAATTATAATAAAAATCGAGAATAAGAAACACAAGCAATGATATCATGATCACAGTAATAATACCTTTTTTGGGACTGGTGTGGGTTGTAGCGGGTACTGCCTCCTTGGGTTCAGTAGCAGTGTCCTTGGTGCCATCAGTGCCACTGTGTGAGGTGCAGGCGAGAGCAGCGCTGGGTACGGCCACCTTTGGATCATCGTTGACGGTATCTACATCAACTGAGGATCACACACAAATTAGCACATACTCATACCACTATCTATCACCTACTGTTTATTAGAATTTATTGCGTCGGGGACAGGCAGCCAGTTTCTTCAAAATTGTTTATAACAATGATGAAATGATAAGCAGATAAATATATAATAATGTTATAATAATATTCAGTAATAATAATAATAATAATAATTGCAATAAATATAGCAGTGATAACCTATTCTCAATAAACAGAATGTCATACATTTTGATTAAATTTTCCATTAGCAAATTTATATATTGTACATATTAGGTCGATCTTAAATACTGTATATCCAATTATCATGTAAAACAATATTATTATTATGGAAATAACAATAATTATTACCTCCTTAACCTGGAAATACAAAAATCTGACATACATTAAAAGAAAATGATTGAATTTTCAGAAACAAAATATGCTTTTTGAGTAATGTATAGTTAAATTGTAATACTGTTATTAAAACATTAAATAACATTGTTTGTAACTGTTTTGTGGCAAGTTTTGGAATATTTTTTTTAAGAACATCTTTAAGAGGTAAGACAAATAGTTTATTAAGACTCTCAATTTATGAACTAATGACTTCTTTAATTTAGTTAACAGTATGCTAAGATTTTATGAATCAAGCTTCATCAAAATTATTTTGGTTTGACATTGAGTTTAAGGCCTATCGATCTCCAAATGATTACGGACAACACAACAGATTACTGTAAAATCCGCAAGTGTATAATAATCCTAAAAATAGTGTAAGATCACTTTAAGCGTATATACACCTCGAAGCTGGGTACACCTCTCGTTGTATGTTATCCCTCCATTTATTTGAGAAAAAAAACTGAGTTTATTAATACTGTATATTTGTTCCAAAGACGACCACTCAATCCCAGCTCCACTGATCTAATATATAGTACACTATATTTAATTGAACGATTTTTTTTAATTGAACGATTTTTTTTCTAGTAGCCTACATTATTAAATTTATACCGCACCTTTAAAATTCGTAGCCAACAAATGCATTAAAATTACTGACACATCCTCTAACTAAATAAAAAAAAATTCGCGATGTTGGCAATGGGATAAGAACTCTCATGGCTCGAGGTGTCATCTTGAGGCTTTAGGTGTTTGTGAGTAGTTGTATATATTTACTGTATGTTAATATTGTCTTGCTTCCTAATGTTTCTTCAGAGTAGGGTACCACCCAGTTTTGTATTTTGTTGCGTTATTTATATTTGTTTTCGTTTATATTGCACTTCCCATTCAATCCTGCATAATTGTACGTTTGTTTGTTAGTAGCCATCATGGTGGGTGTTAGTAGCCAACATGGCGGGTGTTAATAGCCAACATGGCGGGTGTTAATAGCCAACATGGTGGGTGTTAGTAGCCAACATGGTGGGTGTTAGTAGCCAACATGACGGGTGTTAATAGCCAACATGGCGGGTGTTAGTAGCCAACATGGTGGGTGTTAGTAGCCAACATGGCGGGTGTTAATAGCCAACATGGCGGGTGTTAGTAGCCAACATGGTGGGTGTTAGTAGCCAACATGACGGGTGTTAGTAGCCAACATGACGGGTGTTAATAGCCAACATGGTGGGTGTTAGTAGCCAACATGACGGGTGTTAATAGCCAACATGGTGGGTGTTAGTAGCCAACATGGTGGGTGTTAGTAGCCAACATGACGGGTGTTAGTAGCCAACATGACGGGTGTTAATAGCCAACATGGTGGGTGTTAGTAGCAAACATGGCGGGTGTTAGTAGCCAACATGACGGGTGTTAATAGCCAACATGGCGGGTGTTAGTAGCCAACATGACGGGTGTTAATAGCCAACATGGCGGGTGTTAGTAGCCAACATGGTGGGTGTTAGTAGCCAACATGGTGGGTGTTAGTAGCCAACATGACGGGTGTTAGAAGCCAACATGATGGGTGTTAGTAGCCAAGGTGGTGGGTGTTAGTAGCCAACATAGTGGGTGTTAGTAGCCAACATGACGGGTGTTAGTAGCCATAGCCAACATGACGGGTGTTAGAAGCCAACATGACGGGTGTTAGTAGCCAACATGGTGGGTGTTAGTAGCCAACATAGTGGGTGTTAGTAGCCAACATGGTGGGTGTTAGTAGCCAACATGACGGGTGTTAGAAGCCAACATGATGGGTGTTAGTAGCCAACATGACGGGTGTTAGTAGCCAACATGACGGGTGTTAGTAGCCAACATGACGGGTGTTAGTAGCCATAGCCAACATGACGGGTGTTAGAAGCCAACATGACGGGTGTTAGTAGCCAACATGGTGGGTGTTAGTAGCCAACATGGTGGGTGTTAGTAGCCAACATGGTGGGTGTTAGTAGCCAACATGACGGGTGTTAGAAGCCAACATGATGGGTGTTAGTAGCCAACATGACGGGTGTTAGTAGCCAACATGACGGGTGTTAGTAGCCATAGCCAACATGACGGGTGTTAAAAGCCAACATGACGGGTGTTAGTAGCCAACATGGTGGGTGTTAGTAGCCAACATGGTGGGTGTTAGTAGCCAACATGACGGGTGTTAGAAGCCAACATGACGGGTGTTAGTAGCCAACATGGTGGGTGTTAGTAGCCAACATAGTGGGTGTTAGTAGCCAACATGGTGGGTGTTAGTAGCCAACATGACGGGTGTTAGAAGCCAACATGATGGGTGTTAGTAGCCAAGGTGGTGGGTGTTAGTAGCCAACATGGTGGGTGTTAGTAGCCAACATGGTGGGTGTTAGTAGCCAACATGGTGGGTGTTAGTAGCCAACATGGTGGGTGTTAGTAGCCAACATAGTGGGTGTTAGTAGCCAACATGGTGGGTGTTAGTAGCCAACATGGTGGGTGTTAGTAGCCAACATGACGGGTGTTAGTAGCCAACATGGTGGGTGTTAGTAGCCAACATGGTGGGTGTTAGTAGCCAACATGGTGGGTGTTAGTAGCCAACATGGTGGGTGTTAGTAGCCAACATGGTGGGTGTTAGTAGCCAAGGTGGTGGGTGTTAGTAGCCAACATGACGGGTGTTAGTAGCCAACATGACGGGTGTTAGAAGCCAACATGATGGGTGTTAGTAGCCAACATGGTGGGTGTTAGTAGCCAACATGGTGGGTGTTAGTAGCCAACATGGTGGGTGTTAGTAGCCAAGGTGGTGGGTGTTAGTAGCCAACATGACGGGTGTTAGTAGCCAACATGACGGGTGTTAGAAGCCAACATGGTGGGTGTTAGTAGCCAACATGACGGGTGTTAGTAGCCAACATGGTGGGTGTTAGTAGCCAACATGGTGGGTGACAGCCATCATAACTCACCATCGGTGTCATCTGTATCGCTGGATGACGAGTCGAAACAACTTCCATCTTCCGACGAAGACTCCGGTAGAATATCTTTCATGGCGTCTAAGTCTTGCTCCTGTGGGAGGTCCTTCTGCCCCGCTGCTGACGGAGATCCGTCCTCCCCGCTGCCCTGGGAGGTCCTTCTGTTCCTCTCCTGACGGAGGTCCTTCTGTCCTGCTGCTGACGGAGATCCGTCCTCCCCGCTGCCCTCGGAGGTCCTTCTGTTAAACTCCTGACGGAGTTCCTTCTGTCCTGCTGCTGACGGAGATCCGTCCTCCCCGCTGCCCTCGGAGGTCCTTCTGTTAAACTCCTGACGGAGTTCCTTCTGTCCTGCTGCTGACGGATATCTGTTCGTCCCGCTCCTTAGGAACGTCCTTCTGTTCCACTCCTGAGGCAGGTCCTCCCGTCCTGCTTTTGACGGTGATCCTTCCGTCTCGCTCATCATGATAATCACGGGCTTGACGGAGATGAACGGCCACAGCGCCTGCCTCTCGTGTGCTCCGGGTGGCCGCCAAGCCGCTACTGACCACCTCCTCCAGGGACAACGGAATATACGATAATTCATAATAAATAAATGATTAAATATAATTAATACCAGATTGCTAAGGATATCTTACTAAATGTAAACGTGTTTTTTCCTTTTGACAGCAGGTTAATGCAATTTTAACAAATAGAATTTATATATTAACCGATTTCCGTTTTTAGACAATATTAACACTAGAAGATAGCCTATGACTCATAATCAATATATTAATTAATATACATAGTTATTGACTGTTAATACGATTTTATAAAATATCCATATGTTTTATCCCTATATAGTCATATAATAATCTGATAACGAAGTAAATTTGCATAGTAAAGCTTTAGAGGTGAATAATGAACTATATCAGGACAGAGAAACACTTGAACCTTCAGGCAGGCCTATTACTTAAAAATTTGCAGTTAAGGCCTAGTATACTCAATACATTTTGAACCTACATATTTCTGGTATTATCGCGTAAGCTTTGCTACTTCAATGTTAGTTAAAATTATATTTCTGTTTTAGAAAAATCATTAGATAAAACTAACTACAATATTTGTTAATACTTGAATATTTAAAGGAAGAATGTCTTCATAAATATCGTGGTGTCTTCATTTGTGTCCTCGGCTACCCTCTATATATATATATGTTATCCGAGAATATTTTATAACATAACTAATAAATTAATCCAGAGGAGTAACTATGACCAAATATTAAGGATATATTGGCCAAAGTTTAGTTTGTTTTAAATCCGCCTACATATCAATTTTGCAGAGCGAGTAGGCCTCACTCTCACCTGATAAGGTGTACGGGGAGAATTTACCGGATACATTCGTGTTCCACATATACAGCCTGGTTGATCAACTCTCCAGCTCGTTCTCACCAGTTGACAACCGTCAAATGCCAACGGTTTTGCTTAACCCGTTGCGTGCGGGGCTTGACAACCCAAGTGACCCATGGAGCAGTGACCTGCCAGTGTGCCATATTATTGTGAAATTAAAAGCCCGACATTATTGACGCTATCACTTGGGCTGGACGGTAGAGCGTCGGTCTCGCTTCGTGAAGGTCGGCGTTCAATCCCCGACTGTCGAAATGGTTGGGCACCATTCCTTTCTCCCGTCCCATTACAAATCTTTATCCTGACTCCTTCTAAGTGCTTGGCGCTTTCCCCTGATAATTTCCTCCCTCCCCCCTATCCGTCTCTCTCTCTCTCTCTCTCTCTCTCTCTCTCTCTCTCTCTCTCTCTCTCTCTCTCTCTCTCTCTCTCTCTCTCTCTCTCTCTCTCTCTCTCTCTCTCTCTCTCTCTCTCTCTCTCTCTCTCTCTCTCTCTCTCTCTCTCTCTCTCTCTCTCTCTCTCTCTCTCTCTCTCTCTCTCTCTCCCCCTGCCACCAATTAAAGAGCTCCCAAGGGGCCTGACCGTACATCTCTACTCAGGCAATTCAGATCAAGGCTGGATATCAGATCCACGAAGGTAAGTTGTGGTGGTGGGCTTTAATAGTGGTGGAAAACACTGGTGGTGGGCCTTACTAGCAGTGGGACACACTGGTGGTGGGCATACTAGCAGCGGGACTGGCGGTGGGCCTTAATAGTGGTGGGACACAATGGTGGTGGGCCTTACTAGCAGTGGGACTCCTTTGCAACAAAGTTCTTGATGTAATTCAGATCATAACTGTTTCATTCAGTTCTATTCATTTCGTGTGACCTGGTCATGTACTGCTTGGAGCATGACTCGTCCACCACGGCGCGGGGACCCTTCTGCCGCTGCTCTTATAAAGACCGGAATAACGTACAATTTTTAAAGAACTAAGTATGTTGTTTGCTAGAACAATATTCATTGGTACCGCATTTTCTCATTCGTCAAACCTTTTTTGGAAACATTAGTCATATTTTGCTTAGCATGTTTGATCTCCAGTCCTTTATAAGGTGGAAATGAGCAAGAATTACACCAGTTGACAGTTTATCCAAACTTTCAATATAAATACCATACGAGCCTAGCGTCGCTAATTTATATTTATTTCTTATTTGTAAATAATACACTTTTTCGTTTCATACTGGGAGGTAAGAGGCTTATATTTTGGATATTATACGTTTTTCACTTTTTCCTATTGAGCTGAAAGTTCTTTATAACTTCCACAGATATATAGGTTTCCTTCAAATAAGTACAGTACTTTTACGTTCGTACTTTTTGCTCAGCTCAAGATATCCATCTGTGATCTTGGCAGACTCCTGACATGGTACAGATCAGTTGACCATAAAACTTTCCTCACTAATCTAATTATGAACACAGCAACTATGTTCAGAAACATTCACATACACAGCAGTTATTGCATTAGGTAATGCTGAGACAGTGATATGCAGTCAATAAGATTTAAGATTCACAGGAAAGTTTTTCCACTTGAACTTGGCAATAATAAATCAGGATCTCTACCATGCATTTTTTCCCTTTAGACAAATACCTTTATTTATGATAATAAATTCCAGATGTCTTGACAGCGAGGCCACTTACCCACGTCAGCTTCTACCCCTGACCATAGTTGCAATATAGCTAGCTGCTGGTTCATCCAGCAACAACACTCACCAGCACGACCCCGTTGACTTAACTCCATCAAGAGGCAGACCCTCACAGTCTCATAACCAAACCACAGTTCCCCTTACTGTGGGTGCATTGCCCTCAGGGTCACCATGTCTCGATAAGCGCTACATACTTTTCCTAATTGTTCTCCATCTAATTCCGATCGACGTACTATCAACATCGAAGCAATTTCCGAAGATTTCTCAAAGTACATGGGTGTCCAGCACCAAGTAATTAATGGCATAGAAAATATCACGTCAGTAAAGATTGAGAGGCAACGGACGGTACATTTGCAATACAAAGACAAGATATCAACAATACCCTTGTGTGTGTGATGGGGGCATGGCGACCCCTTACCCCCAATATTCCCAAGCCTTACATCCGAAGGTTTACGGTGATCACCCACACAGCTGCAGCACCTGTATTGAGTGGGCCGCCTTGCCTGCCTAAGCTGTTTGGAGGCAGGTAATCCAACCAGGATTTACCAACGGAATTGTTTCGCTCTTTTCTCACAGTAAACAAGAACAAGGCCAGGAAAATTCTGCTATGTGTAGCCGGTTGTTCATTCTCAAAATTGAAAGTGGAATATATATATATATATATATATATATATATATATATATATATATATATATATATATATATATATATATATATATATATATATATATATATATATTGAGAGAGAGAGAGAGTACTACTACTTGTAAGTTAATTTTTGTAGTTATCTGTATAAGTGGCTCGGCATTACATATAATGCATACCAGTGTGTGTCAGTAGCCTCATTTATAAGATCTTTTCAAATTTTTTGAATGGCTACTGTCCCTGCTTGCCATCCTGTTGCCAAACCGTTCCATAGTTTTGCGTATTTTACGTGAAACAAACATCTGAAATGCACACGTGGCTCCTGTTATTGTGTTCTTCTTAGAGAGGAGAAAGTGATAAGCGACGGATATATATTTTCAGGGCTAAGATACAATTCAATTTCTTTCTTTATTATGCACCCCATACCCATCCCGTGGGCGGTGGTGTAAAGGATTACAGAGGCACATAATCGGTTCAGGAACTGAACCCTCTAGTTTAGCTAAGCAAATACAAAAAATTGACGCTAGTTACACAATTATTAATGCTCTTTCTACACAAAAGGTTGGTGCCTTCTTTTGAGTATTACTTACATTTTCTTAGGCTCTGTTACATCTCAGTTGAAATCTTATTTGGTTTATAACTCTGCCTGTGTTAATTAATGTTCCAGTGGTGTGTCGGGCATTTCTCCACAGTGCTGACATTTCCTCTCATCTTCTGGAACCTGTAAGCCAATTTCCCATGCACATGGGTATCCAAGCCTGATAAGGTATAATTGCACTTTTGTTTTTCTACTGCCCCCTTTCCTCAAAATAATTGGTTCCTAGTTAGTTGACTCCAAGATGTTTCTGTTGATCGTCTTAGACGTGGCTATTAAATATTTGTTATTATATATTTATATTTTGGCTCAAAGGGTGAGTTGATCGGTAGCGTCGCTCATCGTGAGCATATATACCGCCAGAGTGACAGTATTGGGCAGCGTCACTCATCCTGTGAGTGAGTAAACACACGGAGGACCAACAAACATGGCGCAGGGAGTGGGCTGGCGTAGCGTTACCTCCCCAAATGAAAATCACGAAAACTCCAGGAAACCAGAAAGCCCAAGGACACATTTGCAGACATGTGAGTGACGGTGGTGCTCTGCTCTCTCAGGAGAATAACGAAGACGATTTCCTACATAGCGAAGACGATTTCCCACAGTAAGGCAAACATCCTGAAGGTGGCGCCGCAGGAACCAAGGAGTCCAAGCGGCCCAACACTCTCCTAATTAAGGTACGATAAGTTCTGTTCTGAATACTTTTATCATTTGTATTTGAAGACAGTTTAAATAGGTGTGCTTTTCTGACTAAATGTAAACTCTGTTAACAGAACTATTGACATACCTTGCGTTATTATATTATGGAAAGTGAAAAAAAACGGAATTCCGAGATAATACCACCAATGGTGTCCCATAAATGTGTAAGTAAGTACTTTATTCATAATGATGTACTGCCAGGAACCTTGGCAAAGTATCCTAAGTTGTCTTACTGTAGGTGTGGGCCTACACATGACTGTAAGGTTGCTGCCCAGTTGGGTGGGTGTGGAGCAAGTTTAGTGACTGTGTGATTGACACACTACATTTAAACTGCCTTGTATAGAGACTGTTGTTAGCCACTTCTTGAATCTTGTGATATAAAAAAGCTATTGATATGTATTTGCTATTGATATGTATCGCAATTTTGCATGAATTAGTTCAGTCATTTGAATGATTACAGTCTCTTAAGTAAACAAATAATACATTGGACTCCTGACCTGTTCTTATATTATATTTATGTACTTTTATTCTCTGGTC